ACCTTACTGTTCCAAAGAAAGCTATAGAGTTCTGAGTTTAACGTTTTAATAAATGATAAGTCAGGGTTTGGCAGAGCAATAAAAAGGTGGTTAAATTGAGAAATCAACAGTGATTTTATTACATGTATTTTACCAATAGGAGTAAGCATTCTTTTATTCCAATTATTTAAGAGAGATTTAAGTCTGACTAATTTCTTATCAAAGTTTATTTTGATCATTTTGTGTAAGTCTTTATGGAAATCAATACCTAAAATAGTAATTTTTTTTGTTTTCCCAATTTAAGTTCCATTCGGGACAAAATTTTTCCTCACTATATTTCATATTTCCTATCCAAATTACTTCTGTTTTACTTCTATTTATTTTTAATAGATATATCTGCAAATTGTTTTAATTCCTGGATCCATCAAGTATAACTGATGTATCATCAGCATATTGAGATAATAGTATGGGAGTTTCTTCTATACTGATCCCCCTAATATCAGCGTTATTTCTTATTCGAATTGCTAGCAATTCAGCACATAAAATAAATAAATACGGACTGATGAGGTCGCCTTGTCGGCATCCACGTTTAATACTGAAAAATGATGATAATTTTTCCCCCTGAATAGCACATATGATTTGAACCATTTTCAAAAATATGAACCCAGTTCCTTATATCATTTCCAAAGTTAAAAAATTCAAGCGCTTTATCTATAAAATTCCAACTCACCGAATCAAAGGCTTTTTCAAAATCTACATTAAGTAACATACCAGGAATATCATTTTCTTCTGCATATTGCATAATGTCATATATAATTCTCGTATTTTCCCCTATATATCTACCTGAGATAAAACCTGACTGATCTATATTAATGAGTTTGTCTAGGACTTTTCTTACTCTATTTGCAATTGTACCTGAAGCAATTTTATAAGTTGTATTCAGAAGTGAAATGGGTCTCCAGTTTTTCAAATATTGTCTTGGCTTATCTCCCTTTGGTAAACATGTTATGATTCCTTGTTTTTGAGTATAGATGAATTTTGAATAAGAAAACCATATTGAATTGACCTTACGACAAAATGGCCCATCTGTTTCTAAAAACATTTAAAAAATTCAACTGTAAAACCGTCAGAACCTGGACTTTTATTATTTTTTCATGTTTTTTAGAGTATGAGATGCCTCTTTAAAAGTAATATTACCCTCTAATTTGGCTGTTTCTACAGGATTTAATTTTGGTATATTATCATTGTTAAGGTATTCATGTAAGTTGATGTCATGTAGTTCATTGTCTTCTGAATACAACTTTTCATAAAATTGTTTCACTTCATCTATTGGGTTTTAACATCTATAATATGTTTATTTATTAAATTTAGATAATCCAAATCATGAAGTAGAGAATTATTAAACTTCCATAGGCCTTTGCCTTTCTTAAAATCATTGAATTTTATTGTTATATATGGAATGAAATGATCAGATCGATATCCTGGGTCAATATTAGTTTTTTGTATACAAGATAACAGATTCTCAGACACTAGAAAATAGTCTAATCTTGCCTGTTTTACTGGACTAATTCTCCCCCAAGTATATATTTTACTGTCTGGGTGTTGTTCCCTATATATATCGACAATTCCTAGTTCATTTATTATTTCGGTAACTCTATCTCTTTCTTTGGTATTGTTAACCTTTTTATAATTATGACAATCTAAATCGGGGTTCAAGACCAAATTAAAATCTCCACAGATGATAAATGAGTCGTTATTGAAATCGAGAATGGTGTCCAAAACTTTATCATAAAAACTGGGTGTATCTGAGTTTGGTCCATATATAGTAACAAGTGTAAATCTCCTTTCATCTGAAATTATGTCAAGCGCTAAGAAATTTCCATCTAAACCTTTCTTCTCTTTTAATATCTTTGCTTCAAAATTATTATTGAATAATATTGCTACCCCCCTTGAGTTGGAGTTAAAAGAACTAAAGTAACAAGAAAATCCCCATACTGTCCTGATCATATTTTCTATATCTGCAGTAAAATGAGTGTCTTGTATGCAATAAATGTTAAAATTCATATTTCTTAAATAAGTAAATACATCCTTACGTTTACCTCTATCACTCAACCCCTGACAGTTAGCGGTTAGTATTCTGACTCCTTCCATACAGTATAGGGTATGTATACAACATTGCTGACACTGCTTACCTGTCTAATACATGTAGCTATCTGGCACAAAAGTAAAGATGAGATAAAAGAGGAATATGTGGTATTCAAAGAAAGGGGTAGACAGAAGTAAAACATCATTTGAAATGCGTCAATATTGATGGCGACCACCATCCACGGCACGATACCGGAAGTCTTGTGTCAAGTGTAAACTATATGTGTTTATATGAAATAATATGTATGGTTGACTTACCTCTGCACAGAAAACAGACGTATATAAAATATACTCCAGAGGAAGAAAAGCACATTCAAGGAATAAAGAAAAATAGGAGACACTTTCACCCGAGACATCAGCACATAATTTAAAAAGCAAACCACTACGAATACCTTGACACTGGTCGAAATGACATAAAGCCACTAAAAGTCACAACCGACCAGCAAAACAGTATTCTGCATTTCGCTAAAGTTAATTTCTTCGATTAGTTGAAATTAGCGTCGTTCTCGAGATACTGCTTTGTGAGCCTAGTATCATGGAAAAGTCTTCTTCTTCTTCCGTTCTTCAAAACAACAAAAAGTCTTCCGTCGATGCTGTAAGAATTCTGAACACATTCCCTCTTGAAAGCTTCACTAAGTTTCTGTTGGTTGATTTTTGTCAAGTCCTCCCATACAGTGAAACCAGATCCTTTTAGTGTCCTCCGAGCCCTGATGATCTCATGCTTCTTTCGTCGATGTGTGGATTTAACAATGACGGGTCTCTTTCTTCCGGGGTTAAATCTTCCCAGTCTGTGGGCGATGTCAATATCCTCCGGGCTTAGGGGTACTTTCAGCTGTGAGTTAGCAAAGTCTACTGCTTTCTTTACACAGTCTTCCACAGATTCCTTAGGTGAAGGATCTAGAGACCAGCGATCCGAACAGAGTTTTTTCGACCGTGCTGTTCTAGGTCGTTTAACTGGTTTTCCAAGTTGCTTACGAGGACTTCGGATTCCGTTTCTCTCTGTTCTAGTACACTAACTCTCTCCTTCAAATCTTCATTTTCTATCTCTAATGTACTTATCCTCCATTTATAGTCTAAACATATAGTACTTCAGTGGAAATACATGCATTTAACTGAACGGAACTAAGAATTACAAAGTGAAAAAAAAAATTATTTACAAAAAAGATTTACCATAAGATGGGTTTCGAAAGCATCCATGGAGCAAAGTGTTGTTTTGTCTGGAATGTAATTAAGGAGGGAAACTTTTTAGAAAATAAAGAGTCGGGAGGTGGGTTTTATCTTCATTATTATTTCATATGATGTTTGCTAAATTTTGACGCTGACTTCTCAAGTACTACATATTGATTAGGCAATGGTTTTTGCCTATGTGTCAGTCGCGTTCAGTGTCGTGTATTTGTATTATGAGATTGTTTTCTAAAACAGAATGTTTCTGTCTATCTATCCAATAGTCAGAATTTCTCTCTATGTAAAAACATGAAATTATAACAAAGCAATAGTTATGAATGTCACCTCGATGATAGTTAAAATTTCTTCTAACTGCATTTGTCAAAACAGTTAAATGTTGTGAACTAAATATTTCTAATCATTGTTCCCAACAACTTTACTTTGCAGCAGATTGTCTATACACTTATCATTATAAAACTTGCCGTTTCCGACAATCTCGCGTGAGTTTACTTTTGTGATGGGTTTAAAAAAGATAACTTTTGATTTGGAATATCCTACAGCGAAGCCAAAAACCAACATTGACATGCGTACATGCTCACAAAGGTCAGGAAAACGGGTCAGACGGCATCCGTTCGTTAAGCAAAATAGAGCAACTGACGTAAATTAACACAGACGTAAACTACAAACGACGGTATGGAAACACAGTTGAAGCAACACACAGCATGACTATCTCCAAATCACAATCGCAAAATGTTTGGAAAACTGCTATTTTGTACAATATTCTAACTGCTTCGGCATAAAATCCATATAAAAATGGATTTTTGCCAGGATTTGAACTTTATCTGTAACCCATAGGTTGAAACCATACATCAGATTTACTTATTAGGTCCAACACCGTTTATATAAAAGCTATTCACATTTACCCAAGAAAACATCAGACCAACCTTGGACATAATCCTCTTAATCCTACAAAAGAAAGGGATTATACAGGATTCATTTTATTTTCCATAATTTACTTCACTTCACCTAAGGATGATTCAGACCAAATTGTATCTTGGTATTCCTACAGAAGAAAACAATGATTTTAAAGAATTTGTTACAGGAGAAGATTTTTAGAATTTGCTCTGATTGCCCTTTATGGTCCCGTCACTAGCCCCAGGATAGACCTTTTTCTGTTTACACAAAATTGACCTCTTTACACAGATTTGCTTCACATCAAACTTGGACAAAATCAAATCACTGTTATAGAAGGAAACAGATTATGAAGAATTTTCTTTATCGTCCCTATTTAACCCCATATCTCCGCCCTAGAGGCCCAAGACCTATCGTTTAAACCATATCCAATTTTTCAAACAGGAGGAGTTGGGTGTTAAAGAATTTTCCCTTTTCCCCTTTTATGTAAAATTGTGTCACCTCCACATGAATTAGGACATCTCAAATAATTCCTTCTGGAGAAATAGGATTTTAAAGAACGTGTAAAAAATCCCTCTTCTGGACCCCATCATTTATACAAACTTACCTTCCCCACAGATGTTTGTGACGAAATCCGTTCAGTCGTTTATGATTTCTAGTCCTTCCGACCAGGTAAGCTAAAAAGGAAAGAATGGACAGACAGATGTTCCCCATACCCTCTTCCAATTTCCTCCCCTTGTTCAAAATAACATGCAAAGAGAACGGCTTTATAGGCACCGAGAATAAAATAACTGACCAACCTTCAGTGACACCATATGGACAGGTTTCTTATCGATAGCAACAGAGCTGTCTTCGCTGTCTTTCAAAATTGTCTTGGGGTCTCTGATATCGAATGGGTCACTTTGAAAATCCAATTCCAATAGTTTATCCGACCTTTAAATGGAACAATAGGGCCTATATTGTTCAACTGTTCTGTAGGTTGAAAATTTAATTTAAATATCATACAAATTATTTCTAGTATAGATAGGCAAGTGATCGAAATAACATGATAGTCATTCATCCTAGAATACAAGTTGTCTAACATTATGACACTGGATCTCTTCAACACTCTGCCACGGTATGTGCTCGTTTGCCCTTCAGACAGAAAAGTTAGGAAGAACATGCTTATAGCAAAACTGGTGATAAGATAAAAGTATAATAAACATTTAGATTCAAATTTCTATTTCTTATACCACGTAAAATTAATTCGTCTTTCATTTTTTGAGAAGGAGATTCTTATACACATTATGCTTTAATTCCTAAAAAAATAATGCGCTTCATAAAAACACCAATTTTTGACAATACCTCCTGCTCTTACATATATTATCATCATATATGATATTTACCTTGCTTTCAAATTGTATATTATAATCGTAGTTCCCGACTTTTCGATATCAGCCAATTCTCTCAATAAGTCGTCTTCAGTTTTGAATATTGAATGCTCCAGGATGGCTTTTAAGCTTGCGGCCTGATCAGAACGGATTCTATCTGAGATATGTGAAGGACGAATAGCTGTTTAGAATGATTAAATGACGTATGCAATTAAATTTGAGTGGAATATGTCGCTAGGCTTGTCAAACCCTCAAGTTCACATAAATCAATAATCTGTTTTAATTAATGGTTGGTATATCGTCATTTCTCTGTGAGCGACAAATAGCAACAGACGTGTACAAGGAAAAAATGAAATGCCATGAAAGCCAACCTTTCAGTTACTTTAATCCGTTATTCATATATGCAATATGTTTAGAAATAATGACCCTAAATTCTACTTTTTGAAATGTAACACTGCATTGTGTTAACTGGATTATTCAGATATCATCAAACTGTGTAATAACTAACTGCATGGTACCCCATTACCTATTTTACCTAACAAATCTCCTTTACTTCCGATAAACATGTTTACTGATACTTTGTTTTATTCAGAAAAGGATACGGTGTGGTCGGTCCCATGTGACGATTGGCACCAGTACAGTCTGTGCGTTTATGTTGTGGAGGTATGTTTGTGACAGGAGACCCACACTTATAGTATCTTTATGACGGGTAAACACTAAAGCGTCTTTACCAAGTCGCATCGCGCCAGATTTGAAGCCGTTACCATATCGTCCAACAGCCTGGTGACGTGCATTTGCAAACTGCTCCTTATCAGAAAATCCAAAGCTGTGTAAACCGAAGATATATAATCATTAGATACCGAAATGATAAAGAAAAACGTAAAATATTTTGTACTCAATACACATAGCTGTATATAAAGGAAATGTCACCTTACCTATTTGCTAATTTATTTTAGATACCCATCATCCGTGACAATAAATAACCAATATACCGTGACTGTACAAACGCATGCGTTCTTTTCTATTCAAACTTCCATTCAATTTCTGACTTTCACCAAGATACGCGATCGCCAATACATCTTCAATCAATTAATTATTTTACATGACTTTCTTGATAGAATACAAGCTCATGGGAGATAGCACCTAGCAGCAGGTCGCTACTCACTTTGGAGTTAATAAAACGACAATACTTCGATTAGTTTTACGTCTCCACGCCATGGAAAGCTTTGATGACAGACTGAAATTAGGACGTCTACGGGTAACGTCGCAACGTCAATGTCGGTTCATTAGGTTTGTCAATTTGCGTGAGAGCTTTGACGGCAGCCGAAGCAGAACGAAATACCGTTGGTAATGGGAACCGTCGATTCCAGCCAAAAATGGTTAGAAATGGTCGCCAATGCTTGGTTTCCCTCCGGCATCCGAATGCGATGGTTAACAGCACATTTGCCCAAACGTTTACATATGAGATGTTGGAGTCCCATGCTCTGCACGGATGAACCGCGATTCACGTTATTTCGATCAGATGGCCGTCAACGTGTGTACCAGCGTCGAGAATATCATCTTGCAGAAGCTTATGTTTTGGAGCTCGACGGATTTGGGGTAGGATCGGTTATGGTTTGGAGAGGAATTCCCATTGTTTAAATATTGAGATGAGATCCTGAGACCTCATGTTGCGCCTTTCATTATCAGGCAACATTTGACATTTCGGTATGATAACGCTAGGTCACAAAGTTGCAAGAGTTTGTAGCTATGTTCTTGCAACCCAGTACATCTTCCTTGTTGATTGTCCTCCATATAGCTCCGATATTGTCTCCATTCGAACACTTGTGGAATGAATCATACAGAAGAGTTCGGAATCCTGCAAAATCCTAGACAAACTCCGCCAAACAACCGACGCAAGACATTCCACATGTGTCTGGTAACAGTTGACTACGGATGATTAATGGATGGTTTGGTGCAAACATTACAACTAAAAATTAAGTTTCAATTCCTAATTTCAGCTCTTAGTTTCAGTTCCAGTTCCTAGATTCAGTTCAATAGGCATAACCTTCTAATAATAGAACTAGATGTCAAATATACTGGTAACAGTATACATAGATATATGAGATAGATACACTGTACGTGTCACCATGCTTTACTGGTAACAGTATACATACATATATGCGATAGTTACACTGTACATGTCAGCATGCTTTACTGGTAACATATATTGTAACAAAACAGTGCTCGACAAATTGTTTTGAATAATAAAGGAGCACGTATTTAAAGTATATAGATATGTTTAGATATTTAACTTATATATATGATTAGGTAGTAGAATTGTGCAAATTTGTATCTCTAAGTTAATTAAGTTATATTTACACTTCGTGTGTCCAGCGATGTGTATTTCCCGAGTATGTTTACTTACCAAGCTAATATCACCCTTCAAGTATTTATTATGTATATATACTGTTACTAATAAAGTATGGTGACATGTTCAGTGTAACTATGGGATATATATATATATATACTATAACCAGTAAAGTATGCTGACACGTACAGTGTAACTATCGCATATGGGCAAGAATTCTATATGTTTTAATATCATTTCTGACATGCTTTATGATTGATATTTTTTGTGTCCATGTTACATGCAATATATGTGTAACTACTTTATTACTGAAATGGTGAGAAGGTTGCAAAATTATCGATAGAATTTTCTTTATACGACAGTAACACATTGAAAAAAACGACTTTTCTTGTTTTCCAAGAACATAATTCTGATTATATTTATCTCTTAATAATTGCATGTAACATTGACAGAACAATAAGAGGAAACCTGTTTTCATAGAATTTCTGAAATACGTGATAAATTTGAAATATGCAATTTTTCAAGTCGAGAGGATGGACAATGTTTTGAGATATACAAACCTAATACTAAACTTTAAACAGGCCAAATAACCATCAATCTCAGTTTGGGAATAGTGTCTATGTTACATGCTCTAAATTCATTAATTCTGTTTGTTCTTAACTGAAGTAAGTTTCAAAATGATTTTTTGTTACACATAGAAAGACACCATTAACAGTTATACCTCAAACAAAATTTGTAGGCTTATGAATATTTTTATTTTTTTCTAGCAATGTCACACTTGGGGTTACATTAGCTAATTCTTGCCCAGCTTATTCAGCAAAACATGTTACTCTTTGTTCTAACTTTGTTTAATGGGTCTCACGTAAACAAGAACAATTGTGTCTGGTATTCGGTGACTTAATGGTTCATCTGGAAACAACATACTAAAATAGTACCTCATCATATTATGTAAAGTCTCCGGGGTCATGCCGTCTCCGTCATCTTCAAAGGTGAGACAGACTTAGTCCTCAATCAGGCGTTGGTCTATCCGCAGCTTTCTTGCTTTCACGTCAGGGTCATAAGCATTGTCTGAAAATAAAATGGTAAATCTCGAAAAGCTGTGAAAAACAGTACATAGATAATTTTATGGAACTCGAAACATCAACTTTAATAAATGACATGAGAAAGATTACATGAAGCCATCGTCCAATCTGAAACTGTAGCCTTCAGTAATTTACATATATTATGATTAATAATACTGTAATTTGAATAACAATTCAACTCTGATGTAATTGACGCATAATAAAGACATCTTCCCCTAAAGATGTTTCTTACAAAATGTTGTCAAAATCAATTAATATACATATTTGTATTATTATGGCTACAGTGGCAGAGATTTGGATACCTACCGATTAATTCAGCAACCGCACTGAACGCCCAAGTATGGCTAGTTGAATTTGCGTGAAGGAAGGCAGGGTTGACCTGAAACACAATAATTTTGTATTACATATAGATAATTTTTGTTTTAAAAAACTTTGTTAGACTTTATACTAGAAATGTATCCACCACATATCATGATTATAGGCCATTAGATAATAAAATAAGTTGACTGTTTTGACTCCTAAGGCGAGATATTGAATATGGGTCCAAGTCATTTCTTTTTTCCCATTCTATTGGGCTTCATCAAATAAATTTACCTGTCAACGTTCATGATTATAAGCCTTTGATAAATCATTCCTTTTGTTTGTTTATTTGCAGGGTTTTTTGCCAAGTGAACACGAGCCGGGGTCTCCTTGAAGTAGCTGGTGGATACCACACTGAACAACATACGGGATGGCCGTCGCAGGTCATTTACAGCAATTATGGTAAAGTGCCATGCCCGTGGAAACAACTACAACGGTACAGATAGGCCCATTTTCTAGCATCATGAGAAACAGAAACCGAGACGGGTGAGAAATATCGAACCACACACTATTGGTTTTTCAGATGAAGTAATTATAAGCAAAATTGACGTCACACGTCACGTCAAGGCACAAAGTCATCTGTCTCAAGGTTGGGGTAACAAAAACTAAAACTGTCTAAGGTCCTTAGCAGTAGTTCATATCTTTAACGCCAATTTGTCTAATTATTATCTGAACAGAGATAGCAAGTGGTAGTCCCCGAGATCTGCCAGGCCTGCATGCCACGTTTGAATTCGTACGAATACTGGCCCGGTTCAGAGTATACACATGTACTTGACGCTGTTCTAAAACTATCTGAAACATGAAAATCACGCAATACGTTTAATTAAGGAGCTGCTGCACCACTCAGTCTAGATTCTGACTTTTCTTTTGATTTTCCTAAGTCGCCTTCTTTGCTTCAAAATTTTTGCCTTGATCATCACTGACGAGTCCTTGAAGAACGAAACAGTTGTATGATGCAGTTTAAAGCGGCTATTACCTTAGATTTCATGTTGATGTTCAACGTATTTAAATCGTTTCCTGGCTTTAGTGTGTACATACAAGAATAATGTATGAGGAGTGACGAATATACCCCAGGTAGAGATTTATTTTATACTTAATCTGGGTAATAACAGAAAGATTATATACAGTGCCAACATTTTAAATCCCCTACAAGGCAATTTGTGTTGATAAGGATTTAGATAGTTTCAGTGGGGTCTTCCCTGGGGGTCTTCCCCGAACACCAACTCTGGATATGACAACATGTTTACATAGGGGGTCAACTGTGATGGTAGTGGATGATAGGCTGTTTTAGAATTGTAGTACAGGTAACTTGCACAGGTAAATTCTGATAACTGTTCAGAAAACAGGTAAATCAGATGATTAAGTTCTGATTCTGATAACTGTTCAGAAAACTGAAAACTGTTAATAACTGTAAAATAAAGGAATCAAATATCTGTGTTAAATCTGTTTAAATCCCAAGCTATTCAATGGGAAATGTATTAAAGCCAAGTTCATTTTTATCATATTTCAATCTGCACTTTGAAAGATCAATATCTCAATCATTGCTTGATTTATTACTGTACTTTTGTCACATATATATATTGTCAAATCATAACTTTTGTCATATATATATTAGTTAATCTTGTATTTTCTCTCAGTTTTTGTGTAAAAATTGTAACTTTTGACAAATATTAGTTAATCTAGTATTTTCTCTCAGTTTTTGTGTAAATTGTAACTTTTGTCAAATATTAGTTAATCTTGTATTTTCTCTCAGTTTTTGTGTAAATTAGTTAATCTTGTATTTTTTCTCAGTTTTTATGTAAATTGTGTTTAATTTAATCTTGTATTTTCTCTCAGTTTTTATGATTGTGTTGAGTATTATTATCTTTGTTGTTTGATACAAGGACAGTATGGCTAATGCTCAGATCAACGTTAAGTTCATCACCAACAGAAGAGGCGGACAGAACCTTTCACATAATGGATTCGTCTTCAGACAGATTCGAAAGAACGGCAGCAGGACATTCTGGAGATGTTCGACCTCAGGCTGCTCAGCATCACTCTCGACAATCGACAACATACCAGCTAACTTCGGAAGAAATCCACACACCCACGCCTCAGACCCAGCCAGTGTTGTAGCCAAACAGATCATGAACCAGATCATTGATATGTAAGTATCCTATTTACAAGGACAAGTTGACATTCTTAGTTGAAACAGACTATAACTTTAACATCAAAGGATTCCCTTTATAAACACCCTCCTTTCAAGTTGGCAGAGTTGGTGTTCGGGGAATGAGCCCTTCCCTGAACACCAACTCTGCAGGACTGTTGTACAGGTAACTTGTACAGGTAAATCAGGTAATTAAGTTCTGATAACTGTTCAGAAAACTGCAACCGTAAAATAAAGGAATCAACTGTATTCGTTAAGACTCTTCCAATTCCAAGCTGTTCAACGGGAAATGTATAAAAGCCCAGTACATTTGGGGCAATTATCATATTTCAGTCTGTACTTCGAAACATCAATTTCTCATAGCTTGATTTATTACTTAACCTTTGTCACACATATGTTAATTAATCTTGTACTCATTTTCAGTTTAGTGTAAATTATAACTTTTATCATATTCATTAGTTACTCTTGTACTTTTTTTCAGCTTAGTGTAAAGTGTGTTTAATTTGAGTGATATTATTATCTTTGTGGTTTGATACAAGTAAAGTATGGCTAACGCTCAGATCAACGTTAAGTAAAGTGTGTTTAATTTGAGTGATATAATTATCTTTGTGGTTTGATACAAGGACAGTATGGCTAACGCTCAGATCAACGTTAAGTAAAGTGTGTTTAATTTGAGTGATATAATTATCTGTGATTTGATACAAGGACAGTATGGCTAACGCTCAGATCAACGTTAAGTTCATCACCAACAGAAGAGGCGGACATAATGGATTCATCTACAGACAGATTCGAAGGAACAGCAACTGAACATTCTGGAGACTGAAGAAGAAGGTACTGCATGCCCACCCCAACATCTACACCATCATCCAGTCGCTTAAGGACAGACAGAACATGAATGACATCAGCCGGATTCAGAGAGATGAAGGAGGCACCATTCAACCCAGGAAGAAGAAATACGCCAACATTTGCAGACGCCTGGCCACCTTGAAGGACCGTTATCAGACTGGGACGATCGACCTGATGACCTATGCTGATTCAGCATCCGGGCTTCTTCATCTTGGATAGAGTGCTTTGTGTTTTCTAGTAGAGACATATCTATTACTTGACTATCAAAGGTTGCAAAAGGACATAATATCTAGATAAAGTGGATAATGTATCGTCATTAATAAACATAACAGTGCAAATTCAGCTTCATTTAGGGGTTTACTGTAAGTTTATTTTAGTGCTAAAATGTGCATATTGATTCACTATTACATGTATAAATATAAATTCAATTTAATTGCTGACATCAGTATATCATTGTGACTTAATGAATATTGTTTATTAATTAAACATAATCTTACATGATAATCATTAAATAATGAATAATAATATTGAATATTAATATCTAATAACTATTTTATATTACTTTTATATGCTAAAAACTGTTTTACAATTAATTAAGACAAATAGAAACTTTATCTATTTCATTATTGATATGTAAGTATCCTATTTACAAAACAAGCTGACGTTCCGAGTTGAAACAGACTATAATTTTAGCTTCAAAAGATTCCCTATATAAACACCTTCCTTTCAAGTTGGCAGAGTTGGTGTTCTGGGAATGAGCCATTTCAACATGTAAATTTACATGTAAAACGTCATCTATCATTTTACATGCATCTTTATTTTTCAAAAGGTTTATGTTCATGATAGTTCTTTCTAGATATAGATATTTAAAGATATGTTTAAACAATATTCACGTTTTAATTAATTTTTCTTTATAACCTTATTAAGTATGAAGAGAATTATTTCATATATCTTGTGAAATGTTTGAATCTCTTGAACTTTTTTTATTTTCTTTAGTGTAATATTATGGTAATTTTGTTAAAAAAACAAATATTTATCACATTTTAGAATATTGACTATTTTCACATATACATTGTACCTTATATTTGTGTACACATTTACTGATGGGCCCTTAGGCCAATAGTTGATAAAATTGAATGAAACTTTACTGACTATTAATCATTTCTCATTGATAAATTAGTAAATTTGATACAAATTACTAGAAACATGATATTTTTTAACCAATAATGACATTGTTTTCATAACATACAAGCTCATCATCCAATCTTTAGGAGAACTTTTTTATGAAGTAGCAGGTGTATTTAATGTCTTATTGCTTAATTATCATTTTGTTGCTACGATGAGTTTGTGTTCCCCATTAAGAGGGTTGAGGGACCTGACAACTAAATGAGGGGAGTATCCAAGCACATCTGACTGATGCTCAGATTAACTTAAGTTTGTTGAAAACAGACTCGATGTATAGGGCTAAGCTAACTTGAGGTGAAAGATATATCAAATATCATTAACAAGAAGGCCATGGCCCTCAACAGCCATCTAACAATCCACGAATGGATGGACAAACCACAGAATTTGCTGAGGGTGGGCCGACAAAGTTGATGAATTCAAAATTTGAACATTCCTTTAAGTATTAAAAACTCACAAATGGTAGGTTCTCTTCATGAAAAACAGTTGCACAATCATATTACCAAATGGCTACTGTGGTCACTATGTAGAAGTTTTGATCAGATTGAAAAATAACAACAAATCCTCTCTTTCTTTTCTTTAAAGAAAAAATAAAATTTCAAATATTTTTCTGATTTGTGTGATTGACCCATGAGAAGTTCAGACTACTTGTGCGAAGTTGGATTTTGGGACCAAAGTTTAAAAATTAGATTTGGTCAGGACAATTTCAGGATCACTTCATGCATGTTTGATATAACTGCCACTCCCTGAAACTTTCAAGCCAAATTTGGTTGAAATCCACTCTGGCATTAAAAAGGAGTAGTGTTTTGGATCAAAATATTGTCTAACTTTCCCTTTAGGAGCTTGGCTCCCTGGCCAAAAGTTCCTCAAAGTCCAGTTAAGAGTCAAATCAACTTTAAGATTGAAGAAATGATTCTCAACCCACAATGAAGTTTCAGGCTAAATTTAGGTGAAATCCATTCAAGCATTAAAGTCGCTTTTTGAAGCAAAATATTGACCAACTTTTTCCATTTTTGGTCCTGCCCGTCAGTCTCTAGGAGCCAAATCAAGTTTCTGAATTTAAGAATTAATTTCTCACCCCTAGCACTAAGGAAGAGTAATGTTTTGAAACAAAGAAGTGTCTAGGTACCCATTTTGGGTCCGTAAGGGCTGAATCAACTTACTAAATTTAAGAAGTGATTTCCCACCCCTATTGAAGTTTCAGAACAAATTTGGTTGTAATCTGCTGAGGCATTAAGCAGTAGTGCAGGGGGAAATGCGAGACCCCCGGGGTCATGAAATTTACAATTTTGGTAAAGCATTTGCAGCCTTATCATCTATGAAGACTACTTGATTCTACTCTACCTGGAATGTGAGAACAAGAGTTTTGGAAATTTCAGTCAATTCGACCCATTTTTGCCCCAGCCAAACAGTCTGTGAGGGTCAGCTGAGATCAAAATATGCATCTCATTTAACTCTCATTTTAAACTTATAATTCTATCCTGGTTTAAACTATTTCTAATAGAAAATAATCAAATAATATTCAAAAATGTAATTTTCCTATATAGTTTATAGTTAACATTACCCCTCACAAGGGGGAAATCTGGGGTCATGAAATTTACAGGCCACAGGGGGTTTGGGGCTACATAATCTACAATTTTGCTGCATCTTAAGCCATGAAAGATTTTTGCAAAAATTTCCTTGAGACTTTGTCTCAGGTGACCTGAAAACCACTCTTTCTGAGGGCCTATACAGGAAATGAACCTGTGTCTTCAGTGTTATCATTCCACGGCTCTACCTATTGAGCCAGAGAATCATGCTCCATCTGCTGAGTGACTGACAGCATATTTAACACAATGTACATGTCACACAGACTCGTTCCTTTTACATTTATACAAACATATGCAGGACATTTGCTTCAGTAGACCTTTGAATGTGTTCTGGATTCCCAGAAATGATTTGGACTCTTAGCTTTGAAGGAAAATGTTGTTTTCACCTATCATTCGTCTCTTTCGATTTGTGATCTGACTTCTGTAAAGTCCAAATTTCAAGAGTAAACTGAATGTCTTGATATAACTATATAATATAAAACAAGTTTTATTTGTATTTATTTTATTGGTACATAAACAATACATGTATCACTAGATATATTCATATTATCACAACTCATTCAGTGACAATAATTTTAGTCAGTGCTCAAATAACGTTTTTTTTTTTAAAATAAAAGAAAGGTTCGAAAAGCATTTGAATCATAGTAAGTTATAACAATGTCAACACACAAGCAATGTTTAATACCAAGAAAAACACAAATGAATGGAACAGTTAATTTACAGATCACAAACATCCAAAACTGCTTGGGAATTTCGATCCAAATACTTTTTGATATTCTTCGAGATATTTAAGATATCAACTGTATTTGTATGCCTTCAGGATAATTTCTTCAAATTACAATGATGTAAAGAGCTTAACCCTATAACAGCTTACTCTATCATATTAGGGTACTCCTACTTAAACCCTATAACAGCTTACTCTATCATATTAGGGTACTCCTACTTAAACCCTATAACAGCTTACTCTATCATATCATGGTACTCCTACTTAAACCCTATAACAGCTTACTCTATCATATCATGGTACTCCTACTTAAACCCTATAATAGCTTACTCTATCATCTTATGGTACTCCTACTTAAACCCTATAACAGCTTACTCTATCATATCATGGTACTCCTACTTAAACCCTATAACAGCTTACTCTATCATATCATGGTACTCCTACTTAAACCCTATAACAGCTTACTCTATCATATCATGGTACTCCTACTTAAACCCTATAATAGCTTACTCTATCACCTTATGGTACTTCTACTGAAAAAAGAAACTTTCATCACTTGTAATAATATTCCAGGTTTGATGATTGTTGCTTCCCCAGTCCAAACGTGTGGTTTTACAGTTTCTTCTGGGTGTGCTGACAATTGATCACCAGGGTGTGTGCATACAGTTTACTTGTTGGACACTTACAACAACACACAAATGCTTATAGGAAATAATGACAGTTATAAATCACTGATCTACAGATGTTTAGTCTGCTTGATTCCACTCAAACACAAAAGCTATAACTTTTTGACAGTCCCGACTGTTGGTGGTTATGTATGCTGAAGCTTAAGCCTCAACCTTCTCCTTCTTCTGTCTGTAGTTACTGAGGGCTGCCTTGATAGCATCTTCAGCCAACACTGAAACAGAAACCAGCAAGTCATAAGACATGGTACATATAAATTTTTATTTTCAGTTGCAAAAGATTTTTCTAAATTGACATTCTTTTTTCTAATATTCCTAAAAAGAATACTAAAGATGCACACAAATTTCAGTTGCATCTATACTAATGAGAGTAAGAAAATGACATTAAAATATTATGATTATTGTTGATTTTGAATAAGTTATACATGTTCAAACATTTCTTGTCATAACATTAAAATGTATTGAGTTTTGCTTCCATTTTACTTTATGTCTGAAATCTAACTGTTCATTTTTACATTGTTCTTTTGCATGCCAATAATTTAATGCAATGAGTCAATTTCATTCTAACAAAAATATTAGGGGCTAGGTTCACATAAATGAACATGTTTATTATAAAAATATATATGAATTTTAACCATGGAAATATCATTGTATTGAAGATTTCTGAAACTTCATAAGAATCATCATTCTATAACTACTGCCATCTCTCAGCATTGTCCTGTTAATGAAGAAATATCACTTGGTATGTTTAAGTTTCTATTTTTCTTCAATCAACTGTAGCAGATGCAAGAAATATCTCTCATCAATAAATATCATTACACCTGATGTATCATATTTCATGATAATTCTGAGAAACCCATTCCTCAAGGATATTAAGGAAATTAAAACACTAACTTGAACAATGTAACTTGACTGGGGGAAGGCAGAGCTCCTTTGCAATATCTGTATTTTTTATCTTGACGGCCTCATCCACCTGTTTTAACAAAACAGCCAAACAAATATTGAAATTAGTATAACCTGCATTTATGACAATCATACAATAAATTCCTGGGTATTTGTATCAAATTTGACTTTCAATATCATATCTATTTGACAAAAAGTTCATGTCTGTAATAAACTCGCTAGTACGAATTGCTGTTCAGTAAATTCTATAAACCAATGCTATTTCATTGTCCTGTACTAAGCCTATCATCTGACTTTGTGTAAGAAGTTCCATTATGTTGGCTGCCTTGGCTTATTCGAGGATAAATAGGGTATTTATATCAGGGTTGTGTATTGTTTCAACAATTAATTAGTATGTAAAGTATTTGGTATACATAGTACTGATGTCACCTTCATCACATAAAACTATATTAAATCAACCAAATACACATTCCTATATATTCACCATCCTGAAGATACTATTTCTCAACAAGAGGCCCATGGGCCTTAACGGTCATCTGACAAAAAGCAAGCCAAACCTAGAAAGTGGGTTGAGGTCATTCATTTGAACAAACTTGGTAGCCTCTCCTCCAAGCATCTTACAGGCCCAATATCAGCACTCATGGACTTTTGCTTGTTGAGAAGAAGTCGTTTGTATATTTTAACATATTTGACCCCTGTGACCTTGAAAGTGGGTTGAGGTCATTCATTTGAATAAACTTGGTAGCCTTTCCTCCCAGCATGCTACAGACCCAATATCGGCACTCATAGACTTTTGCTTATTGAGATGAAGTCCTTTGTATATTTTAACATATTTGACCCCTGTGACCTTGAAAGTGGGCCAAGGTCATTCATTTGAACAAACTTTGTAGGGCTCCATGCCAGCATGCTATGGGCCAAGTATTAGCCCCCTAGGCCTTCTAGTATTTGAGAAGAAGTTATTTAAAGATTTTGACATATTTGACCCCTGTGACCTTGAAAGTTGTTCAAGGTCATTCATTTAAACAAACTTGGTAGCCCTTCATCCCAGCATGCCACAGGCACAATATCAGCAATCTGAGCCTTTTGGTTATTGAGAAGAAGTTGTTTAAAGATTTTAACATATTTGACCCCTTCCTTTAAAGTGGGTCAAGGTCATTCATTTGAACAAACTTAGTCCTTCATCCCAGCATGTCACTGGCCCAATATCTACACTCTGAGCCTTTTGGTTAATGAGAAGAAGTTGTTTAAAGATTTTAACATATTTGACCCCTGTGACCTTTAAAGTGGGTCAAGGTCATTCATTTGAACAAACTTGGTAGAGCTCCATGCCAGTATCCTCTGTGCCAAGTATTAGCCCCCTAGACCTTCTAGTATTTGAGAAGAAGTCGTTTGAATGAAAAGTTTATGGACGGCGCACGGCGGACAGATGACCTAATAACTTACCGACTTTCCTTTAATCCATTCTGTTGCTAAGGAACTAGATGCAATAGCCGATCCACATCCAAATGTTTTGAATTTAGCATCCACAATTTTCCCATTGTCATCCACCTTTATCTGTGATTGATACAAATACATCAGAAATAATGCTTTCATACATTAAACAAAGTCTGTCATCAAGATAATGCTTTCTGATAAAAGGAATCCTAGCTGTTAATAGTGACGGTCAAATACTGGTGAAAATTGAATAGAATACACTTGTTCCTTTAACTTAGCTTCCTGTAATCCCTTTCACTTAACAAGTAAAGTTTTGCAATTTGATAGGTAAAATTTTCTATGGAGGTTAGGAAGTTATTAGAATGTATCTCTGCATCTATCTGTGACTGTATTTTAAGTCTTGGTCGACTGCAACAAAGACGAAAAATTAAATCGTGATTAGATAGTTAGAACCATTCAAAAGAAGCCATTTAAACAAGTATCTGAAACCATTACACTGCAAAAGTTAAAATACTTGACATCTGATTACAGTAAAAGCTGAGTGTGGTCCTTCAACCAAGTTAGCCCAAAATATGCTGCGAAGGACTCCCATTAACTAGCATAGCCAACAGCACAATGTAAATATGTACCAAATCTGAATCCATGAGTTGAAAATGTGTCAAATCATCAATCCATTCAAAATTGATAGTGCAAGCAACAACATTTAAATGTAGTTTTGGGGTATAGATATTAGATATACTATATGAACAAGTGGCTCAGCTATCTATAATGTATTACTCACCTGAAGTTTCATTACATCCCCACATGCTGGAGCTCCAACAAGACCTGTACCAACATTGGCGTCTTTTTTGTCTAGAGAGCCCACATTCCTGGGATTTTCATAGTGGTCAATCACCTACAGAAGCAAAAGATTTTTATTTCTGTTTCAAATATTACAAATACAAACACATTGTAATACTCTGTGAATTTTTGTAACATATCTTCAATCAGTTAACATCATAAATAAAAACATTACTTGATGCAAAAGCTCTTTCCTGTAAGTGCTTGATTGTTGTTAAACCCAGTGCAGTCCCATTTAGTTCATTGATTCCTTGCATATCCTGAGCAACATATCCAAAATGGTAAGGAGACAAATAACATATTCTATAAAATGTAGTTGCAAGGTAACCACAATACAACTAAGAGCCAAAGAAATAGCATACTGAAATATATATTGCAACTCAATACTTTGTTGTCACTTGTTTCACACTATACCATGTTTCCTTTTTACTTCCCCATTGCTCTGCAACAAAATGTGCTGTCTTGGTGCTGCCAAAACAACATGGCTAATATAACCATTTTTCTGCAGTTTAATATTTGCAAAGCGCACAAGTACAAAAAAAGTTGTTCTCAACACACTATCATGTACATACAGCTCTCTCGTAATGTGTTTTCCACAAGTCAGTCTCTTTGAACACTGCTCAATGGCCACACAGCATTCTGTTCCAACTACACCCTTTATTTTAATTAAAATCATATCTTATATCCTGGTAATTGACTGTCTACCTTAACAGAATCAAAGTCAATTTACTTTCTTTTTAACCATGGCTCTGGAACTTCAAACTAGAAACAGATAACCTCAGTAGACACTTTACTTTAGGTAAATGATCTTCTTTGACACTGCTTAAATACATACTCAATCTCCACATGTCTGTCTACCTGTAATCTGATTCCCTCCCAATTTCACTATGCATATGTAGTGCTCTAAAAATTTGCAAGAAATACAGGTGAGAGTCACTAGGCTGCAGCTCTTCGCAAGGCAGCCCTCTACTTTCTTAAAGGCTGATGTGACACAAACATGGTGCCAATCCACCGATTCTTTCCCTCAAATCTCTTGTGGTAAAATCCAAATGGCCTCTTGCCAGCCGATTTGTTTCTCAGAAAAGTCTCAAAATTTGCGTTTGCACATTTAGGCACTAGGTACTGCAATGTTTGGTAATTTATTTAAGCAACATTTTTATACATATTAAGCGATCTTGAAAACCACAAATTTGCATATCGTAACGTTAACATAGGCCATATTGGGCGAAAATTGCATCTTTTTTCGGCACTTTCTCATGTTCAAATAAATATCATTTTTGCAGTTATGCGATTTTTCATGACTAAATAAATACAACTTAAGAAAAAAAAAGAGAAGAAAAAAATCAATAAGAGCTCGGTTTAAAGTGATTTCGGCTATTTTACGTCAATAGCACAATAGGCTAATTAGCGTTTTATACAGCTGATGTACGCTACTTTGTGGTTTTCCCAGACCTAATTAAACTATATTGCCTATGACGGCAATAATCAGTTCAGAATAATATCTCTAAAGTCACCGTGCATGGTGATACTGTGTGTACACATTAAGTTTATAGCACATGTACATGAAGGTCAGAATATATGCTCAGATTACAATAAAAAAGAAAATTCGAGAGAGAAACTACCACCTTGCATACACTACAGTAAAGTTATTAAACACAAATGCTTACATTTTTATGATACAGAGCCACTGGCGATGCAAACTTGCTATCGAAAAAGGGTTTCAATGCTCGAGATGTAGAACGTAGAAGAGCCATTTCACATGTTTATATTTTTCTATGCCGAATTACCTACTTCCGGTTACATACGTAAAGAGTACGTAATTTAAACTAGTTTTAAAAAGCAAAATACGAACTTTATTTTCATATAATAGTCTTAGGTCTCAATTAAAATACTTTTCGGGCACCAAATATGTTGTATTTAAATGAAGATCACATTTTTCTTTTGCGTAGATATACGTTATGAAACAATCCAGGGGAGATCTCATTGTGCAACTTCCGGATAAATCAAAGTGACCGTCATAGATTATGCTGTGCTAATTATACTCAACAATTGCTTTATTTTTTGTGAGGACTTATACTTAACACAAGAATACACTTGAATATGTTAAATAGAAATAATGTAGTTCCATGTGAACATGTCACTTTAGGTTCTGTCCTATGTAATATCATGGTAAAGTGAAAGTAGATCTACGCCGCTTTCGTGTAACCTTGTTGAAACGGTTCAGATGGTCTGGAGTTATTCCAATAGACACGAACGCATATGTACCGAATGTTGGACCTGATTTGTGTGAAGCTCAAAATGTACAGTTTCGGAATTTTCTATTCAGCATAAAACAATTATCTAAAATCAAGGTACCATTCATTTCACTCATACTTAAAAGACGAGACGACCTAATCCCTTTTTGGGATTCCTCCTTCGGTCTCATTTATATCGGGCGTTTGACAATGTCTCTGATCCCAAAAGGGATTATGGACGACATAGTTTAATATCAGTAAAGATTCTTACCTAATCAGTAACTCCCTAGCAGCAGCTAACATGTAAATAAATGTGTGTGGTTACAAAGATACGCTAGCTTATTGCACATTTTTGGAGATACTTGCACATAAAAAGTCAACTTACTATATTGTTAATCATAGTTCACATAATCAAATTTGTACACAACAGAGTGATCTCTTTTACTAATAAGTCAAACACAATCCTCATCATTCTTTCCAAATATTTGACATGTAAGTATAGTTCAGTGCACAGTACACTATTTTCCCTTTTGTTGACCTCCATGCCATTGGAACATTTTTACAGCTTACTGATGTGTACCTTTGGTCTACACTGGTGTTCCCCTTTCACATTTTTTATGCTCCGACTTTATATTGAAGAAGAGGTGACCATGTTTCCCTTTTTGATAGTCTGACCCTGTTGAAACACACTGCAAAGCTTTTTTAAAAAATTTCAGTCGCATGCTAACTATCGCTTCAGTTTGTTGAATGTCCGGTCTCTCTCACAAATTTATTGATGGCCAGATTTCAATCACAATGGAGAATATTTACTTTGACATTGTGTTGTTCCATTTCTTCATAAAATATCATGGTGCCAAATTTTTCATGTCACTGGGAAACTGGGTCATCTGATTTTGTGCCATGTATATGTCTGAGGACTTTGTGTGAGTGGTGTCCTTTCTCTACAACACTAGTATCTGTGGCATTCTTATGTCAACCATGTCTGGCATCTGTCATTATATCTATGCCATCTAAGTCTTCATAACTGGGAACTTCTTCAATGACAGCAGTTTGAATGCTGTCTTCATGTTCCTCTCTAATGGCATGAACATGTAGATCAAAGAGCTCTTGTCATTTATCCTTTGTGATTCACCCCTTTTGTGCCCCAGCAGAAAGCCTTATAATGTAGTGAATAGGAAGCTTACACTACCGACCATAACGTGGCATATCCTATTGTTTACAAGGTATCTGTTGTTGTGGATATTAGTATCTGATCATAAAGTTTAGAATACTCTACCCATGTATTGTTTACATTAGTAATTGGATAAAGATTACACGTGTGTTGATGTGTGTAAGGAGTCTGATTTATATACATTGCCATCAATGTTGAGAAATTGATGACCAGATTCATATTCCTCATGAAAAAGTCAGTGACTATGATAAGACTTTTGTCTAAAATTTTTTTGTCCAATATGTATTTGAACAAATTCTTCCTAGGCTAAGATTTAGTATTTCTAGTCATTTTCCCAAATTGTCTCCCTTTTATACCCTCACCTCGGTTTTCAATAGCACAATGCTTCCAGAAATATTGAGTGTACTTCATGCTGAAATTCTGAAAACTAATGATATTCAATGCAGAAAAAAACCCTGATGACCAGGAGAAGCAGAAAAAGATGGTAAATGTAATCTACATTCAGATGTCACTCATATGATCATGTTGGATGTTTTCTTTTAGAATTATTAGCGCGAAGACAATGACCAATGTTCACGGCTCTCAGAAATAGAAGTGGGCTCCAGATGTCCACCATACTTCTTACTGTAAAGTTCAGCTCTTCATGTTCCTGTCCTGTTGAAGTGGATATCGATTCAAGTATTCTCGATGTGAAATCAACCTTGTCTAAACAACTCCAGATTCCCACAGATGAAATACAGATCATTCTAGCAGGAAGAGTCTTGGAGGATAAATCTACAATAAAGGTACAATTGAAATATTATATTGAGGTTTTAGAAATTATGAATTAATCTCAGCTTCTCTTGCTACAATCATGTTATTTTAGAATTCCTATAATCTTAACACAAATTGAAGCATCAATATACATTTAGAGGCTTCAGAACAACAAACAAGTTTTGATGATTTGTTTTGTTATTTATATATTACTCATATGACTATCAAATTATTCCTTTTTAGGACCTGTGTATCAGTAACTGTTCAGTTCTACATGCCTTTCAACAGAAACAACCAGAAATTGACATCAAACTGAGAGAAGGTGCAGTAGGTGGTGATACCAGTACAACATTTAGGAAAGGTGAAGTTAGAACTGATATCGACACAATTGTGAGGAAGGATGGTGTTAGAACTGATATCAGATCAGGGTGAGGAAGGATGGTGTTAGAACTGATATCAGATCAGGGTTAGGAAGGATGGTGTTAGAACTGATATCAGATCAGGGTGAGGAAAGATGGTGTTAGAACTGATATCAGATCAGGGTGAGGAAAGATGGTGTTAGAACTGATATCAGTACAAAGGTGAGGAAGGATGGTGTTAGAACTGATATCAGTACAAGGGTGAGGAAGGATGATGTTAGAACTGTTATCAGTACAAGGGTGAGGAAGGATGGTGTTAGAACTGATATCAGTACAAGGGTGAGGAAGGATGATGTTAGAACTGTTATCAGTACAAGGGTGAGGAAGGATGGTGTTAGAACTGATATCAGTACAAGGGTGAGGAAGGATGGTGTTAGAACTGATATCAGTACAAGGGTGAGGAAGGATGGTGTTAGAACTGATATCAGTACAAGGGTGAGGAAATGTGAAGTTCGAACTGATTTCACAAATATTTATGTTTAACATACAAGTCATTTGGTTAATAACTTGCATCACATATTATAGAATGATTGATTGATCACAAAATATACCGTAAATATTCGCGTATAGTGCACACTTTTTTAAGCTGAAACTGTCGTGTCAAAAAGGGGGTGCGCACTATACGCAGGTACATGCCATTCCTGGGGTTATCATTCCCAAGTTCTGCGTCCGCCATATTGGATTACCTCCCTTCACATAGTTATATGTAAAAGTCGTCAGTCTTATATGATAGTTTGGAGATAAAAACAACAAAAAAATAAAATAAAATAAATTTCGAATGTTTTAATCATCTGCCATTCACGCTAGCATTACTGTGAATCTAAGTTTTTTTTCGTTTCCCGTCGGTCTTACTATTGGTCGGGGCTATAGTAGTGTCTGAATTTCTGCCTCTGGTACATGTAGTTAAAAATTATGGACTCACTAAAACAAACTATTCTAGAATTCACTTAAGTGAGGGCAACATATAAAATGGCTTTTGGCAGACATATACTAATCAATGTTGACCTTGTTATATTAATCAGTTGAGCCATATTACCAGTACTTTGTCTACTGTAAGAAGTGCCAATGTCTACAACCAGGAAAACTGAGGGTCAGATGTCAGGCCTGTAACGATGGCTACATCATTCTGTCTAGGGTAAGTACAGTCAGGACAACTGAGGGTCAGATGTCAGGCCTGTAACAATGGCTACATCATTCTGTCTAGGGTAAGTACAGTCAGGACAACTGAGGGTCAGATGTCAGGCCTGTAACAATGGCTACATCATTCTGTCTAGGGTAAGTACAGTCAGGACAACTGAGGTCAGATGTCAGGCCTGTAACAATGGCTACATCATTCTGTCTAGGGTAAGTACAATCAGGACAACTGAGGGTCAGATGTCGGGCCTGTAACAATGGCTACATCATTCTGTCTAGGGTAAGTACAGTCAGGACAACTGAGGGTCAGATGTTATTGTTGTCAGGATGGTGACATCATACTGTCTTGTGGAAAGGACAGCCAGGAAAACTGAGGGTTAAGTGTCAGTCTTGTCAAATGGACTCGATTAGCATTTTGAAGTTCAGTTTGGTTATTCATGAATAATCTATAACAGTTGATGAATTCATGAATTTACCAAATATGTTTTTACCTCTTTTTTTCAAAAGACCAAGTTATGTTATTGTATATCATAGTATCTGACCCTACTTGTCATGAACGACAGAGCTGTTTTTGACCAAAGTTGGTTTAAGGCATCTTTGGGGGAAGGGAAACCTTTATAAATGTTGGGTCTTTGCCCTCAGAGGCCAGAGGAGTAGATTCCAGTATGGGAAAACAGCAAGTTCTTTTAAATCCTACTCCTCCTGTAAGAATGATCGTATTTTTGCGTACAATGATTGGAAACATTCTTGGGTGAAAGTAAATCAATATCAGGATTCTGTCCCATTTTGTCGGTAGCATCCTTAGGTGAAGGGAAAGAATTTGTCCTTATTGGGTCTGGAAGGGATAAAAAGGGAAAAAATTTTGTTTAAACCGTCGGTCTGGGCCCTATCTGCCCTATGTGGCAGGTGGAGCCAAATATGGGCCACATAACAGGTATAAAGCTTCCTTGAAAAAAGGACATTCAGATTTGTGTAAATGCAGGTTTTGGCCCCCTGAGGCCAGAGAGTTGGAGCCTGATGGGAAAATAGAGCACATTTTGTTTTTCCAGTTTGATGGGAAGCATGCTTAGGTGAAGGGGAATCTATTCTATATGAATGGTAGGTCTCGGCACTCTTGGGCAGAGGGATAGGGACCCACAGAGGGAACAAAGCAAATTTGTTAAAGTCCTACTCTTCCTGTAGAAATGATTGTATTTTTGCCAAATTTGGTCAGATGCATTCTCATGTAAAGGAGAATCAATTTTGTTTAAATGGTAGGAATTATTGGATTTTGCCAAAATTTGGTCTGAAGAATTCTTATTTCGCTGGGATGGGAGGGGTTGAGCCCAATAAATGAAATACAGCAAATTCTTTCAAAGGATTCTTAGTCTTGAGGAATTGTTAAATTATTGCCCCTATTTGGGTCTGAAACATCCAACTGCTATGGGGAAGGGATCTAAATTTTGCATAAATTTGTGCATCTGATCCCCATGGGGCAAAGATGTGGGACTTCATAGGGTATATATATCTATCAATCTTTTAAAAAAAACTTTTCATTTAGATGAAGCAATTAAACCATGTGAACAATACAGGCCCTATAGGCCTCTTGTTTGATAATGAATCAGTTTCTCATTTTTTTTACCCAAAGATCATAAAAAGAAATTGTTTTGTATATTTTGGATCTTGCATCTTAAACTGATGCACTGCCCACTCTACATTTACATTGACAGGATCCTGAGAATTTTGACGATGTGTTACAAAGTGGACGTATTCAAGGAGAATGTAAAAGTGAGCAATGTAATGGACAACAGAGGGAGGCGGTGAGTATGTAGCAAGTTTCAGCAGATTTTTCTTCACGGGATACTGCTTAAGAAGAAGAACACTGCGGTTATAAAAAAAAATTGATAAAAGTTGTAATGATAATTTAAATATTAAAATTAAGACTGGAAAATCAAAGAAACAACCATTTTTTTTTTGAGGGGATATTAAGTTCTCTATGGCACCATCCTCAAAATTCCAGAAGTTATGATCATTTATGATCTCAGCAGAATTTTGAGGATGCTTTGGCACTCCATTTTAACTCCTAACTCTCAGGCTGCAGTGAAAACCAAGGGATCAAATGCCTTGGACCGTCCTACTACCTTCGGGTTATGATTTTGACTGTTCCCTTGTTACTAGTAAAACAACTGTGTGACCGTAGTGTGTTGGGCTAGACACAAAATCAACTCTAGTATCTTCATTCTTATGCTAGCCCTACAATTTTGTACTAGTAATGGTAAGATAAAAAAAAAAAAAATTGACAAAATCGATTAAAGTGATTTTTATTCCTGTTGGATGTAAATTCAATAACATTTAAATTTATTGTATTTTAGAATTTTTTTTTTAAATGTACTGGACATCGAAGTGAAGAAGGTGATACAGCTGCAGTGTTAAAACATACACGACCGAACAGGAAGCGTAGAGCTTGTATTGTCTGCTCAGATATAGGGTTTGTATCAGATTATGATAATCAGCATTCTAGTATTGTCTTGGCTGAGACCTGACACCTGTTATATGTAACATAGCCACATATAATATGTGTATTTAAATTAATGTAAAAAATAGGATGGTAAATTTAACATTCTATAAACTGTTTTAATTTTCTTTCGCAATTTTGAATTGTGCAAAAAAAAAAAAAAAAAATTAATAGACCCAACTGCATATACATAGCACTGAATTGAATATTACAGATCAGTCAAAGAATTGTAAGGTTGGTTTTCTCACCTGATTGCAGAAGGAAAGGTTTTTTTTTTTAAATAAAGAATATTTTTAAGGAATGCCATACTGTTGGTTTGTATTTAACATACATAAGAAGCCTTTATAATAATGATCAGTTACACAATACGGTAGTAGAAATGCTTGATATCAAATAAGAAAAGATGATGTGATGTCTAAGTGAATGGTTCTGGTGTTTTCAGGTCTCCTGTAATGGTGTTTCCATGTGAACGACACCATGTCATCTGTCTTGATTGTTTTAAATCCTACGGAGTTGTGAGGCTAAATGACAGAAGTTTCACAGAAGATGAAAATATAGGATATAGTCTACCATGTCCAGGTAAACTCCCATCAATATGTACATACATTCACTCTAGTAGCTAGAGCTAATGAGGCAGATAAAACGCAGTTAAAGAGGCCATACTACCCTCCCATCAATATGTACATTCATTCACCCTAGTAGCTAGAGGTAACAAGGCAGATAAAACACCATTAAAGAGGCCAAACTACCCTCCCATCAATATGTACATACATTCAACCTAGTAGCTAGAGCAAGTGAGGCAGATAAAACACCATTAAAGAGGCCAAACTACCCTCCCATCAATATGTACATACATTCAACCTAGTAGCTAGAGCTAATGAGGCAGATAAAATGCAGTTAAAGAGGCCAGACTACCCTCCTATCAATATGTACATTTATTTACCCTAGTAGCTATAGCTAATGAGGCAGATAAAACACCATTAAAGAGGCCAAACTACCCTTCCATCAATATGTACATAGATTCAACCTAGTAGCTAGAGGTAACAAGGCAGATAAAACACCATTAAAGAGGCCATACTACCCTCCCATCAATATGTACATTCATTCACCCTAGCAGCTAGAACTAAAGAGGTAGAAAAAACACAGTGAAAAAGGTATTCACACAATTTATTATTAAATGTACAAAAGTCTTATGGTGATCTATTCTAATACACTTCATTTGGCATCATGTGTCGTGCTACCACAAACAATTTAACTCTTTTAACTTCTTAATAATCCCTGATCTGATTTCAGTGAAACTTTGCATAAACTTTTCCTGGTCTAAGATGAACCAAAAGTGTGAATGATACTGACCCCACCCCCCAGGGGCCTGATGGGCTGGGACAAAAGAGGTCTAATTTACTTAAATTTCTTCTCAACACCAAGATATAGTAGAATCAAATACTATACTATATTCAGTGACACTTGATAACTATCTTTTAACCTTTATAGTCAATACTGCTTATCTCAGGTGACCGTCAAGCCCGCTAGACGTCTTGTAAATCGTGAACCAATGAAAACTGATGAATTCCATCACGTGTTACCTTTAAATTTTTTTCGCTTACAGTTGGTTGCCGTAATTCTTTACTTGAAGATGCTCATCATTTCTGCCTTTTAGGAGTCGATCAGGTATGAAGTATTATTATTTCCAATCTAGCGAAAACACACAGCTGTTGAGAATTATATATCTAGGAGTGAACTTAAACTGTATAAGCATTCAAAGTTGATCAAAGTATAATTTTTAAACTTTAAGATCTATTGGCATAAAGTGTCACAGGTGCACATCATTATAAACTCATGTGACATTATTGAAACATGGCCAAAAGTTTGGCACCACCCATATATTAGAATGGGCTAGATTTTGTTTGCTAAATTTAAGAAAAATATTCAATGACAACTCAACAGGATATATAGAGACTATTTTTAGGCATCAAGCGAAACTATACACAGTTTATCGGAAAAGAAATTAACAGAACTGAAAGTGCTGTTCAATTTTCAAAACACAGGTTCAAAAAAGTATTACCAGAGTCTACAAAAAAGAGTGACTTAAACTCTGTCTTGTTAAAAAAATGTGTAATCAAATCATCAAAACTTGTTACTTGATTAAGATCAACTAATTAATATGTTTCATTGGGTAAAACCACCACACTCCTGGGACAATATTCATGCTCATCATCTCATACCCTTGACCAGATACTGAGGCTTGTTCCGAGGAAACCTCCGCCACTCCTGAATTGAACTGTTTTGTATTTTAAATGCCTGACTTGTCCAAGGTAGTCTGACACATGCTCAATTGGGTGCATGTCTGGTGACACTGCAGGTCATGGGAATGTCTCTTGTTGAAGGTAGTCTTGTACTAGGTGGGCTCTGCATGGCTTGGCTTTGCCATCCATTAGGATAGGCTGATCTGCTAATGAATGTGGAACAACTAAAGGCTGAAGGATCAGATCAAGATACTTTTACCCATTTAAAAATCCATATAGGACATTCAAGAAAAGATTTAAGGGTCAAGAAAAGCATCCCAAAATTGTGCCCAGAATGTGATTCTGATGTTTCCCAGTATTTCTTGGTCCCCAAACATAGAACCTGTCGTCTGTTGGACTAAGTTAAAAGCGACTTTCATCAGACTAGTGGGCTCTTCATCAGGACCTAACATTTCATGTCACATGTTTGTGCTTTTCAGTCAATAGAGGATATTTAACTGGTTGGCAGAAGTGAATTTGTATATTGTTCAGACGTCTTTTGATGGTATGCCAGCTAATACAAACATGGTGTACCTCTTTCATCTGAGCTGTTGGCAGTGGTGCATTGGCCTTGTCATGCCTTTTTACACAGCAGTCTTTCTTCTCTATCTGTAGTCTTTGAAGGTTTACCAGATCTTGGATGCTTGTCAACATGTTTGATTCAGGAGCTGCATTAACTGAGAGATAACAGAATGGCTGACATTAAAACATACAGCTACTGGCCTGTATGTAATATCACCTAGAACCATTCCAGAGGCTTTCAGCATTTGTCAATTTTCAATGTACCATTTTAAAATATAGTATGAATATGTGTATGATTTACCAGTAATACACATACAAGTGCTGCTTTAGGTGGCAAACAAAATTGTTTTGTTGGAGTATGGGGTACCCCAGTAGTTAACTTGAGTGTATCGTTTTAGTGGCATACAACACCAAACACAGATGGAGACACTACAAGGAGTACGACAAGATTTATTTTTACAAAAGGAAAAAGTCAATTTGGTTAAGAATTTCATACTAAAATGGATGGTCCCTAACTTATGGCCAAGAGTATATAATACATGTAAAATTAAATAATAAACAAATTTATATACTAGAAGTATTAATGAAGAAAAAAATGTTGAGGTTGTGTATACTTGTTCCTGAATTAAAATAAGACTTAAACATTTATTAACACCTCTCCGACCCAGTATGAAAGGTACAAGAACTTTGCTACAGAGGAGTATGTGCTGCAGAATGGAGGAGTGCTGTGCCCTGCAGTAGGATGTGGCGCTGGATTCCTTCTTGCTGAGGTTTCCCGCAAGGTTACCTGCCCTACTTGTCAGGTATGGAATATTACACTGAATTGTCCACTAATATCAAACCAAATTCAAATTCTGAAATTCAATATGACAGCTAATATCATTTTTACATATAAAAAAGATACATTTTTTGCTTATTGAAGTTTCATTGTAAAATCTACAAAAGAAATTTTTATTGAAATCACTAAATTATAACTCCTGTTTGGTCTTATTTTCTACTAAATTTTCGTACTAGAATATGTTTGTAAGGTTGATTCATCGTAGAAATTGAGAATGTTGCTTTTGAGGAAGAAAGGGTTGGTTCAGAAACGTGTGGCATGAAATGGAGGAAAGATCATAAAACCTTGTCCTGTTAGTGTAAATGTACTCATTATAACTAGATTAGACCTGGAGGGGAATCCTAGGGCTAAGGAACATGGGGGTAAATCTGATCCTCCATGCCATACCAAATAAGATATTAATTTGATTTGGAGTGTATTTATGATTAAGGATCGTTTGGACAGAGGGGCAGGCCTAATTTGGGAACAATAGTTGTTAAAATTGAAACTTTTTCAGCATTTACTTCACTATTGAGATCAGGAAATGTTATACAAATGGAAGTTGTGCTCCAAAGTACCAAGAAACAGAACGTGAAATTTTTAATACATGTATTCGTAATATTGATGAAAATTAGTCTTTCATAATATAGGGAAGCATTCAGGTAAATGTGTTTTTTTTTTTTTTTTTTGCAATATTTGGGAAACATTCAGGAAATCACAAAGCTGTTACCTCCCTTAATATACTCACTCTTATATTGTTTTAAAAGAGTACTGTGTTTAAACAGCCCAGCACTTATTGACCTTCCTATACTTACATAGTATACATTCTGTGGAGAGTGTAAGCTGGAGTACCACGAGGATCCAGACTGTCAAGCTTTGGTCATACAGGAGTCATCCTCACAGGTCAGAACAGAACATTATTATCTTTTGCCCATCTTGATGGACTTTCAAATTACCTTATGTCTGTAGTCCACTAGTGTTATCACTATTTCTTGAGAAGTCCTAGATGGATCTTTCACAAATTTCAAACGTAGGTTCCCCTCGGTCCCAAGTTGTACCCATTGGATTTTTGGACTAATCAGAAAAGCTAAATGGCTGACAAGTGACCATCTTTGATTTTTCAGTGTAAGATTATCTGTTTAGAGGAATTTTCAAATATATTATGATGAGCAAAAACAAAGGATATAATAGAAAAAAAGGAAAAAGATATAAATCTTAAACACAATATAAAAACCAAACAATTGTAGGTGCCAAGATCCCTCTGGGATCTCTTATTATCCTGAAAATATCATTTTAGGAATTTTAAGACCCATCAGATATCTTGCTGTACTTACTTAATATGACTACCTAAGTGTTCAGAAATTCTTCAGTAATTAGAAGAACCCTCAAAAACTCTGTAGACATTTTTTAAAAGTTAACGTTTTTTGTGCTGAATATTTAAAATATTAAAAAAAGAACAAAAATAAAACATACATTCTATTATGGTTGCTGGACTGTACAATCTGCAACATATATTGTAACTTATGGATGCGTTGAGGTGTGAAACAAGTATGTAACAAGTTCGGTAACAGTTGGACTTAAAAAATTTTGAGCAACAGATCTATGCAAAACTTGAAGGTGAAATGTTGACACTGCTGCCATTACTGCCAGAAAAATAACACCATTGCCTTACATTCACAACTTTTTATCACATGCAACACAGAAATCACCAGTTGATTATATTTGTCTCTTTCCAGCACGTAATATAATGCTGGGTGTGCAAAAAATTGTCTCTTTATCATGTAAATTATGTAAAAAAAATCCAGACCTGTTCTGGATATTTTTTCAACTCTTTAGAATTGATGAATGTATTAGATTTGGACATTAATTACACATCACTATTTTTATGCTTGTAGAATTATATTGTTAGTGAGGAACAAGAGCTAAGGGCAAGATGGAACCTTGAATCACTGGAAACAATAGGACGTATTTCCAAACCCTGTCCTAACTGTAAAACCAATACAGAGAAAGCAGGTATGTTTTATATTTCTATAATTACTACGCTGGAGTCAGAGCAACCATTGGATAAAACTGAGTTATATAACACTTACTCCACCGAGGATAAAGTTCAGATATCAAATTTAATAGCTAATTTAATAGTGACTTCATAGCTTAAGATATTTTATTTAATAACTTGAATTGAACTATGGATTCAGGTGATAATGTGAAATATCATTTTCACAGATATTTACCACAGATGGTTAAGTGATAAGGAACAAAATTTCGCATCAGTAGTCAGACCTCACTATAATGGCCACTTGAAGGAAGGAAGGACAGTGACTTTTATAGAGAGGGGCCTCTGACTTACTAAACTTTTGCTCAACCAATTGAGCTTAAGAGAAGTTCTTGGAGTATACAAATTAAGTGCATTACTTTTCAACGTAAACCAACCCCCATTCAACTGTCTCAATTTTATTCATCTCCATCAGGTGGCTGTATGCATATGAGTTGTTCACGGTGTTATTTTGAATGGTGCTGGATGTGCGAAAAAGAATGGACAAGAGATTGTCAAGGCAATCACTGGTTTGGATGACCTTTTTCTCTGGAACTACATAAAACTGGGCTACCTGTGTTGACATGGAGCAAGGACCTTTACCTTATAGCATTGTCGACTTGAACTGATACGTTTACTTATCTTAGTGTAATAAAAACATTGACTAACCTAGATGTCAGAAAATACATGTGTGTATAATTCAGCTACAAAAATACAAGTCATACTTTCAATTTGGATTGAATATCTCCTGTTTGTAGTGAGAAATTAATAATATTGAATAAATTTGAACATGAATTTGTATAGAAACATACGTTTTTTTGTTGATTTCATCAGTTAGTCATGATACTCTTTGACTTCAGAAGCATTTAACACTGCATCAATGTCCTTAGATGTAGTCTGTAGTTTTGCCTCTTTTCCGTCTTTCCATCTGTCCTTCTTCCTTGTTATCTGGGCTTTATCTTCTAAACCACTTGTCATTGGATCTTCATAATGGGAATATGGGTTCAACTTGAGGGCATGTGTCATGTATCAAAAGAAGGTCAATCTGACCTATATTTTTATCTTCAACCCATGAAAAAGAAAAAAATTGTCCAGGTTGTATCTCCAACATTGCTTGTCACTTGAACTTAATACTTGGGTTATGGATTCACCTTGGTGAAGTGATTTGTTGGTGTGGAACTGTAATTAAATGAATTGTCTTCTTATTGTTATTTCTTGAGAAGAACTCATTGGCTCTCTTTTTCAAATTCCATATGTACTTTCCCAACTAACCCTGGTTGTGCTTTTTTTTTTAATTTTGGGATGATCAGAAAAAACAAAATGACTGACAGGCAGACATCTTGGAGTTAATTAATAAAATTTTGTTATCATTATTGCTTGTAAAGTATTTGATGGAACCTTCTGAAATTCATATTTAAGTTCTCCTTGATTGTCAGTTGTGCCCTTTTGATTTTCAGAAGTACCAAGTGAAACTTTCTCAAATTTCATATGTACCTTCCCTTGGTCCCAAGTTTTGCTATTTTGATCTAGGGAGGGCAGCATTCTTGCATTTTGACTACACAAGTTCGTTATCGCTGTTCCTTGGGAAGTACTGGATGAGACTGATAACAAAAACTAAACACACAGTAGGTGACAGTCATGGATTTCATAAAGATTATTATCGCTATTTACTAAGAAGAATTTTCGAAGTGTTATTAAGAGCGAATACAGGAAAGAAGGGAGAAGATCTTTTCAAGAACAAATAAAATTCACACAAAAGTGTGCACCATGATCCCTCAGGGACATCTTGTTAAGAGAATACAATTTCTTTACGAACAGTAAAAACTTTTGAAGGAAACTTGATAAGAAACTCATGTTATTGCATGAAAATATCTGTTTTACATTAGAGCAACTGATTACTGACAAAACAGATATAATAATCCCTATAGATCGCCTACTGAGGCATTACAATAAAAAGGCAGGACTCGGTTAGATAATATCAATCACATTTAGTGTTCACTTTTATTTATAAGAAAGTTTTTTTTTTCAAATTTACAAAATATAAAAGGAGAATGCCACTGCATCCCATTAATTATCACATATAATACACAATACTAAAACATTCTATCAGCATTTTACAGCTAGTATACAATAAAAAGATCATTACCTTATCTTTACAGCAATAGGCTAATGTCCGCTAATAAGCCCACCCATGTCTAATGCAGTTAAAGAAAAGATACTAGCAAATGCTATGTTATTGTCCTGCAATGTACCCATCCCTTACTTCAAGTCAAATATGTTACCTACACTGCAGAGTTTCCCAATAATTCACACTTCCTTTTTGTCTATTGCTTTTTCTATTAAAATGTATTCATTGGTTTTAAGACATCAAAACTGTAATTGTTTACAGATTAACGAAAGTTAATAGTCATTCATCACAACAGACTTTGACTCCAGTGATGTGTGACAGGGACCTAATTATCTACTACGTACATAAATTGAGTAAAAAGTAAAAGTTAACTTAAGAACTAGATACATTCACATTTTTTATAACTAGCAGAATTCTATCAAAAATATGAAAGAAATTGGACAAGACTTCACCCTATACAGCTACATGGGTTCTGCATTTGTTCAATATTTTTCTATGTTACATAAAAATCATTCATGTGACAATTTAAGCTTTATGTTTATAAGTATATAATTCTTAGCTGTAATAGTAGTTTATTTCTTAGAATCTCTTTTTACGTCGCTCAGAACCAGCCATAAAAATCAGACAATGGTCTGAGAAGCTTTACAAAATTAAATAAGATTGAACTATTTTTTCCTGGGAAAAACTGGAATTCTCCTATATATAAATTGTATGTAATTAAAAAATCAAACATACCAAATACAACATACAAAAATAATGAATTAAGACAATAGATTATTGATATATAGAAATAACAATGTACAATACATCAAAACATATTCAGATATTTGGAGCATCATGAACCCAAATACTGATGGAGTTAGTAGTCAACATCAATACTTCTGTACCAAAAACACAAACATATGTATGATAGGACCAGATACTGATGGATGGTCTACAGATGCTTCTGTATCATGGGACCAGATACTGATGGATGGTCTACAGATGCTTCTGTATCATGGGACCAGATACTGATGGATGGTCTACAGATACTGATGGATGGTCTACAGATACTTTTGTATCATGGGACCAGATACTGACGGATCGTCTACAGATACTTCTGTATCATGGGACCAGATACTGACAGATCGTCTACAGATGCTTCTGTATCATTAGACCAGATACTGATGGATGGTCTACAGATCCTTCTGTATCATGGGACCAGATACTGATGGATCGTCTACAGATCCTTCTTTATCATGGGACCAGATACTGATGGATGGTCTACAGATGCTTCTGTATCATGGGACCAGATACTGATGGATGGTCTACAGATACTTCTGTATCATGGGACCAGATACTGACAGATCGTCTACGGATCCTTCTGTATCATGGGACCAGATACTGATGGATGGTCTACAGATGCTTCTGTATCATGGGACCAGATACTGATGGATCGTCTACAGATACTTCTGTATCATGGGACCAGATACTGACGGATCGTCTACAGATACTTTTGTGTCATGGGATCAGATACTTCTGTATCATGGGACCAGATACTGATGGATCGTCTACAGATATTTCTGTGTCATGGGACCAGGTACTGATGGATCGTCTACAGATACTTCTGTATGATAGGACCAGATACTGATGGATCATCTACAGATACTTCTGTATCATGGGACCAGATATGACAGACTGATGGATGGTCTACAGATGCTTCTGTATCATGGGACCAGATACTGATGGATTGTCTACAGATGCTTCTGTATCATGGGACCAGATACTGACGGATCGTCTACAGATACTTTTGTGTCATGGGACCAGATACTGATGGATCATCTGACTTCTGTATCATGGAACCATATCATGGGACCAGATACTGATGGATCATCTACAGATCCTTCTGTATCATGGGACCAGATACTGATGGATCGTCTACAGATACTTCTGTATCATGGGACCAGATACTGATGGATCGTCTACAGATGCTTCTGTATCATGGGACCAGATACTGATGGATGGTCTACAGATGCTTCTGTATCATGGGACCAGATACTGATGGATCGTCTACAGATGCTTCTGTTTCATGGGACCAGATACTGATGGATCGTCTACAGATACTTCTGTATCATGGGACCAGATACTGACAGATCGTCTACAGATACTTTTGTGTCATGGGATCAGATACTTCTGTATCATGGGACCAGATACTGATGGATCGTCTACAGATATTTCTGTGTCATGGGACCAGATACTGATGGATTGTCTACAGATGCTTCTGTATCATGGGACCAGATACTGACGGATCGTCTACAGATACTTTTGTGTCATGGGACCAGATACTGATGGATCATCTACAGATCCTTCTGTATCATGGGACCAGATACTGTATCATGGGACCAGATACTGATGGATTGCCTACAGATCTGTATCATGGGACCAGATAGATGGATGGTCTTCTGTATCATGGGACCAGATACTGATGGATCGTCTACAGATGCTTCTGTTTCATGGGACCAGATACTGATGGATCGTCTACAGATGCTTCTGTATCATGGGACCAGATACTGAAGGATCGTCTACAGATAGTTATGTCACACGTCAGAACAGAATTCTGTATCATGGGACCAGATACTGATGGATCGTCTACAGATATTTCTGTGTCATGGGACCAGGTACTGATGGATCGTCTACAGATACTTCTGTATGATAGGACCAGATACTGATGGATCATCTACAGATACTTCTGTATCATGGGACCAGATACTGACAGATCGTCTAGATGCTTCTGTATCATGGGACCAGATACTGATGGATCGTCTACAGATGCTTCTGTATCATGGGACCAGATACTGATGGATTGCCTACAGATGCTTCTGTATCATGGGACCAGATACTGATGGATCGTCTACAGAGACTTCTGTATCATGGAACCAGATACTTCTGTATCATGGGACCAGATACTGATGGATCGTCTACAGATGCTTCTGTATCATGGGACCAGATACTGATGGATCGTCTACAGAGACTTCTGTATCATGGAACCAGATACTTCTGTATCATGGGACCAGATACTGATGGATCGTCTACAGATACTTCTGTAACACATTGTGAATGAAACAAGTATTACTGACCAGCTTTCTTTCCTGACAACATGTCCATGAAGTACTTTGATAACCTCCCTTAAAAAGCATGCTGTCATAGATAAAACATCAACAAAGAAAGCATGACTGACTTGTTGTAGAATCACAACTATGAATCTGAGGCAGACAGATCAACATCAAAACTGATTCTTCAACATACAGTAAAGCATGCCTTAAGTTGATCATTAAAGAACAATATTACCTTAAAAGCATGAATAAAACAAATGAAATCCTTGTTAATGTTAAAACCTAAGTAGTCATGCCATGAATTAATGATCACTTCAGGAGTAGTGTATACGAGATAGCAGAAAATTGTTCAAACATCTGTTTACATGAAGTTGCAGTAGTACATACAAGCAATATATTTTGAAAACTCTAAAATATGTAAAAAAATTAATAAAATAATAAGTTATGTAACAAAACCAATGATACTTACAGATACACAAAGTAATGAAATTATCGAACAAAATATATCTGGCATATATGAATTCTGCGGAGATTTTAATGCATGAAATATTTGGTTGCTAGCTTAGAGTCATTGTTTACACAGATATGGCAAAAAATATGGATGTGTGCATCCTTTGTAATCAAACAGCTTTTCAGATTAACAATAGTACTGAAACATGAAACATGTTGAGAAGGGCCCTACATTGTGTCAGACTCTAAATCTGTGTGTAACATCAATATTTGGATGGCACAGTGGAAACGCACTCGCCTTTCACTTTGCCATCCGGGGTTAAGAATAAAATTAAGAACCCCCTTATGCTTCCATCTGTGCCAACAAGAGTGATCTATATAAGCTGATAGCTTGTTTCATAATTGTTGTAAAATACATGAAGTTTATATCATATATACTATACATCAATATTGAATTTTTATTTATTTCCTTACAGTCACTATAACTTGCCTGTGAAATATAACTAAATATATCAAATTTGACCTTCACCTTTAAAATCGTAACATTCAGATATTCTTTTGCTGTATTTCCAAAACGAAAAGCAACTTCCTGTGAAGAAGCAGAGAATGCCGTCTGTGCGTAACCATCCAGAAACTGCAGAAACTGATATTCTAAGCATAGTAACATTGACCTTGACCTTTGACTTCAGGACCCGAAAATCACTCCCATGCAAAAATCTTCAGCAAAAATCTTCAAAGCAATGTGTAAAGTTTGACTGCCATTGGCCCAACAACACAGGATAATATTGTGGCAGAGACAGACAAATGGACAGGCAGAAATTCTGACTACTGTAACTGAAAAAGTATGCATCCAGTATCAAATATCTCTGATATACATCCATCACTAACACAGAAGGTATTCAGAAGAATTGAAGGTTGAACTCCGATGCTTAACACAGATAGGACTCATAATATGACTTAGTAATACAACTGCAGAGATGTAATAATTGTTGACAGTGTAATTATGAATAGATTGTAGTCACTATTTGTACTATCGGTAGTTAGCTGCCAGAATATCACAAACTTATTTGAATGCTTACATGCTCAAAGAATGATGTAATCCAATACTCATGGTATTTTCTCTAAATTTTATATCAAGTTTTCAATTTTTCATCATTACCAAATCAAATTTCCACTTAAAAAACATGAACATCTTTTGTATACAATTAATATTCAAATATGAGGTAAAAAAAAGCAGTTTTTCTTTAACAGTACTACTTATATTGTCTTATTAGCAAATATTGTTAAATGGAACACTGGTTTTCAGCGACAGTCATGTAAATATTCTCTCTAACATAAGTAAATAGAACAGTGGTTTTTTTTCATAAATGGTAGGCTTATTTCAAAGTTAAAAGTATAAACTGAATTGGATGAATTAGGATTTAAGACTTTATGTATGAAACATGTACAAATCTACATGTACCTTTACCATAATAATGTCAAGCCAGCTCAGTAGAGACGTATGTAGTTATATGGCAGAGAAGATAGTGCACTCGCCTGTCACCAAGAGTCTGGAATTCATTTTCCTAACAGGACATTAAATGTCTGAAATCAACTGCCTAACTCCTTGGGTACTCATTTTTCCTCCCAAATAACCAACAAGATTGATTACCAATAAATACAAGTTCTTTTGTGATGTTCGCATCCATGTCAGCAATAACTTCACATGATATTGCTACAAAGGGTAAGAAAATGTCTCTGACCAACTACCTGCCTATTTATTGGGTTTTCTCCTCAGGTACTCCAGTTTTCTCCCACATCACCAACAAGAGTGATTACTAATCAATATAACTTCTTTCATAATGTTAGCACCCTTTCAAGAATTATTTAACATCAAAATACTAGACATGGCAAGAAAACGGAACTACAGGACCACCTCAGAAAATTATTTCATAGCTTTCACCTGCACATGTAATAACATGTAATTAATAAAAAATACATGCAATATTTTGACAATCTAACAACAGAACATAACATTTAAAGTCCATTTCAAATAGCACAACACAAATTCAACAAATGACCTACAAAATAAATTAAGGTAGGGCATTTTTTTCTTCAAGTATCTCATGTTAATCCACCATGTAATTTATAGTAAGATGATGGTTTTAAACTTTGAATCTGCATCTATATTTTCATTTGGTAACTTAGTAAGCATTTAAATTAGGAAATTTCACAAAAGTTAGCAATTTCACAAAATGCAGAACATTTGAAAATTCAAGTACAGTGTACATAGATATCATTTGCACTTATTAAAAGATAGCTGACCAATTCTTTTTCTCCCACAAAACTTAAAATTTAGTAAGTAGGCAGAAGGTCCAAATTCTGTTTTCTATGTTTTTATTGTTTTTTAACAAACCTTTAAAAGGCATGAAAGAAAAATTGAAAATAGAAGAACAAGAAATAAAAACTGTCAAATTACAGAAAAAAAAATTATTTGATCTTGGAGTGTTACCAAAATGAAAATCTCGCGAATACATTCTGGGAAGACTCATCAATATATTTTGGAAATTTTGTGACTATACATTCATTCATGCTTATAACCTTAAGATTTAAACTTCAAATAAAACATGTATATCTCTAGCAGAGACTTATGAATATTCCAAGGAAATATTAAATGACAATCTATGACTAGAAAAACCCTCTCTATTCAAATTGTCAGCCTTCAGCTGCACATCTAGCTTCAAGTCAATAAAAAACAGTACAAGATATGTAGGCCATGTTTGCTTGTACCAGCAGAAATCTTGATTGTAGCACTAACATACACTAGGAACAAGTATATAGAAACACTAGGGATGCACGTATATAGGAACAAAAGGAACACATATACACAGGAACAATCAACACAGGAACACTAGGTATCAATTAAAACCAAAAAATTCATCAATACAGAGACCAGGCTAGCCATCAAACAGGATACAATTATAGGTATAAGTCCAAATATGGAAGCTTGATATGTTGATACTAGAAATGAGAAGCTCTTTTTCCAACATTCACACATAAAAAGTGAGACCCAAAGTTTTGTACAGTGAAGTATTGTACCAATACAATGTATAAGTTTACAGCTTATTCTGTATGTTTTTATCATCCTTACACAGTGTTAAAAACTTCACTTTACTCTTCATAAAGATACCAATTTGTTATCAATTAATTATAACATTGATGGATTAATATATGTATGAAGTAAATTATGCCTGAAATGACCTCTGAAAGAGATTTGCTACACAGACTGTGAATGAGAATCATGTTAAAAACATGCTGAAATATCCCTAAATTTTTACTACAGTAAAAACAATATGAGTAATGGCTCACATAAATATGCCCAACCCCAACCCCCTCTAGATCAAAGGGTGACCATTTACTTTTAACCTTCACCAGTCACCACTAAAATCTAATCAAGTGTAGACCTTGGTGGTATGATACTATAGTGTGAATATAAACAAAATCTGTACAAAGTTTCATGAGATATCTGGTACAAAATGTTATCACGGATGCACAGACGAAGTGATTACTAAATACTCCCTCTCTTACGCTAGGGGTATTACAATGTAACAAAGGACTTTGACATTATCTAACATATATAACTAACAGACTATGACAATGTCTATCATAATTTATATAAATGTAATTATATAACAGACAATATACCACATAATACCAGTTCTGACAGTCTGAAGCCTTTAATGCCCTGTCAAGTTTTTGAAACAAAACCCATTCCTGTGGAAATCCTAAATAAGGTACCACAACACGATATCATCTGAACAAAGAAATAAAACCCTGAAAGTATTGATAAAACAAGACATTATGAGGCCTTTATCAATCAAGTTATAAAGTACAAAGTGTAATATTTACTTATGTTATTAATACATAATACATATACCACTGAATGGCTTTGGTTCGGCAATGGTTCAAACCAAAGAATATTGATGTTCAAAATGTACTTCATTTCCCCTATTGAGCAAATTAGGCCATTTGACAAAAGAAGGGTAAAAAAAAACCTTTAACCCATAGGTCCTTGAATACCTATGTTTAAATATATTTCCTTCTAATGTTGAAGTCTATCAAACCATTCACTCCCTCTGCCCAGGATAACTCATTCTTAGTTTTAATCACTCTTTGTTTTAAAACAATCAATATCTTGTTCGGGGGATGTTCCTTTTTAAAACAAATATCTATCCAGATGGTCCTCTGCACATGAATTTAAACGAGGATGTTCAATTCCAAATGAAGCTTTTTAAGGATATGATTAACAATTACAATGCTTGCTGTGGACATATATATATGAATGTATACTGCCAATATCACAATGTTGTACCGATTCTTCTTACCTTTGTATTAAGAAACCATTAATATACCAATGGATGAACTTGTCAAGAAATTAAAGGCTTCCAAGAATACTAAATGGATAGACTACATATAAGCACTAAGATGGTTGATTGTGTTTGATCATCTCAGTCACTATTTCCTCTACTCCATCAGCTGTTCCTATATCTTCATCAGGGACTATGATTTTCAGAAGTTTATACACTTTCCTCTGAAGTTCTGTTAAATGTTTTTTGCCTTCCTCTATCTTCTTCACACAGTCCTTTGTGCAGCCTTTAGCCCTTTCTACAGTCTGTGTTGCAATGTCACGTTTACAACTAATGACATCTTTCTCTATCTTAATTTTGCTGATGTCTGGTTTAACTTCTTGACTTGTAGAGGAGATTTTTGGCTTTTTCGGTGTGGATGGTTCCAAGTCCTCATCATCAAGTGTAAGATCAACTATGTCGTTATCACTAGATGAGCTGGGTTCATTACATGGAATGACTGCCACTACATCCCCATCCTCAGTCTTGATGCAAATTGACTCACTGTCCTTGGAACTAAAAACAAAGAAAAAAAGTATATCTGCTGTATTCTGAGAGGAATCCTGCACACTTAAGCAGATGTGTTGCAGAATAAAAGGAAGTATGAGATCAAGCACTGCCCTGCTAATTTATCCTAACTATACAAAGTATATTAAGGCTAAATATCAACAGAACATTATCACTGGTAATATGAATCCTACTTTTATGTGGAATCTTGAGGGTGCAAAATCTATAACGACAACAGCTAATAACTTGGTATTTCAGTATTGATGTAAATTCTCAAATATAACCAGGTACAACTCTTATTTTACAATCCATAGCAAGACAGAGCAAGTCCACCACAATATTGTTTGACAAGATAAGCTTTCAAAATCCGTAACAAGGTAACAATCCTCCTACCTTGTAGATGAAACAGCTCTCGGACTGCTACCAACCACATTCTCCAACAGCTTCTGTTAAGTAATAAAGGAAATCAAAATGTTTGGCATGTTTATAGCAAAAGGCATTTATTACATGTCAAACAAAATCTTGTGGTCATTCAACACAAATATCCATGTTGTGAAGGAGTTCCTGCAATTTCTGCAATTTGCTTGTTGTATTCCGTTTCTACAATATACAATTATGTGAAATGCCTGAACATTATAAAATTTAGGATCTCTTTCATATAACTCTCGCTTTAATTCTCAATTTGTAAAAGTACATCTATCGCAGTCATCTGTATCTAACTCCTTAAAGTTGTTTTAGTGAAAGCAGTTGGCCACGTACAAATTGAAACTATGAGTGAGCTGCAGAATATTATGCACATGCAGTTCAAGGGCTCCAACAGTGCCAGTCTGAAACTTAACTTGCTGAATATCATTAGTTTTCAGAAATTCATCATAAAACAGAGTTAGTGCACACAGATATTTCTGGGAATGTTATGCTATCAAGTATGAATTAAAACAAACAATGCCCATTGTTTTAGGTTTCAGGAAATTCTTAAAAAACAGTGCATTTTGTGATTTACATTCATCAGTTCCAGTAGTGCATTTGTTTATTGTGGAATGATTTCAGGTTGATCATGTGAAAGCGGCCCTAGCATCTATGTGTGTATGTAAATCATAGCCTATATTGGTATCTAACAGATTTGATACTAGCATTTATATCAATTCAATACTTATACCTACCTAAATATTTACATCAGTATCTTTACTCAATACATCAGTATCTTTACTCAATATCTACATCAGTATCTAACTAGATACTTACACCAGTATCTAACTAGATACTTACATACACCTGTATCTAACTCAATATTTACATCAGTAGCTTTACTCAATGCTTACACCAGTATCTAACTAGATAATTACACCAGTATCAAACTCAATACATACACCTGTATCTAACTCAATATTTACATCAGTAGCTTTACTCAATGCTTACACCTGTATCTAACTAGATAATTAAACCAGTATCTAACTCAATACATACACCTGTATCTAACTCAATATTTACACCTGTATCTAACTCAATACTTACACCTGTATCAAACTCAATACACACACCTGTATCTAACTAAATATTTACACCTGTATCAAACTCAATACAGACACCTGTATCTAACTCAATATTTACACCTGTATCTAACTCAATACATACACCTGTATCTAACTCAATATTTACACCTGTATCTAACTCAATACATACACCTGTATCAAACTCAATACACACACCTGTATCTAACTAAATATTTACACCTGTATCTTATTCAATACATACATCTGTATCTAACTCAATATTTACACCTGTATCTAACTCAATATTTACACCCTTGTCTAACTCAATACATACATCTGTATCTAACTCAATGGTCATACCAATATCTAACTCAATATTTACACCTGTATCTAACTCAATACACACACCTGTATCTATCTAAATATTTACACCTGTATCTTATTCAATACATACACCTGTATCTAACTCAATATTTTCACCTGTATCTAACTTAATATTTACACCTGTATCTAACTCAATACATACATCTGTATCCAACTCAATGCTCATATCAGTATCTAACTCAATGCTTACACCAGTATCTATCTCAATATTTACACCTGTATCTAACTCAATACTCAACAGTATCTACCTCAATACTTACATCTGCATCTATACCACCAGCAATTTTCTCAATGTTTTCATCAACTTTTCTTCTTTTGGATTGCAATTGGTCAATGATCCTTTGTTGACGTTCAGCTTGTTTTTTAAACTTCTGTAATTCCATCATCATTTTAGTCATTTGCACACTCTCTGACTTTTTTTCCTGTGAACTGGATACCTGTTCATTTAAAGAGTAAGCATGAATTGTACATAATTACATGTCTTGCATGTTTCCACTTGTTAATATCATCAGGGTTAAAGAAATGTGTCATATTTATCGTAACTTTGTTTAATGAACTAAGTCCAATTAACAGTATTCAGAATCTGCAATGATTGTAAGGACATGTATAGATACAACTATATTTCGGGCCTTATTATGACAGCTTGTACTTCATGAGATATGTACTTAAACAACGAGCTAAATGCAAAACATTAGCGCTGGTTTGATGATTAATTAAGTCCATCAAGAAAGACTGTTGCTTATATTATCAATCATAATTATACAGCAGATTCTGTGATGAAAGAACTTGTCAGTATTGTACAATTTTGAGTTTTATACATAAGTTAACGCGGCACACAAGACAAAAAAGTGATATGTTTTAACAGCAGACTCTGATACCTACCTTGTATTACCACGCTCATGACCCTGGTATATACTGTGTGGCCCTGGTACCAATCTTGTTACACTGGTACCAACCTATTGATTCTCATACAAATCCTGTCACTCAGCTGGACCTACCTTGTGACTCTGATATGTAAACTGTGACTGTGGGTCCTACCTTGTGACCAATACATAACTTTTGACTCTGATACCAACTTGAGTTAAGAGTAGAGAACCTCCCCTGTAACTCTATTTACCTTGTGACTTTGGTACCCACCTTTTGACTCTGAGGTGATCCTCTAATCTGATTGGCTTCTTGCTGCCTTAGAGCCTGTTCCCTTGCTTGTAAAGCCATTTCTCTGGCACGCTGTTGATTCGCCTGATGGTAAAATACAGATTTTAATGCTAGAAAAATTGCATGGCTACAGAAAAATATGGTTGCAATATTTCTTTTTAAGTGAAATTATGATATGTAATGGCCTAACAAGAAGCAAAATAGTTTAACATTACCAGAGATTTTCCATCAACACTTTCCCTTTTTAAAAATTTTGTAATCCCTTATATCCTTTTATCATTCAGAAATTTTTTATTGGAAGTTCATGACAGACAAACACAGATAGCTCACCATGGTCATTTAGACTAGATTAGCTAATGATGGAATTACATGATAGGATATCAACGAGGTTAAAATATTGATTCTATTACCACAAGATCTGTCTTACCATCAATAAAACGGAAATGAATGAAGCAATATTAACATTTGTGAAATTTTAATAAAAACAAGGTTAATTATTGACATTTATAGTCCCCAAGATATACCTTGGTAATGATTAAGTGCAGAACATGCTGCTATACAAAACTTACTCCCATGGAGTGATAACCTGAATCTTTCCATCTTTAAGCATGTCACATAATTGAAGAATGCAAGCCTCTGCCACCTCTAGAGGTACTTGCTTAGAAAATTTTTTAACTAGTGACTCACTTTAAACTAAATGGTGAGAAGACAAGAGTACTTCATATCAAAGTGGTAATATGAGTATTTCAGATAGGCTCTAAACAAGTAACTCATTTTGAACAAAGAAGTAGCAAGAGTACTTCAGACTGTTCTGAACTTGTAAATTACTTTGAACAAAATGGTGACAAGAGTACTTCAGATTATTACAAACTAGTGACTTGCTGTGAACAAAAGGAAAATTAATCTATATACACTAAGGTACAAGACATCATTCAAGTGTGTACCGTGTAAAGAGTTACCTGGCAATTATGACTAATATCATGAGAAAATGAAGTATTTCCTTGACAAAGTGACCAAAGTTGAATGATAAGCCATAATAATTTACTGGTGCACATGACCTGATTTCATTCAAAATAATTCAGATACAGAAAATGTGACATTCGTCTGTAGCAGTTGTATTTGAGATATATGGAGCACAAACCCATAGTCTCCTCCACTAGTAGAGAAAAACTGAATTACTAACTGCTTACTAGCAATTTAGACTGAACAAGCAATATTACTGCTTTCAAGTAAAAATTGAACAAAAGAAACAAAAAAATGTACAAAAATTCAAAATGAAACATATTAAAATTGAAACGGTTTGATAATTACCTCCATCATCTTCAGACGCATTTTCTTCTCATTTCTGAAATAATAAATGATACCATGTATGTTAGGCATTACAATTAAGTCATATCTCTGTTAAAGTCTTCCAAAGCATATAATAGTCATCACTAAGAGATTGAACAGCCAATGACAAACCAAAATCTTTCAATCAAAGCAATCCAATAATCAATAAATTCTAACTCCACCAATTTACAGTATAATCATATGAAGAAATACTTACTGAATTTTTTTAAATGTCTTTTTATATGTTGGTCCATGTAGTGCTTCATCTTCATCTTCAGGTTCCTCAGGTATGTCACAACGACTGAGGAAAGTCAATGCAAAGCAAATATGAAACTGATATACTCTCAATATCACAAAATCAGTCTTCAAATTATAAAATATGACAGTATGGCACCTTTAAAAGTTTTAGTGAATGAAAAATACAGACTTTTAATGATATAGTACTTCAGTGCCTAAGGTTATATACTTACTTGAATTGAGCATCTGGATTCATGTGACAATACCACTTATCAGGGAGATCCTCTGACCTGAACTGAATAGGTAGACGACGCCACTGTAGACAGTTATCACACTGAGCCCAGGTCCAGTCAGGATTTACATTGGCAACAGCTTGTGCTGGTTGGGCACCCCTGTAATGTTAACACAGGCAAATTTACTCCACAGACATATAAAAAATTTTATTTGTAAGTCCTTGAACCTTGATTTATTATCATTAATGGTTATGTAGCATTGACAAAACCCATAATGGAATTTAATTTTTCAGATAGTAAGGAAATCTTCAATCAAGTTCAAAGAACCAGTTTAAGTCCCTTAAATATGAGAAAAAAATCATGTTCAGAATACCTGCACAGCTTCAACTTTTAAATAGTCATGACAGATTCTTGAATAAGATGATCCAGTATTGCCAGAAAAAACTTGCTTAAGAACTTAAACCTGAAGTTGGACACAGCTAATACAAACATCACTTTACTTCTAACAGGGCAAGGAATTGTACACTTACAACACCACACCTGTGCCTCTTTTCTCGTTCCAGTAGTCATTTAATTTTAATGAAACACTGCTGATCAATGCACTGAAATCAATAAATTTTATTTCATAAATTATCAATTCCAATAAAACATACAAAAACTCATGCAATGACAAAAACATCTTGTGCTTCATTTACTTTCTAGTTTTAAGCACAGCTTTTTAAATAATTGTACATAGAATTATTACCAGTGTTAATGTGGTGATATGTAAAGTTCTGATAAATAAACAACCGTTGTTGTATTATATTTTGAAAATTTCCAAGAATTTCAAACTGTTTTCAAAGATCTACTAATAGTACCTAGCTAGAATAATGTTTTTAAAGATGAGCATGGCTTTCCCATTGTGAAAAATACCAAGGTATGTGCTAGGACATTGTTACAAGATGACTGCAGGACTGGGCAAGTACTTACTTGTATTTTTCATCTTTGTTAAAGTCTTGTTTGTTGTGGGTTGGGGTCAGAAAGTAGGCCTCAACCACACCCACCACTCCAAGTCCAAGTTCATTAGGCTACACAATATATAACCAAAACTTACAAACTCTGGTACATCTTGTTACACGATGTTTGATGTTATTTACAACAATACAAATTTGTATCTTCTCTTTCACATTTCAAATATTTTCTTATGATTTCTTTCATTTCAAGGTCAAACTGACATTTTCCATGACTGAAGTAGTTCCATAATATGTCAGAAATGATAAAGCATTTCAGAATTGTAAGTTTTAATAAATCACTTCATTTTTTACCATTTTAAAATCTATCCCAATTTTTCACATTTAAATGTATAAATCGACAATTCTTAAAAGCAGTGAAAACACTCATTCTGCAAATTCATGGGACATGTTATGATATTAAGTTTGTACAAAATCACACTTTACACTAATTACCTGATTACTTTTGACACATCTTTACATTATAATGAAGGACCAAGACAACCGAGCCTTTCAAAATAGAAGGAGATAATCGGAAAATACAAACAGGAATAAAATCCTATAACTTCACATAGGATCTACTGCCACATTTTCATGCTTGTTTTACTCTTTTTCGAAAAAAATAGTTTGCTTACCTGTTTCTGGTATCCAAGCTTTTCATACGCTCTTATAAGTCTATTCTTGTGATACAGCATAACACCATAATCCTTATAATTCTTTCGAGGAGCAAACCCAAATTTGATGGGTATTGGTTTTGGCTAAAAATTATTAAGGATTATCAAAATAGAACAAATTTATTTTTTGTTGAATATTTTCCTAAACAAGCTAAAATTGTACAAGCATCTGGCATATGGCAGATGTAAGTGTAGAAACATGTCCAAAGAAATATCATCATTACTGGTATCTTGATTTTACTTCACATACATATAACAAGCGATAGATGTAAGTGAGCAGTTTTGAGATGAAAATTGGTTGGACAAATAACTGAGGTTTACTGTTTTCCCCATTGAAAAAGTATAATTTGACAAACATAATTTGATCTAACTGTGACCACAATTTCAAATTTCAGGTAATGTTCAATTGCGGTCTCCTTAAAAGAAATTTAGCACTTGACTTTAGAAAGGATACTGCCCAGGTTGGTTTGTAGACATCAGTTTCTGTCTGAGACAATGATTTGTGAATAAGTTTTGTCTTGACTTTTTTCCCTCTTAGAACAATTTTCATTCTGGGTTTCAAGTATAGTATGCTGCAATATTCCTGCAATTAATAAGAAATATTAATATTCATCATTCAAAAATAAAGAAAGAATTAATCATTTGTGTCTAGAAATGGTATTTTTCGTTTCCTAATTATATCTAACACATAAAGATTTCATTGCGCTTTTGAAGGCAATATGTAAAAGGTATTCACTGAACCTTCAGAAAACTGCACTTCTGGAACTATATAATCTTGTACATATACCTATCATGTATTGTGTACATGTATAAAGAAATATCTGGAAAATGCATCTGTTCACACCTACACAACAGCTATTCTAGTGGCTACGGCCAACCATGAGAATATGGAGATGGGTAACACTTAATGTTACTCTTAATCAGTAACAAAACCTACCCTAAGGGATACCATATAGGCTGGTATATGATCTGTGGTTGCCCTGTTAATGGTGGAGAAGTCCATCATGTGGGTTTCAGGATTTCTGATATCATATGGGTCACTACTAAAGTCTAATTCCAACACTTTGTTTTCTTTCCTAAAACAAAATTGGTACATATTAAGGTAAAACTTTTTGAGAAATCATGTTATTTGTCAATATTATCTTCATCTATTATAATTTTCTACTGGTAGTGGGTTTCTTTTAAATTATCATATTTAAGGCAAAAGACATAATTACATGATATTACATTTTAAACAACAGTTACATAATTTTTCAATTTGTCAACATTACGTCCATTACAAATATTATACCTTTTCAAATTGTAGACCATTATTTTAGTTCCTGTCCTCAACTTTTCCATAACCTCCAATTCCTCTAATAGATCTTTCTCTGTCCTAAATATGGAATGTTGACAGATAGCACGCAGGTTGTGTGCCATGTCTGGTGTTGGTCTTCTTCTCTCTTAGGTAGGTCAAGGTCATTATAACTCCATCAATAATACAATGTATATATAATGTTTGCATTAGACTACAAAATCATTACTACCAAAGTATTCTTTTTAATGTAAATCTAGATTTACTAAATAAAGTATTTTGATATCTCGTCCTATGGCATATATACATTTATCTTTTATACAAGTATAAATGTAAATTGGTTACCTGCCTACTGATATGGATCATGTAACAGAATTACAAATATAATCCATGAAATTTTAACAGAAGCATCACATCTTACCTGCCAAGTATCATGCCAAAAGCGTAATACATGCATTCAGGATGCTGCTTTCTAAATCCATTGTAAAATAAATGATTCTTGCTATAGGACTTGCACAGTTTCATAATGAGAAAGAAAGTGCAAAGTGTCATACCATAAAAACCAGTGTCATGTGTGCAGGTACTTTTGGGGGTTAAAAATACTGAAAACTGTTTTCCTATTTGCATAATCTGTGCATCCAAAAATTCTGTCGAAGACAATCTCTGGGAGCCAAGAAATTGACCCAACAATGTTCAGCTGACACTTAGGACCAACAAGATAAAGTAAAAAAACTAGGAAGTATTTTCTTCTCATTTATCAACATTTAATTACTTTCCTCTCTTTAATTATAGGTACAATGCAAATGAAGAAAAAAAACTAGCTAACACTTGTGCACTTCTTGTTTTTTTCTTTGATATCAGACATGTTGTGCTGTATTATACCTATCCAATTAATCTAAACATCTTTGCCTTACATACGAACACTTGTCTTCACACTAGGCCTAATAAACAGTGTTCAATGTTGATATCACAGGTACAAGCAATTTTCTACCTATTAATGACCAAACTAGGGAATTATGATCTTTGCTGTCAAGCTCTCTTTCATGTTTTGCTGTCACATTGTGTGTTTGCGAGCTGACATACATTATATAGTGTAGAATAAGGCTCTAACTATGCATATGCAAGCAATTGGTATACAGAGCACAGAATGTACTCTAGGTATACATATGTGTACTGTCAAAAGAGGAACTGCATTCCATTACACATTTTGATAAGAGAATCATGCCAAGGCTATCCTTATTCATTATAAGACTCATAGATATGCTTTTAAAACACTAGTAAGACTGATTTTAATAAATAATACACTAAACTGACAGTCCAATGATAAGTCTCAATCCACACAATGCATACTAATGTTAATGCTAACTTCTGCCAACACACATGAAAACAGACATGTGCTCATGGCTTCTTTGTCAAGATTTTCAACATGAAGGAGAATAAAATGAAACCGGTCAATTTCTTAACATTTGAACATGTAAGTGTTTTAAAAGACGAATATATATATTAACCAACATAATTTTCAAAGTCCCATACAGGCCAATGTCTTTGTTGATTGACAGTTTTTCTGTCTTGCCAGTTGCTATTACACACTTTGTCCTGATCTTGCATGATATTGACTCATTTTGCATTAATATATACAGTAACTATCTTATTTATCACTGTTGTTCATAAATAAATTGTCAAATCCTTCTTGTGTCAGTTTTGCTTACCAGGTAATCAGGATAATCAATGATGGCATCCTTATAAAATTTTTGGTTTTTTTTTTTAAAAAACACTTGAAAATCCTATAGCTACCGTAATGCGCGCACTCCCCACATTATATTTTTGGTTTCTCTAAAAACAAAAAAATACTGTTCCAATTACATAGGTTTTTACTGTATATACCTAGAAAAAAAAGAAATACTTTGCCAATATCAAAAAACCTTTTTGGTATGTTAAAATAGGAAAACTTTTTCCTTCATTGGCCAAGAAAGAGCAAATATCTTTATATTTCACTTTTCACAGAGAAACACATCTCTCAAAAATTGCTGCAATAACAAAATGTTAAAAATTAATAAGTCATTTTAAAATGTATCACTTTATAATCATAAAAAGGATACTATCAGGCAGGTTCCATGTGACAATGGGCACCAGTACAGTTTGTGCGTTTATGTTGTTGAGGTATGTTTGTGACAGGAGACCCACACTCATTGTGTTTACTTGACGTGTAAACACTATAGCATCTTTACCCAGTCGCATGGATCCAGATTTAAATCCATTGCCATATTGTCCAACAGCTTGATGCTTACTTGAAGTAAACCGATCTTTTTCACAATAGCCGAAGCTGTGAATCAATCAAAAACACAGGTATTGAGGAAAAGATGTCTGTCAGAATTAGAAAATCTTTTCTAAAGCCTTCAGTAATGAATCTATTCTGACAATTCATTTTATACACATCTTAAAAAAGTTTCTTGCAAATTCTCATAACTCACTAATATTTCATGTTTTCATGCAAAAATTAGATCAACCTAAAAAAGTTAAAATGAAATCTAGATCCGGGGTTGTTATAGTACATCTTGTTCCTGAGAAATTAAGCAAAATTTTATAAGGATGCTGATGTTGATTGAAAAAGGATTAACTTCTTTTTCCTTTATGCACCTTGCTTTATTGTTGTAAGACAAAAGCTTTAATTACTTATTGCAAAAAGCCTGTACAATGGCTGAAAAACCCCAGCCTTGATATACTACAGGTGAATCCACAACATAGTCGCTTATTTCATACCTAAGCATTTTGTGCAGCTTGTCTGGTGTCATTCCATTTCCATTGTCTACAAATGTGAGACAAACCTTATTGTCAATCAATCGCTGGTCGATCCAGATTTCTGATGCATTTACATCTGGGTCATAGGCATTGTCTAAAAGATAGAGAACTCAATAATTTAATATACAAAAAGATTAATAAAATTTTACTCTAGCTTGATGTGCAAAGCTTGTAACATTATATTTTTGCATTAATAAGGAAATCCCTGGTAACAAGCCTGCCAAAATATATTGCTTTTTAATAAAATCACCCAGGATTAAAAGCTGTGCATCTTTATCTGCTGAAAGGCAGCAACAGAGGATGTAAAAAAAACATTAAATTAATTAAAAGCTGCGATCAAATTTATGGGCCATAAACATGTAACTTCATAATGAAAATTTAAGGTGCGACATAAATTTTATCCTTCATCAGCCATTTCATTCTGCACCTGCAACACTTAGGTGCATGACTTCAATAGAAAAAGTTGCGTCAATTTTGACACAATAATATTCCTTGTTTTAGTAAATGTACATTATATTGTAAATTATATACTCACATAAATTATCACTCAAAATGTGTAGCAGTATCAAGCAAATGCTACCTTTTGTTTGGGCTTTGTTCTCATCATAGATATAGTAATTATTACCGGAAATAATTTACTTATAATTTGGCACAGCAAACACAGCCATCCCAAAATGCCTATCAATTTCACTATTTGTCAGCTAGATCATCACTAATTTAGGGACTGGACAAATATATATGTCTATTTGGTTCTGACTTTAATACATTCAGACCATGGAATACATGATGTTCTTTCAACTTTAACCCAATTTTTTGTGTGATTATAATAATGAAAGCTCGGGCTCAGGTAACAGAAGCAAGATTATATACCAATTGTAAAAGGATAACGTTTGGCTAGTATTTGGACCTTACCTATGAGTTCAGCAACTGCACTGAAAGCCCATGTGTGACTGGTTGAATTTCCGTGTAGGTATGCTGGACTTACCTGAAATATATTTAAAATAGTTTGGTTAATGCCATTTATCAGTTCCGTAAAGATACAAGTAAAAAGAATTCATAATTCCCGCAATGTTTTGAAACTTACTCTGCTCGTTTGGATGCCCGACGGATAACGGGCAGCCATTTTTGTTGTATACTGGGACACGAACAGGAATTCGCAATGTCGTATACTCAAACAAATTTAACAATTGTCAGAAAAATGTCAAAGACTTGTGCTTTTTCACAGAATATTTTTAAAAGAATTATAATCATTATGAAATATTATACTGTTAATAACATGATTATAAAGGGACTAACTTTCATTGAAATAGCATGTTCGGATATGACGGTGTAATTTCGTGCCCCACTTTAAGTTTCACTTTGTCAACTTCCGGCATGTGTTAGCCATGTGATTGATGTCAACATGTCATAATCATACAGCCGTTCTGTGTGATACATATGTGAAATCAAAGTATACGAGTATATCTGGCGGCATGACTTCATGGATTGTAACCAAAAGAAAGCAAGCAGAACTTTACGAAGACGAAAAAGAAAAGAGAAACTATCTCATGCGCATATTCCATGTCTGGAACAAGAATACATAACATTGTGCCAGTGGATGAAAAGAAGCAATTTTTTTCAAAGGCGCCCCTTCCTAAGACCGGCTATACTCAGCTGTAATTTCAAATAATAGTCTATGAAATATTAATTCAAACTGTAATTGAATTTGATAATACAATTAAATCAATTCTGCCAAACAAAGATGTTTGTATATAGAATTTATAGTACAGATAATGTATCAGTAAGATATATTACATATTAGTCAGACAAACCCTGGTTCCTAGAATAAAGATACGAAAAGAACAAAAAAAGTGAACTGAATTGTTTGAATTCAGGTTAGGATAATATGTACAATGTACATAAGTAAATAAAAATTAAAGTTTTTGAGTGTTTTGTCTTGCATCATATATGTAGCTGGTGATTGTGCCTGCACCACCAAATGGATAGATACTCTACGATTTTCATGAAATTCGGAAGATGTTCTTGATTTTGTTCTTTGTTTCCAAAAAATTACACATTTCCATTTTTCTGAAAGAAGATGTTCTTGATTTTTTTCTTTGTTTCCAAAAAATTACACATTTCCATTTTTCTGAAACAGTCTACATTTTGCTGTAAAATGACAAAAAATTATCATTGGTTGTATTTGCAGTAAACTGTATTTTGCAAAATAACTTGTGCTGTGTTCATATGCATGCAAGGTTATAGCAGGACCAAGTTTGATAATCACTTCTATGAGGTATATGTTCATATATATTGCTGAATTGTTTAGTATTTAAATTTGGAGCTCAGGCTATAGCTGGGCCCTTCTTTGAATTCTAGTCTGAGCTCTTTGTGAAGAGACAGGAATGTATAGCAACATTTGTATCTGAGTCAGCCATGGTAAATTTTTCAGTAGATGTTGACTCCTTAATTAAGCTTTATTTGTTTACATGGTATCCATTAAGCTTCATTTATTGCAGCCGATTTAAAAAAAAAAAAGAGTTTTATATTTTATTGGAAATTCTGTATGGAAGATTTTGCTATTTTATCTTAACCACTGTTTAATTTATATAATGTTATAATATGTCATTGTTTTGTGGTATATTTTTGTCTTATGTATAATATGGTGGTGATTCCTCCTGCAGCCACTGGTAGAGGTTTGATGACATGCCATCCCATTACACCAGGCAGTATAATTGTGTCTATCCCTCACAAACTCCTCATCACTCCACAAACAGTGTTAACAAGTTTGAGACACCACATTACAAAGTGAGTTAGCACTTTTTATCATGAAATGGCTTTCAGATTTTCTTTAAAATTTATATTGTTTATAAAGTTTTTTTTTCCATAACAACCACCCTTCATTTAAAGATATGTTAAAACATAAATACTGTCATATAGAGAGTTATATAACATATATAACAACAAATTGTCTGTTCATCCTACAGCTATATTTGCTTGACTAAACCCACAGTTCAATTGTTGTTTATGTTATGATACAAACTTGTATACAGTTGCTTACCAATACATCATCATAGTACTACTTACCATACATCCCTTCTTACAGAGCTGCTAACCTCTGTTTTCTACTTGTGTGACGGTAACTTCAGAAAGTTTTTTACCTAGAATGATAAAAATTTTGTACACATCTTTTTATGGAGTTTTAAAAGTTGTCCTTTTTAATCATGTTGAGATATTATATTTATGTTTTTGTTTATACTATAGCATTACCTTTTATCTTGTCTTCATACTTTAGATATTTTTGTGCTTTATACTTATAAGTTGTAAAAAAAACTAAGACCCTTACATTTTCAGAGTTGTTGCCCCTTCCTTTTATTTGTAGTGTGCATAACATCATCATTTCTTGGCTTTATTTATATATATATATATATGAAAGGATATGTAAAGGACCTTATTTTCTCATTAATAAGGCTTTCGGGCAGATAGGGGATGGCAATACTTTTTTTTTCAAAGTTGGCTTATTGCAAGAAAAAAAATTGTGTTTGTTTATCAATTTTCTGGAAATCAATATATATGTATGGGCTTATTACTATTAAACTCAAGTTGATACAATATGTATCATTTGAATGAAATTGAGTGAAATCTACATAATCCTTCCTGTAACAAGCACACTGCAGCTATATTTTATATTTCAAAAGTTGTCTTGTTGAACTTTTTGTATTTGATAATTGTTTTGGTTTCAGATGGGACAAACAGTTATCTTCTCAACAAGCTATGTCAGTTTTCCTCTTAGTTGAAAGACAAAAACAAGAATCGTCCTTTTGGTTTCCGTACATCAGTGTATTACCTAAGAGGTACACCACTCCTGCTTTTTTTTCGGAGGCAGAACTGAATCTCCTGTCAAAAACTGTGAGGTCAAGAGCTTCAACAGAGATCTCAAAAGTCTACACAGCCTTCAAGTTAGTAACAGATTTTGTCAGATCCTGTTGGCCGGAGATAGTACCACTTGTAACACTTGCAGACTTTTTGTGGGCATGGTATTCCATTAATACCAGATCTGTTTACTTCAAACAAGAATTGTGTGATGAATTTCTAGCTGATGGCAACTTCATAGCCCTAGCACCCTTCCTGGATCTGCTCAACCATTCATTTAATGCTAAGGTATGATCCGTTCAAACTGTGTATACCATAACAGTGATTACTGGTAGCAGTCTATGTAACAGAAATTTTTGTTTAGTAAAAATATGTTTCTTGTACTATTTCTTTGAAACCTGTAGCAGAGCTTGACAAGGTGACTAACTAGCTGACTCTCTTTATTGTCACTCTAGAGGTATAGGCTATTTCCTGAAATTACTGACTTAAAAGGAAATACCTACTTCATACTGAATGTAATTGTTTGACCGTTTTAAGACATAAACAAGACAAAGTATGGATTTATAAAAAAAATCAGCAAATACTGGTTTCAATGCTAAAATCAAATACATATGATACTTTGATTAATGCATTGTATTACTATGAGAGGTATGGCCTTTTAATTGTATTTTGAAGTAGGTCTGTTGTAAGTGTACAGTGATACAGATAAAGGTACAGAAAAACACTAGTCTAATCTGACAAGGATTAGTACAGGATGTAGGCAGAAAAGCTTATGCCACTGTGTTCTATTGCTTGCCTTTCAGATAAATGCATCGTTCAATGAAAAGAATAACTGTTATGAGATACAGACTGAAGACACATACAGAAAGTATGATCAAGTATTTATATCCTATGGTAACCATGACAATACACACTTGTTAGTGGAGTATGGCTTTGTTCTACACAACAACCCTAATGATGTTGTGGAATTTTCTTTTGGTAAGTGGTAAGATATACCTTGCACCAAATAAATATTCGCTGGAGATCTTTTCAGCGTTGAACCTAACTCATTGAGAGAAATAGCTAAATAGGGAGCTAACTTGTTACGAAACTCACTACTAGGTGAATTTACATCCCAAGAGTCTGTCTGATGGATAATTCAGTAGGAGTGTAACTATTGGGGAACTCGCTACCTACAGACCTGACTCATAAATGACTTTACTGACTACATAACTGACTCATTGATGAACTCACTTTCTAAGAACCTTGTTGTTGAACTCGCTATATAGGAATCTGACTCATTGATGAACTCGCTTTCTAGGAACCTTGTTGTTGAACTCGCTATATAGGAATCTGACTCATTGATGAACTCGCTTTCTAGGAACCTTGTTGTTGAACTCGCTATATAGGAATCTGACTCATTGATGAACTCGCTTTCTAGGAACCTTGTTGTTGAACTCGCTATATAGGAATCTGACTCATTGATGAACTCGCTTTCTAGGAACCTTGTTGTTGAACTCGCTATATAGGAATCTGACTCATTGATGAACTCACTTTCTTGGAACCTTGTTGTTGAACTCGCTATATAGGAATCAGACTCATTGATGAACTCACTTTCTAGGAACCTTGTTGTTGAACTCGCTATATAGGAATCTGACTCATTGATGAACTCGCTTTCTAGGAACCTTGTTGTTGAACTCGCTATATAGGGATCTGACTCATTGATGAACTCGCTTTCTAGGAACCTTGTTGTTGAACTCGCTATATAGGAATCTGACTTAATGATGAACTCGCTTTTGATGAAAAAGAAACATAATCATACTAGTCCTTTCAGTTTCAAAGTTTGTTTTAATTTTTACAGATTCTTTATTAGATATTGCATTGAAAATGGAGCATGAACATCTGAAAGAGAAAAAGTCTATTTTACAGGCAGGTGATTTTGATAAGTAAGTATATCAGTTTGTTGATTTTAATGTCTGTTGGTTTCTAATTCATCAATGTCGGATATTTACCTGCTGAAATTACCCTTCTTAAGAATTTTCTGATAAGTACTGTTTCTTTAAAATACTCAGAGATATCAATCAGAATATTCTCTGTGTTTCATGTTTCAGAATGATGACCTGTGTAAAACAACACAATATATATTTACCTGATTATTAAGTCTGAAGAATTACCTGTTTCGTGTTTCTACTCAATTAATTACCTGTATGCTTACACATATAAAATATCTGTTGATCATGTCTGATTATTTACCTGTATGCGTACATTTCAATATGTCAATCATGTCTGTGTTTGATCATACCAGGCATGTGATGGGCATATCTAGATCTTTTAGTTTTTGGTTTAAATATTCCCATCCTTTGACTTAATAAACTTGAAAGTCAAATCTCTGATAAATTTTATGTGAGAGACAAAGATGTGTTGCTTGATATATACACAATTCTGTGCATTATTTAGATTATGTATTTAATATTTAGTATAAATTATGGTTATATAATCAGTGTGAGATAACACTTGTTTATTCTACTGCTAGAATTATTTATACATGACTGAATTATAATGCTGATGGATGCTTTTATAAGGCTGTTGTGTATTGACATGACACTAAGGTCATGGTGAAATTAAAACAAATCTGTATATTCCCCAGTCTGACCAGCTAGGACTGTTTTCTGTTTCACCTGTTATTACATAACAAATATTTAAAAAAGAAAAAAAAAGTGTTGGCTTCACAATGGCTCTGAATTGTAATTGTTGAAAGATCTCCATGACAGGTAGAGTTGATGAACGTCAACTATTGCCAGTATGATCACACATGCATTGTCTGTAAGGTATCAGAACTGTGATGTCATCTGTTTATCAGGAAATTGTGCTGTTGTTCTGATGGCTTGTCCTGGAACCTGCAGGTGGCGCTGCGAGTGCTGTGTATGGATTGGATTGAGTTGTAAGTGGACACACCAGCGTTACAATTACAAATGAGTTTATATCATGTTTTATTTTTGTACTATGCTGTAAATACTACCTTTTATCTGATACTGTTATATCAGGGACACTGAATTCTCACTGATAAATTAGAATTCTCCTCTATTTGTTATACATTATACTATAAGCATGATTAAGTTTGGATAGCTATGTTTTAATTATCAAACAGCCATTTTGAATTTGACTCTTGAAGATTTTTACAAATTCATTTCTCCAGATTAAAAGTACAGGATGGATCATTAAAAAAAATATGTACTTGATAGATCCTTTCGTTTGTAGCTTCCCCTTGATCCCTAGTTGTGTCCATTGTGTTTTGGGAAATGGCTGATAAGCTACCATCTTGGATTTGGAAGTTAAATATCATTACTATTCTTTCTTAACAGGAATGTTCAAATTCCTTATCATAAAGAGCAAAAACAGACAAGAGAAGAGAAAAGAAGGGAAAAGATCCAACTTTTAAAGAAGAAATAAATAAATCAAACAATAGTGAGCACCAAGATCGCTCTGGGATCTCTTGTCTTGTTATGCTCTATCAGAATACCTTATTTACAAACAAGAGGCCCAGAGGGCCTACTCAGCTCATCTGATATTCAATATTCTTCAAAACTATAATCAATGTTTATCACAAATACATTAACACATACACCATTAACATTTAGAGTGAGCACATCAAGTCAGTTTTAACCAATTTTCACAACAAACTTTAATACCGGTACTCAGCTCTAAGCAGTTACAGATATGGCTTGAATTATAGGAAACCATCATTTATTTTCAGGTCATCTGACTCAAAGTGTCAGGATGACTTATTGCCATCATTCACCGTCATACAATGTGTGTAAACTTCCCATTTAAATGACTTCTTGTCAATAACCAAAAGGCTCAGGGTCCGGATATTGGACCTGTAGCATGCTGGAATGAGGGGCTACCAAGTTTGTTAATATGATTGACTTTGCCTACTTTCAAGTTAATAGGGGTCAAATGTGTTCAAATGTTTACCAACTTCTTCTCAACAACAAATAGGCTCAGGATGCTGATATTATGCCCATAGTATGCTTGAAGGAAGTACTACAATGTATGTTCATATGATTGACCTTGACCCACTTTAAATCTTTAAACAACTTCTTGTCAATAACTAAATTGCCTAGGGTGCTGATATTATACTTGTAACATCCTGATGAAGGGCTTTTAAGTATGTTAATATGAATGACCTTGACCCACTTTCAAGGTCACAGATGTCAAAATCTTTAAACAACTTGTCAATGACCAAAAGGACCAGTTTATTTATATGATTGACCATGACTGACTTTTCAAGTTCATAGGGGTGAAATATCATTAAAGTTTTAAACTTCACCTCAATAGCCAAAATACCCAGGGTTCTGATATTTCCCTTGTGGTATGCTGGGATGAAGAGCTTCCAGGTCTGTTGATACTTCTCACGCTTTTGGCTTACTAGACGAGGTCCTCAACAAATTCTAACAAATTTGGCCCCTGGGACCTTGTATATGGTTCAAGGTAGGTTCTTTTCACAATCTTTGTCGAGCTTTGTACCAGCAGCCCACAAGCTAAATGTAATGACATTTGGCCAGTTGATTATTGAGAAGTGGTTTAAATGAAAAAGTTGATGCAGGACAACAAATGCTGTGCCATGGTATAACCTCACAAGGCCCTTTGGGCCCAAAGGTGAGCTAAATGGAATCTCCTCATTGGTGAAATAACTTTCATTTGGTTTTTAGGAAAAACTGGAAAGCTGTGATGCAGGGAGGAATTATTTCAGACAGAAATGAGGTGTCCACCAAAGCAATGGCTACAACTTTGATCAAAACATCGCTGAATACATGTCAGGACAACTTAAAAAAAGTAACAATATAAGGTCTTAATGAGCGAGTTATAGTCCTAAACTTGGAGTAACAGTCTTAATCAAGTATAACAGTTTTAACATAGGAGTTATAGTCCTAACCTGGAAGTAACAGTCTTAATTGAGGTATAACAGTTTTAACATAGGAGTTATAGTCCTAACCTGGAAGTAACAGTCTTAATCAAGTATAACAGTTTTAACATAGGAGTTATAGTCCTAACCTGGAAGTAACAGTCTTAATTGAGGTATAACAGTTTTAACATAGGAGTTATAGTCCTAACCTGGAAGTAACAGTCGTAATCAAGTATAACAGTTTTAACATAGGAGTTATAGTCCTAACCTGGAAGTAACAGTCCTAATCTAAGCTTTACAGTCCTAACATGGGAGTAACAGTCCTAGCCCAGAGTTATTGTCCTTACCTGAAAGTTTCAAAGTCCTTACCTAAGAATTGTTAATCTTTACCTTTCAGTTGCAGTTCCAACTTTGAGTAACATCAATCCTACTTTACACCAGATAATCGACTTATTTTGTTTGCTGAAACACAGCTTTACATGTAAAGGGAGATTACCCCACTTACCCATATGTTGAAGAATCACTGCATTTTGATTTAGCAGATTAACTAAAGCTAATTAATTTATCTACTAATGGTAAAACCACTATTCCCACAAATTGCCAATACATTTTTAGGTTAAAGATTTATCTTACTGATTAAAACTACTTGACTCAACAAGTTAAAAAAGTTTGCTCTAATTTAGCTGCCTTTGAGAAGAATTATAATTGTAAATCTTTCCTCGTCATTATTCTTAATGTCCTTCTGATCCTAACCTATCAGACCTTGTCTTAACCTAATAGTTACAGTCCTGACATAGGATTTGTAATCCTAACCAATGAATTATTATTCTAATCAGGGAGATTTTGAGAGATTAATAGTCCTTACACAAGAGTTACAGTGTTAACCTAAGAGTTACTGGCCTAACCTGGGAGTTACAATCCTTATCCAGGAATTATAGTCCTTACCTTAGAATTTCAGTCCTTACCTAGTTTTAACCCTAAAATAGGGTACAAGTATTTATATTAATGAAAAACTCTACTGGACTCAAGTTAAAGGTTTTGCTCTAACTCAGCTGCTTCTGTTGCACTCTGAAGAAGAAATATGCATCAAGAGCAATTTTTAATGAATCTTTATTCAACAGTTCAGTACCAAAATAGCTCTAACTAATCCCTGCATCAAATTTTAGGCAACATAATGGTGTTTATTAGGTATAAGTTTGTCATAAGGACATCTATTAATGCATTTTCTTTGGTCTGAAGTTTTAAATGAGCACTATATCCACAATAGAAATTTTAAAATGTTCAAGAGTATCTTAACTTGATGTTATTTTTCACTGAAAAAAGATTTGTTCTCAGTTTCAGGGTGAGCTTTGTGACAACATGAAAGAACATGTGAGACTTGCCTATGACTTCATTCTTATAGAAAGGACAACCTTACAATCTGCACTGGTGAGTGTCAAGTAATAGTGTACTAGAGAGAAGATATGACAGATTATACAACAGATGAGACAAACCCTTCTGAAGACTGTGTTATAGAAAAGATTATTCTAGTGTCAGCAGTCATGTGTCCTGTCCCAGATGAAACACCAGAGAGGACAGATGGGATTTACCCTACTGAAGACTGTGTTATAGAAAAGATTATTCTAGTGTCAGCAGTTATGTGTCCTGTCCCAGATGAAACACCAGAGAGGACAGATGGGATTTACCCTTCTGAAGACTGTGATAGAGAAAAGATTATTCTAGTGTCAGCAGTCATGTGTCCTGTCCCAGATAAAACACCAGAGAGGACAGATGGGATTTACCCTTCTGAAGACTGTGATAGAGAAAAGATTGTTCTAGTGTCAGCAGTCATGTGTCCTGTCCCAGATAAAACACCAGAGAGGACAGATGGGACTTACCCTTCTGGAGACTGTGATAGAGAAAAGATTGTTCTAGTGTCAGCAGTCATGTGTCCTGTCACAGATTTTAAAAAAAAAAAAAAAGGACTTGGATATCACATATGTTTACTCTGATGTCAATTATCATGTGTCCAGTCTCAAATTATACAAGTTATTTTTTATTTAACTCAGTCGTTGCAAAAATTCTCTTAGAATATTGTTTTCCAGACCTTTTGGGTTATCCTTTGAGTTATTGAAATGCAATTTGGTATATGGCTTCTTGTTGGAAGGGTACAGATTAGTTTTGACATCCAATTCGATTTCTGGGTGACCGTGACACTTTATGCAGGCAACATATACAGTTCTGATGAACTCTTGTTTTGACTTGTATCAATAAACAAACTGAACTAGAATGAAAGTGAATGTGCTGGTGTTTCCTTTACCAGCTCAGAAGCTACTGAAAGCTTAAAAGGACCTCTCTTAGTTTTGTTTTATTTGATTCAAAGTTAATCATTAAAGTAATTCTTCATCCTTACTTTAAACCACTTGATATTTTGAAAGTTTTGGTTTTCTAACCGTTATTTTTCTCAACTACCAATGGAGTATGCATGTTTCCATTCAGCACAAACAGCTTGTATACATTTCTGGTACTGCCCAACCATGTATTTAATTACAGCTGAGTTGACAAGTGTCACCCTATGCAAGATTATCTGCCCTTGCTTTAGATATTAGGCAGTATTATCTGTTTTGGTTATATTACTGAGTTGATGTTTATAATATTTAATTATTAAGCAGAATTATCTGTTTTAGTTATATGTTCTGACACAAAGTCATTGATCTGTGGGGGACATATATTAAGGTCACTTTACTACGCTGTACTGCTGCTGCTGAGGCAGGTGCACAAACTGCGCAATAGTTAATACCTAAAACGCTGACAAATGTTTATGTGACGTAATTTTTGAAAGTCTTTTGTTTACACTGGGAGACCGGACCTTGGCGTGTGTGGCCGAATTGAAGGCTTTGTATTTGTTTTCGACTGTTTTAGCTCCAGAATGTCTGGGATTCAATTCAAAATTAGTAATAGTTTGACAGCCTTAGTCAACCGGGGTCACCCATCAAATTTGACAGTCACGTAGGCATTAGACATAAATAGGAGGAGACAAGATCGTCCCTCACTCCGGTCACTAGACAGCGTATTGGACGGACTGGTGTCACGAGGCCTGGGACCAGGGCAGGTACGGGAGCGGGAGAGTTTTGTAAGCTTACCGGAAATAAAAGGCGCTTTTCTTCACCTTTGGTAGTCCTTCAATTGTGTCTCTCGAACGGTTTGAGAGGGTTACACAAGAGCATGAAATCAAGATGGTTTAGGTACCAGAAGTTGAAGCAGTGACCCTTTGATCATCTGCCCAACATCCTACAACTAATGATCATTGCATTCGCAAGTTAGAGTAGTAGAGTACAATAAGTTAGAATTGGGGTATAGGTATCGCTCATACATACAAACTCTGTATTAATACCAGAGAGAAAAAGCTCACTCTGGTGGAAATCACCACAACTTTGATATATTCTGTGTTTCATGCAACAAATTTCACGTTTCAACAAACTCAAGTTTTACAGAGTGCAAACTTTTCTTGGTTGGTTCCCTTTTCAGACCCCAAAGGTTAGAGGTTAATCTGCAGTGTTTTCTGGTCCTAGAGTACACTGTAATTTGACCATTTTTATGAAGTGGTGTGTATGTATTTTTTAAGAAGATCAATACAGACCAAAAACAACCTCAACATTTAGTTGACCATTTATTCTCTGCACATACAACTACCTTGTATAAACTCTAACATCACAATACAGACTCTATAACATCTTAATGCAGTTCTTTAATATAAAGATATATATATATTTATATATTATATTTAAAAAATCTGGATAAAATTTACCATTTGTACATCTTTTTTCATACAAATATACCACCCAGGTATTGCACAATAAGCAGAGTGAGCATGTCCCTGATTTAACTTTGAAATATTCATGGAATAAGAAGACATGTAGCTACATACCATAATCTATATACTATCAATTCTTCACATCATTTTATGAGGGTTCCCCCTCCCCAAAAAGATTCAGATTCATGTCAAATCGCGACAAAATGTACACATTAATAAGAACATATTCAAGACTGTAAACTTATGACATTTAAACAAGAAACAAAATGTTTTTTTATATAGCTGTTTTTTTTTTTTAATTGAAATGTGAATATAAAACTTTCTGACATTTTTAAAAATCTCCAGGGAAAAATATATTTTGAGAATTTGTATTAGTGACATACATAACAAGACAATATACATTGTAGTTCTGATAAAATAAATCTGACCAGGTTATGTATTATAAAATAATTTCAAAAATCGACCTTTAAAAAATACATTTGTTTTCTGAAGGAAAAGGAAAAAAATCTTTCATGCTGACAATATGGTACCCCCCTGAATTTATCATTCAAATTCCAACAGTTCCAATTAAAAAAAGAAAAGGAACAAAGGGCAATCGTCCCATAAAAATATGGTTTGTATATATCAAAACAGGACAGACAAACAACAGAAATCATAACATGAAATCATTTGTAGAATGGTGGTTTACAAATGCAGAAATAAGTTTTTAGCAATCTACTTCAAAAGTTCAAAATAGATCTATCATGTGCAGATTCTGATTACAGTCACTTTGATTCACAACATATACTAGTATTTTGGAATTAAATAATAATACAAAAAAATCCAAAAGGGTTGATTTCATGATCTGTTGATATGGTTTCCAACACTTAGTACATAAATTAGAATACAACCATAAGATAAGACACATCAGTCTGTAGGTCTGTCATTATCAAAGGTATAGTGACATAAGTACAGCCAAGACACATCAGTCTTTGAAACTGTCATTGTTATAAGTACGGTCTACACATACTGTCAGTCCTCAGGGCTGTCATTATCATAAGTACAGCCAAGACACATCAGTCCTTGGGGCAGTCATTATCATAAGTACAGCCAAGACACACCAGGCTTTGGGACTGTCATTATCACAAATACAGCCAAGACACATCAGTCCTTGGGGCTGTCATTATCATAAGTACAGCCTAGACACATCAGTCCTTGGGGCTGTCATTATCATAAGTACAGTCTACAATCATCATCAGTCCTTGGGGCTGTCATTATCATAAGTACAGTCTAGACACATCAGTTCTAAGGGCTGTCATTATCATAAGTACAGTCTACAATCATCATCAGTCCTCAGGGCTGTCATTATCATAAGTACAGTCTACAATTATCATCAGTCCTAAGGGCTGTCATTATCATAAGTACAGCCTAGACACATCAGTCCTCAGGGCTGTTATTATCATATGTACAGCCTAGACACATCAGTCCTCAGGGCTGTCATTATCATAAGTACAGTCTACAATCATCATCAGTCCTAAGGGCTGTCATTATCATAAGTACAGCCTAGACACATCAGTCCTCAGGGCTGTTATTATCATAAGTACAGTCTACAATCATCATCAGTCCTCAGGGCTGTCATTATCATAAGTACAGTCTACAATCATCATCAGTCCTCAGGACTGTTATTATCATAAGTACAGCCTAGACACGTCAGTCCTCAGGGCTGTCATTATCATAAGTACAGTATACAATCATCATCAGTCCTCAGTCTACAATCATCATCAGTCCTAAGGGCTGTTATTATACAGCCTAGACAGTACAGCCTAAGTACAGCCTAGACACGTCAGTCCTCAGGGCTGTCATTATCATAAGTACAGTATACAATCATCATCAGTCCTCAGGGCTGTCATTATCATAAGTACAGTCTACAATCATCATCAGTCCTAAGGGCTGTCATTATCATAAGTACAGCCTAGACACGTCAGTCCTCAGGGCTGTCATTATCATAAGTACAGTATACAATCATCATCAGTCCTCAGGGCTGTCATTATCATAAGTACAGCCTAGACACGTCAGTCCTCAGGGCTGTCATTATCATAAGTACAGTATACAATCATCATCAGTCCTCAGGGCTGTCATTATCATAAGAACAGTCTACAATCATCATCAGTCCTAAGGGCTGTCATTATCATAAGTACAGCCTAGACACATCAGTCCTCAGGGCTGTCATTATCATAAGTACAGTCTACAATCATCATCAGTCCTCAGGGCTGTCATTATCATAAGAACAGTCTACAATCATCATCAGTCCTAAGGGCTGTCATTATCATAAGTACAGCCTAGACACATCAGTCCTCAGGGCTGTCATTATCATAAGTATAGCCAGCCTAGACACATCAGTCCTCAGGGCTGTTATTATCATATGTACAGTCTACAATCATCATCAGTCCTCAGGGCTGTCATTATCATAGGTAAAGCCTAGACACAATCAGTTTGTAGGACAGTAATTAGCAGATGTATGATATGCACACATCAGTCCTATGGGTTGTCATCATCAGAAGAAGAGCCTTGACACGTCAGTCCTCAGGACTGTCATTATCGAAAGGACAACCTACACACCAGTCCATAGAAATATCATTATTACAAGTAGAGCCTAGACAAATCAGTCCTAAAGGCAGGAAATCTTATTAAGTAAACTATACCTGTAAATAATGAAGTAAAAAACAAAAAATAGAAACTATGTAACTGGAGATCAGTCAAAAAAAATAAAACATCAGAAAGACAAATCGTTCGTTGTAAAAATATAATGATGAAAAAAACCCTGCCATCTTTGTGTGAACACTATATAATGGCACCTTGCAGTAGTAGGTTCAGGAGATTACATTACCAGCATCACATCACAACTACACGTCGGGACATCAGGATCAAGATATTGTCACCTACCTACACTTTTAAGTTGTTCTGTTGTACATTTAACAACCTATCCTTTGACAATGTTGATGAAAGTATCTGTACTTTTATTCAGAATTAACTTCATATGGAGATAACCCAGTATCCTTTTTAAACATATTCACTAAAACATAATCATAGCATCCAGCACATATAATAACTGAATTAGAACAATATTTCTTCTCTTCAAACATATTTATAGGATCAGCAACGTCTATGAGTGGTCTAGACAAACACTTACTGTACAGGATAAGTTCTATCATTTCCTTATTTACACTCACATACTACGTGGTCAGTATTAACCTATCACAACAATGGACTACCACCACATATTACAGCATCTGTTCCTCATCTATTCCTAATAAAACCACACATTACAGCATCTGTTCCTCATAACACCACACATTACAACATCTGTTTCTAATAAAACCACACATTACAGCATCTGTTCCTCATAAAATCACATATTACAGCATCTGTTCCTCATAACATTACACATTACAGCATCTGTTCCTCATAACACCACACATTACAGCATCTGTTCCTCATAACACCACACATTACAGCATCTGTTCCTCATAATAACACAATTACACATATTAATTTTATATTTGTCTCTACTAACTGACTGCTCATCATACAGTCAACAGGTTCAAATTTATAAACAGGTATTTCTTCTATATGACTTCAGTAATCTTACACATATATACACAATATACATCAACAAATTAGATAGCTGCCTTAGTTTTGATAAACCAATATACATCAACTCAATAAAAACATGTATGATATGGCCAGATTCACTGCTACATCCTTTAGAATCATTCCTTCATAGTATACGATATAGGTACAAAACATCCAGCTGACATAATACACTGGTAAAATATCTCTCATACATCAGGTTTTCTAAAGCACACATTGAGCAGGTGTTGAAGGGAGGAGGCCAACAATTAGTGAGTCAATGATGCTGGCAAAACTGATATAGGGAATATCTTAATGGTAGGTCACAAGTTGAAAACAACATTTTCATGCATGGAATTTCAGAATCATTCAACGTTCAAATCTTTATATTGATGGTAATGAAGACTATGTTAATGACTATTAAGGTGTCATTTTACTCCAGCAATGGTCTTATAAATAAGCCTGCAAACTATAAACCCTGAGAATTTTATCTATCTGATAAATATTAATTCAGGACTACATGTATTGATGATCTTGCCTTCTGGGTAGAGACTGTTACAATGAAGGGTTACAAACTTGATCTGTGATCAGTCAAATGGGTATAGAGAAATAAAATGTTAAGTTTTGTGAGTTCAATAATAAGGGATTTTAAGAGTTAGGATGTTGTGGTATTAGATGGTGTAGGGGAAGTTATAAGAAGTACAAGTAATGAAGTATGACTTTTGTGGAGTCTATTTATTTCAATACCAATAGTTTTTTAACATTTTTGAAAAAAAAATTCAGGAATAACTTTTGCATTGGTGACCTAACGTGAACAGCTGTTACATAGGTAATTTGATCTGCTGGAAAAAAATCACACTATTAACATCAATAACATGTTGATATTTCATTTTAAAAAGATCATTTAAATTCTTTTTTAATAAAGTCAATGGCTATGAGTAGCTCAAAACGCTGTAATTGTTGATTGTCATCAATATTGAGCACACAGCCTTATATAATGAGATTTTCAATCGGTAAACAGGATGTAGGATTAATAATTAAGTATTGTTGTGTAACTTATATTCTCAAGGTTTGTCAACTTGAATAGTATACAATACATGCATTATACTTTATGGTGTACGTCACAATGGTAATGTACAATGAAAAAGAAAGGTTTTTCTGAACATTTTCTTCAACTTGGTTATGCTTGTAGAATTGGAGTTATTATAACACAATCAGAAGAAGTTTTGAGTGTGACATTTCAATGTGTAGCCAAATTGACCACAGTACATTGCTACCATCTACTGTATTATTTGGTCTATAATCTGTTTACCAACTGGTTGCCCTACTATTCACCTTCTTAGTGTCCTAGGTCAATTCCTTACCATCTTTTACACTACCTATGTCACTTCTAGTACCCTCCACACTGGTCATTTGTCTGATGAAGGTGACTGTGTAGTCATCAAAATCTCACATACAATTCTTCTACAGGTTGTGTTATAAGAACTCCAATTCTAAAGTCAGGTTTTGATTTTAAGTTTCATCAAATCAGCAAAATAATTTGCTTGTATGAGGATTATCATTTCCAGTTGGAAGAAGATGATTTTTATGATCTTTGGTACATTTTCTCTCACTTGACATGTTTATTACCAGAAAATATCATCATATCCAGTAGGCAGGAGACGAGTTCTGTTTTCTCAACCTGGTCCTTTCACACAATTTACAGATTTACATTAATAGCGCAAATTTCTATAACTAAATGTATTTCTGCTCTTGATTCTCAGCACATATCTGGAATAGACATCCAGAAATTTGACAGTTACATATCCAGAATGGTTATACTGTACGATAGCCAGTGCAGTTATCTATAACCTGAAATGTAGTGGTCTAGAAGTCTAAAACTTTGATAGCTATGCATCGTAGTTGTTCCCCTTTCATGATGTCCAATTTAGCTGTCCGCCGCCTGAAGAGTATTGGACAATCCATTGAAATACAAGGTTGATTGCCATCCTGAACACTCATACAATTGTTACAAATCTGGAAACAGAGGTATGTATGTAAACAAAATGATATATATGTAACAATCCTGTTTTTTTTTAATTCATAAACATTTCCAGTATTCTTTTGTTTTCTTTCATTACATCTGCAATTTTGATTTGACAAAAATACTATCATATCCAAAGGCCACATGTCTGTGTTCTTTTCAATATGTGTTCTTTATAAATAGATTTTGTCCTGATCAATCATGAAAGGTACTGGCTGACAATAGTTCTCATTTGTTGAAGTGTACATACTTCAATTTAGAATGATTTATGATCAAGACAGAATCATGATCAGGATACACACCTTGGTGAGATTTGCATACACCTGGTCCCACTCCCGGATTCTATTGTTGAGTGTGATGGCCACCTTCTGGGGATCCCTGGCACATATGTTGCATATATCCTGATTAGTTTGTTCATCACACACAGGACAGTTTATCACAGAGAAAAACTGGGAAATTGTGCCCTGTAAGACAAACAAACACTGTGTGCAATCATGTCTGTTCTGTACAATTAAAATCTCAAAGAGACATTAGATACTGAGCTCTGGTGCTTCACAACTTGTACACATGAAATAAATGTAGAGCATTTCTGTTACCTTCTTGCTGTCTGGTGCCAGTGCTGTTTGAGGTACAATTCTTGTCACCTTCGGCATCTCATTGTACCTGTAAAATAGATGTAACTTTATTCACAATAAATAATCCTTTCAGGTAAGTGTATCACATTGATCTTATAAAAGTGTTAAAACTGAACTTGAAGCTCCTGTTTGATTCTTCCATACCTTGGTGTTGAAAAGATTTTGGAATTTCAGACAGTTTGACCCCTTTTGGCACTACCCATCTGCCCTTGGGTCTTAATATGTGCATACCATCAAGCCGTCATTCATTGCTAATAGTTCTTACCAAGTTTAAAATATTTCCAATGGAAATTAAACAAATTATGCTTCAAATTGTACTTTTCATATATAAACTATAGTAAATCATACCCCCTCCCTAGGTGGAAATGTGAAACCCTAGGTCATCAATTTCACAATCTTGGTAAAGCACCTTAAGACCCTTCCTTCCATGAAGAGCATTTGATTCTACAATACCTGGGCACTGAGAAGAAGATTTTTGAAATTTTAGCCAATTTGACCTTTTTTGGTACATATAATTCATTATCTTGATTCATCTTTTGCCACAGAAGATTTCTACAAAATGTCATTGTGATTGGTTCAGGGGTTTCTGAGAAGAACTTAAAAAATGCTAAAAGTTATAGGACGCACGACAAAAGGAGTTCACAATGGGTCAACATGAGACTTTGTCTTGAGGTTACTATTGGACTCATACACACGAAGAGTCCTCAACTAGACATTTGTTTTTTTAAACAGACTACTTTTTTCTCAACTTTACATTTTGATACCAATTAAGCTGTGGCACCACATACAGGTAATCCACTCACCAGGAGAAGACATTAACACCCATCAGAGAGAAGATACGATCCAGAGGAGGCAGGATCTGTTTGGTTATATAGTAGGTAGCGTTGAGTCTGAGAGAGGGGTCAGTGAGAAGATCTGCTGGAGCTCTGACCAGTTGTATAAGTGGAAGACCTGGACTACCATATACGATGACATATGGCACACGTTCACCTACTCTAGGTTCACTACGACGATCATGCTGCAGGCATTTCCTGGCAAAAATAAATTTGTTTCAGCAATCTCCACAATAAGGTGATATGTTGTATCAATATCGGAAAGATCAGCATGCTAATGATCAACCCAATATATTATTTCATATATATTTATTCTATCCTCCAATCACACATATATCTTCAATGATACTATTTTCTATCTGAAAGATTAAGAAATAATTCTATTATTTGAGCACTTACATTCCAAAAGTATCAACCACAACTTCATTTTATGATTTTCTTTGTTCCAGTTGTAAATATGATAAACAGGAGAACGGATGAGGGATGCCTACATCAAATGAATTCTGTCTAATCTATTATACATCTGTGATCTTCTTACTTACTTAGAAATCTCTAAAGCTGGCACACAGGCCCCTGGTTTGTAGCCAGCCATACCACGATACTCTTTAGCAAAGACAAGATCCTGTAGACTGACCTTGCCTTCCATCAGCTTACGGCATTGTGTTTGGACGTATTGCTTTGCCTGGGACACATCACGTGTGGTAAACAGTGTTTTGATTGTGCGCTCAAGAATCTGAAATAACAAATAAGTCAATCTGCTGTAAATAAACGTTGCCTGAGATAAGGAATGTTGTCACGGCATCCTTTGAAATCTGGCGATACCTCAAGTCAAAATTTAACAAATCATCCTTTGTTAACTGATAAAATATAATTCATTTTCCAACAACCAAAATTAAATGTTTAAAATTGACAACAGTTAATCTTAAATTGAAGACAGTACAAGATAACTATGATTGCTTTTGTTTATAGAGAAAACCAGTTCATCAGCATTTCAATGCAACTTTTGGGGCATAAATAAGATGGACCTGCAGATGATGATACAGGTCTTAAAAGGCGTAGTTAAGCCAAATAAGAAAGCACAATAAAATCTGAGAATCTGTCCTTATGTCATAGACAAACATCCCTAGTTCAGCTGGTCAAGAAATGTGAAGAAAGAGAGGTCCTCTATCATCATAGAGCATAGTATTTAACCCTTCTTTATTAACCTTAGCTACAGCTGGACAAGCATCTCTCCTGACAGTCTCTATTCCTTTGGCATCAAATACAGGCTCCTTTTGCTCTGGGGTCTCATAACTAAATCCGACATAACGCTTCTTACTTTGCAGGATGCAAGGGAGATAAACCTGAAGGATATTAATTATTTATATCATAAACATCTGAGAGACTAAAAAATCTGTGTATCCATAATTATGGTCAATTTCACATAATTCATTCTTGATGTATATATACACCAGGTAAGTCCTAACAATAATTCTGAATAAATATCACCAGTATATGTATAATGTGTTAGAGTCCTAACACAAACCATCTGTATAATGTGTAATATCACTTAACACAAATCATCTGTATAATGTGTAATATCACTTAACACAAATCATCTGTATAATGTGTAATATCACTTAACACAAATCATCTGTATAATGTGTAATATCACTTAACACAAATCATCTGTATAATGTGTAATATCACTTAACACAAATCATCTGTATAATGTGTAATATCACATTACACAAATCATCTGTATAATGTGTAATATCACTTAACACAAATCATCTGTATAATGTGTAATATCACATTACACAAATACATTACACAAATCATCTGTATAATGTGTAATATCACTTAACACAAATCATCTGTATAATGTGTAATATTACATTACACAAATCATCTGTATAATGTGTAATATCACTTAACACAAATCATCTGTATAATGTATAATATCACTTAACACAAATCATCTGTGTAATGTGTAATATCACTTAACACAAATCATCTGTATAATGTGTAATATCACATTACACAAATCATCTGTATAATGTGTAATATCACTTAACACAAATCATCTGTATAGTGTGTAATATCACTTAACACAAATCATCTGTATAATGTGTAATATCACTTAACACAAATCATCTGTATAATGTGTAATATCACTTAACACAAATCATGAGTAGAATATTTAAAAAAAGATTTTAATACAAATCACAGGTATAATGTGTAAGAAATCTAAATACAAATCTCATGTATTATGTATAAAAATTCTTAACACAGAACGCAATGTATAGAAAATCTAACATAATTCACAAGTACAAAGTGTAAGAAATTTTAACATATCACAGATATAATGTGTCAGAAATTTTAACACAGTTGTAACATGTTTGAAAGTTTATACCTTATAAAGTTTAAGGTCAATCAGAAACCCATGTAATAGATATAACAAGATACACCCTTCACTATAACAAAACTTACACTTCTGATGTATATACTCAAGCTTACTAAGTTACCTGAAGCATTGAGAGGCACTATCATCCTACCTAATAGTCGATGATTAACTAACCTTCTCAAATTTAAGCTTCATTGGTTTCGGATTAGCTGCGGTCACTGCGTCACAAATCTCATAACCAATCTTAAATGCTTCCTCCTTGCTGCGGCCCTTCAGCTCAATAAACATACTGAAACAAAAGGCTACAAGGTGGCTAGTCTGTATTTGCGTAGAAATTAAACAAGATATGTGTTCAGGTTAAAATTATTAACAGTACTTTATTGAGATACTGATCTACCATATTTTGAGATGTTTACCTGTCAGTGTCGCCATAGACAACCCTAGCTCCCCATCGAGGTGTGTCCTCTACCAACTTGATGGCCCTCTCCAAGGTTTCTCGGGCTTTCCTTACAATACTATCACCAACCTGGCAAATTCAAACATTCCCCAATAACAATCTAATATGCCCATTGAGCATGATTTCACTGACTCAGAGCGAAAGTTTATATCAAGAACTCAATTTGAGTAACTTTTACAGTTATAAACATTGAAAATACCAAAATTTTTACTAAGGTTTTAACAAATGTTTAACTTCACAAATTCAGTAATTATGCCTGTTTTCAAGTTCCTGTCATTTTCTATTACTATACCTCAATGCAAGGCATTCTTCCTGAGAAGTTGGCACCTGTATATCCATAGGTAACATTAGCAATGAGTTTAAGGCCCATTTGTCTGGCATCTAGCAGCTTACTCAGTGCCTGTAACAAAAGCCTGATAGTATGAACTACAATGAAATTATTAAGGATTGGTAACGCTATATATTCCACCCCCACCATAATAATACCACGAGCACAAACAGGATAGGTAACACTATATTCACCCACTCCCCACCTCTACAATACCACGAGTCAGGACAGGATAGGTAACACTATATTCACCCACTCCCTACCTCTACAATACCATGAATCAGGACAGGATAGGTAACACTATATTCACCCACCCCCCACCTCCACAATACCATGAGTCAGGACAGGATAGGCAACACCATATTCACATACCCCCCACCTCTACAATACCATGAGTCAGGACAGGATAGGTAACACTAAATTCACCCACCCCCCACCTCTACAATACCATGAGTCCGGACAGGATGGGTAATACTATATTCACCCACCCCCCACTTCTACAATACCATGAGTCAGGACAGGATGGGCAACACTAAATTCACCCAACCCCCACCTTTACAATACCACAAGTCAGGACAGGATGGGTAACATCACATCTACCCACACCCACCTCAACAATACCACAAGCCAGGACAGGATGGGTTACATCACATCTACCCCCCCCCCCCCACCTCTACAATACCATGAGTCAGGACAGGATGGGTAACATCACATCTACCCACACCCACCTCAAAATACCACAAGCCAGGACAGGATGGTTAACACAATATCCATCCACCCCTATCTCAATAATACCAAAGTTAAATATCACACTTTACCTTGTCCTTCCTGTACGTCTTCATGGCTTTCTTCACCATCAACCTGGTGTTTAGGATTTCCTCTACCATACTATGAAGCAAGATATTTCATGTTTTCATAAGGTTGTAATTTTATAATACTGTCTCCACAATTACACTCCTGTTAAGGATCTTTTAACACACTACGGTTTAAGGTTCATTCTTAAGTTATCACATTTAAATGACAATTCTTCAACAATTTACTACAAAGAGGAGTTCCGATCAAAATCTGTAAATAAATTTTATAACTTAAGTGATCCATAAATTTGACCTACTTTTGCAATCTTTACCTGATATATATATATATTTTTATATATACTATGACCTGACAGATTCCATAGACTTTATCTATTTTTGGAATATTTATATACCTTTTATGACTTGACTGATCTATATCAATTTGACCTAGTTTTAGGATCACTCTATATATCTTATAACCTCACTGATCCCATTGACCTGACCTAAGTAACGACTATAATGCAGATTTTACAAAATTCAATAATTTACTGATTTTAACATCAGATGCTCTTAAAACCTGATCTGATTATGACAAATGGCTGCATATGAAACTTACGCCGAGATCACCCCCTTTCTGATATGTTGCTGGACAAACACCACACCATTGGGAGACACTGTGATGTCATTCTCCAGTTTCTGAAAGTATATAGCAATCTTTGTCATGATTTATAACTGTACCTTACCTCTTCGGGGGCATTATTGCGTAGAAAGATGAAAAGTGACGTAGTGTCCCTTTGGTGCTTTAATGTATTAAGTTTAAAATGAAAAGTAAATGAAAATAAAGCCTGCTTTAGTGAGAGATTTACATGAAACTGGATGGATTTTGTCATATACATGAGATGTCTACTAGAATTCCTTGCTTGCTTTAACATTTAAAGGAAACAAATATATGATGTTTTGATTTGATGTCTTTGTTTTCAGAAGCATGAATGAGTATGTGTATTTACCTTCAGAACTGATGGGGGAACTTTCAGATGGGTACAACCAAACTCAATAGGTCCTTCACTGGAAAACATAAATCAAAATGAAGATAGCATATCAGTTCAATATCATTTTGACATGAAGGCTATAGCGTCTTAATGAGAAAGCAGGTTTTGTGGCTCAACTAAACTTAATAGAACTGCAACACAAATTTAAAGATGTTTACACTGCAAACACCAGCATTGGTTTTGGGTTCAAATGACCAAATGATTTTTCTCCCACTATATTTCAGAAAACATATTTTTGTCAGACTTTATTTCAAATTTAATTTAAAAAGCACTAAATATACTTTTTTCATTAGACCATATATTACAAAAAAACTATAGATCAGTGTTATTCATCAATCATTTTATTGAAATTCAACATATGTCATGAAGTAAAATGAATGATTTCAAAAATAAAAATTCAAAATGGCTGCCATACTGAATTTAAAATCAGCTCCAGAACTGTGTACTATAAGAATTTAAATTTAACATAAAACATCGTTAAGGTGTTTAAGTTTAGCCACATCAGATTTAAAATATCAATGTGTGATCTGACTATATATTAATCAAATTCATCAGTTATGTAAGGGTTGAAACTGAAATTTAAATTAATATAGATTTTCAGGATGGGGGTTATGTTGGAGTTCAAATCAGGTGAAGCATATGCATTGATCATTCATAGTCAAGTATTGCGAAGTTTTTCTTTCATGTCATCAATGGTATTTGAATTTGAAATAAGTTTAGAATATAAGACGTTAATAGAAAATGGTCTTATATGGAGTGCAGATGGAGTGCAATAGTTCAAATGATTCAAGAGAGAAGTGAGTAAATAAAACATTTTAATGAAAGATGATAACAAAGCAAGTGGAAAACAGATGAGACAGATAAAGGAAGAGACTATAGGACCAATATAACTCACTGTGCCTTGTCAAGCCATCTGAGGCGTCCTAGACATGTTGAGAAGCAGTAGTTGTGTGCAATCATGATGGAAGGATAGAGTGACTGAAAGTCTACTACTACCACTGGGTCAGCATAGAAACGTGACTCCGGCTCCAGAGTCAGTGCAATACACTCTGGAGCCCTCATTCGTGCCCTCTGGTGGACACTTGGGGACACAGGGATGTAATTCAGAGGCTTGGCCAAGCGCAGCATCATTGACTCCACACGATACTGTTGGATAAAAATACCAACTGATATTAGAGGCATCAAACTTATAACAAATTCAAAATTCTGATATTTTATTTGATAACTTCTTGGCATATCCTCCTGAACTAGTCATCAAATGTTATAAGTAATAAATAAATAAGTATAAGTATAAATAATAAGTCTGCACATTTCAGGAGTAAGACATCCTTATTTTCTATGTAGTTAACAGAAACAGTTCAATACTATTAATTAAACACTATAGAATTGTATCCAAAATTTGAATTAACATTTTCACTATTCTTTTTAAACCGAGCATCTGATTAAACAGATTTTTCTCTATCAACTCTGATATAGCTGCATTTTCATCCTAAACAAAATTTAATATCATAACATGAATATTACAACATTAATCTACTTAACATCAATGGTCTCTTTGAAAAATTAGTGAAAACAGCGATGAGAAACTCTGGGGCAATAGTAATACCTGAGACCCACGAGACAAGACATGGTAGAACTCTATACCAAACACGCGGGCAAATTCGCTGGTACGGCCAATCAGATCCAGCTGGTCAATCACCTGTAGGTTGCCCTTCACACGCGTGATGTAGTATTCTATCAACCTCCATCTTTAAAATAAATTAATGGAAACAGTCCAATTTAAATTGAAAATTTTAAAATCATCGGGAGTGTTTCCATAACAGAAATCTTCTGCCAAGTATTCTTATTATAATATGCAATTGTATAATAGATTTCCTTGTCAAATGAATTTGTAGGAGCAAAAGGTATAATAGATTTCCTTGTCAAATGAATTTGTAGGAGCAAAAGGTATAATAGATTTCCTTGTCAAATGAATTTGTAAGGGCAGAAATTATAATAGATTTCCTTGTCAAATGAATTTGTAAGAGCAGAAGGTATAATAGATTTCCTTGTCAAATGAATTTGTAAGAGCAGAAATTATAATAGATTTCCTTGTCAAATGAATTTGTAAGAGCAGAAATTATAATAGATTTCCTTGTCAAATGAATTTGTAAGAGCAGAAATTATAACAGATTTCCTTGTCAAATGAATTTGTAAGAGCAGAAGGACACTGCATGTATGAATTATCATAATTAAAATGCAGCTTCTGCCACTGAATGACAGCTGAACTCTTATGACAAAGAATAATGTTGTTCCTGTAATCATATTGTATCTATGCAACTGTATTTAACAAACATTATTATTAAGGTAAGCGATTTTGTATTGACATTCAATATTTCTGTCATTTACATCCAGTTGAACCATCAATATAACATAATTATTTGGGTGTACAGAACCAGTTAATTGTTCACTTTGGATTCAATATATAGTCATCCTTGATACTCCAGGGGTTACGATCACTTTCACTCTCTGCACCCCTAGAACCAGTCATGTTAACATGTCACATGTAAAGTGATTGTAACCCCTGAGTATCGAGGATGATATACAGAAGACCCTTGATAATCTGGACACCTTCATTCCCTGCCAAACATCTTTGGATTACAAATTTTTCAGACTTCCAAGTTTAGTCAACTTGTCAATATATGTATAACCAGAGTTACATCCCTTGATTACATGACAATGAAGTCATCAGTATGATGCTGTTGGATGTTTCAGAATGTCGATGTAGGATTAACTGTGAATGCAGGTATTTATGAGCGTATTTCTTTGTCAAATTTCTATAAACGATGGTATATTCATGAAAATTTACAAAGGGAATGCTTCTATTATTTTGCATGTCTGCTCGATATCAACGTCTTTTGACACAATTCTAATGTGAATTCCCAATCAATAAGATGATTTGCTGTCGTCCGAAACTTTTCTATTTTTAGAATCAAGTTATTGGGAAAAACAGCTGAAGACATTTACTGCATCAGGAGTACAAATGTGGGAGACCCGTTGGAAAAACCCATTCTGTTCCCAAAATATTTGACCAGGACTGGAATTTCTGGATTGATGAATACAATTAAAATTAAAGGAATCTGTTAATGACATTTCCATGTAGACTGAGTTCTCTTGACTATTGGTATCTCGATTATTGATGATTCACTCTACTGCCTTTAAGGATAACTTAATTACAAGACATTGCCACAATGTCCACTTAATTACAAGACATTGCCACTTAATTACAAGACATTGTCACTTACCTGTACAGGTGAGTTCTGTGGTTGAACCAGTTAGACAAGGTCCTAAGTGAAAACTGAGGCACGCGCTGATGAAGGACGTGATAACAAACATTCTCAAAGGAATAAATGTTCAGGGTTATCTAAAACAAAAAAATATAAATATTGATAAAGTAACAAAAACACAAGACTTTCCACAACGCTAAATACTTCTTTATCTAGTATAAGATCATACATGTTATAACCATCAAATCATACAACACTTGTATAACAATTCTGTCCCCATTATTACAAAGCCATTGCAATGATGATATATACTCAAGGGATGAAGACATGCAGGGTGACATTATTTGCAATATCTTGCAAATGTGTTATTCAAAAACAATGAAAATCAGTCAGCAACTCTCTAGGTTACAGAGCATGTGGTCCTGTATCAAATGTTTGCAATGTTGTAATGCATGACAATGTCTTCTGGGGAAAGCATAAAATGGGAAAATCTCCTGCACAGTGTTGTGACATTGAGTTGTAATACCATTAGAGACGCATCATTTTCTTATATTTTGAGTAATTTAAGATAGCATTAAACAATGCCATGGCTAACGAAGTTCAGAGGGGTCAGGTCATTGCAATGATTATGCAAGGTTAACGGCAAATACAGGTTGCCAGACATTTCGGTGTCCATATTTGCACTGTAGAATGTCTTGTTAGATGCTAAGGGAAACTGGGTGGGTTGCTGATAGACCTAGGTCTGTGCATCCGCAGATCCACAAATGCTCATTCATATACTCTCACAGATGCACCAATACTTATTCAAATATCCTGGCAGATGTATGAGCATTTATGTACCCTATCAAAACCCAAAACAGCAAGTTGAACTATCAAAACCTTTCATTTTGCTTTGCAGTATGGCAAATATGTAAACCTATATATTCTTGATTACTTTCAGCTGAGGACGATAATGATGGAAAATAATTTTGAAAATAAAAACTTAAGAATAACCTGTGTCAAAAAGTACTTGTAATATTTTCTATATAAATACACATATTTGCTATGACTCCACACATGCCATACCTTTCCAGAAAATATATGCAGATCATGTTGTGGAATTTAACAAAACATTTTGAAACATGATCAGACTAGCTGAAATCATGTGCTTGTGCTCCAATACAGTTTTAGGTTTTTCAGATTACCTCATGTCGCAGTAACCGCCACAGGTTGAGTACAATCCGTCCAACAATATGAATCTCTGACATATGGTCAGCCCCGTATTCATCTTTGGTGGCACTGAAGTGACTTCCTGTTTTCTCCTCTGAAATACAAATCCAGCTGTAATTTACTCATCTTACATCAATCATTGTTAACTCACTTTGTTTAGTATTTTTACTCACAAATAGTAATCAATTACACATTCTGTACAGATTGGTACATGAAAGATCATTCTACATATATTCTGGACAGCTTGTTACAGAGAGGAACCTTCTATCTATAATATGGCTTACAAGGCACATTACAATATACTGACTTACCCGGCACTCTGGATAGTTTGGAACACAGAGGAATGCTGAGGTGGGAAGCTCTTTGTAGCAGATATCCCCAGGAAAAGTTCTGTATCTCATATCCCACGAGAATATCAGGGTCCCACCTACAACAACAATATACTAATCACAATAATATCAACAAAACAAGGTAATAAAAGATAATAATCACATTGTAAAACTCATTTGTTTTCACATGTCCCAGTTTTGTAACAGAAACAACACTACAAGAGATACTATTGGGGAACTAGAGTACAGAATACTGAACATCTTCAAACATTATCATTTGAATTTAAAAGGTTTAAATTTACAAGTTTTTTATATTTTCATCAGGACTGAGTAATAATAAAAACAGACAGTAAGAAGATAAACATACTTTGCAATAGGATCCTCTAAGAATACATGATACAACTCTTCCTCATCCCTAACATAGGTCACCTGAAGGTCATCAAGGGCGATTCCTGATCGCTGTAAGAATGTGCTAGGTATATCTTCTGTACTATCATAACGACGAGGTGGTGGGGTGACAGCTCCCTTGGCCTTAGCCCGCCTTCCTCTTAGAGTTGAAGGTTTTGGTGATGGACTCCTACATTTTGAAGTTGAAGGTTGGGGTGATTGACTTGAGGATGACAAAGGTGATTTTGACCTTGAAGTAGATGCTTTTGGTGACCTCAATCTAGAACTGCAGGGCTGAGGTGACCTTGATCTAGAACTACCGGGCTGAGGTGACCTTGATCTAGAACTACCAGGCTGAGGTGACCTTGCCAAGTTGGATCCTGATGGTATAGATAAAGGAGATGGGGTTTGTGAGTCATTTCTTTTCTTTTGTCTCTCTTTCAGTGCCATTTCTGCATCTGCTGAGACCAAATCCACAATGATGACCCCAGTGACTTGTGTCTTGCCTTTGGCTGGGTTCACGTCATTAGAGATGGAATAGAATACAGCTTTAATAGCATCAACTTCAGGGTCAGGTCGAAGGTCACCTCTGGTCTCTGCATGGAGTTCAAGACTTAGGACTGTTAGGTTCTGTACCTGTCACAATTAATCAAATTCTTAGTAGTGACACATGTATCATACATATCAAATCTAAATATATTTCAAGGACAAAACCAATGACAGATCTTTTTGATATGTCGGTTACCTTTTTCATTGAGGAAGACATAGAAAAGATGAATAACTAATTGATCTGAACTGATGAAATTTATGCTTTCATATAAGAAGTAAACATAAGAACAACTGCCCCACTAATTTGCAGAACACCTGTAAAAGTGCACAAAGTAAACACAACTCAAGCATAAGGTACTATGAGTGATCACTAAACAATTATATTGGTCAATCTAATTGTCCCTTCATGGGGCTTTCCACAGATGATTTACAAGACTTTGACACACTATTTACACTACGATTTTTATTACAGGTCAATCTAATTGTCCCTTCATGGGGCTTTCCACAGATGATTTACAAGACTTTGACACACTATTTACACTACAATTTTTATTACAGGTCAATCTAATTGTCCCTTCATGGGGCTTTCCACAGATGATTTACAAGACTTTGACACACTATTTACACTACGATTTTTATTACAGGTCAATCTAATTGTCCCTTCATGGGGCTTTCCACAGATGATTTACAAGACTTTGACACACTATTTACACTACGATTTTTATTACAGGTCAATCTGACACAATTGTCCCTTCATGGGGCTTTCCACAGATGATTTACAAGACTTTGACACACTATTTACACTACGATTTTTATTACAGGTCAATCTAATTGTCCCTTCATGGGGCTTTCCACAGATGATTTACAAGACTTTGACACACTATTTACACTACGATTTTTATTACAGGTCAATCTAATTGTCCCTTCATGGGGCTTTCCACAGATGATTTACAAGACTTTGACACACTATTTACACTACGATTTTTATTACAGGTCAATCTAATTGTCCCTTCATGGGGCTTTCCACAGATGATTTACAAGACTTTGACACACTATTTACACTACGATTTTTATTACAGGTCATTCTAAGTGTCCCTTCATGGGGCTTTCCACAGATGATTTACAAGACTTTGACACACTATTTACACTACGATTTTTATTACAGGTCAATCTAATTGTCCTTTCATGGGGCTTTCCACAGATGATTTACAAGACTTTGACACACTGTTTACACTATGATTTTTATTACAGGTCAATCTAATTGTCCCTTCATGGGGCTTTCCACAGATGATTTACAAGACTTTGACACACTGTTTACACTACGATTTTTATTACAGGTCAATCTAATTGTCCCTTCATGGGGCTTTCCACAGATGATTTACAAGACTTTGACACACTATTGACACTACGATTTTTATTACAGGTCAATCTAATTGTCCCTTCATGGGGCTTTCCACAGGTGATTTACAAGACTTTGACACATTGTTTTACACTACGGTTTTTATTACAGGTCAATCTAATTGTCCCTTAATGGGGCTTTCCACAAATGATTTACAAGACACACTGTTTTACACTACGATTTTTAGTAACAGTTAAGTTTTCAGAAATAAACCAAGTTAACAAGATGAATTTGGATGTACTATATGCCATATATTACAGAAGGTTGACCTAAGGATATTTTCAATGTACTTTTTGTATCTGTGAAAATGCTAAAAGATGCAAAATAACTCAGAGAGTATATATTGTAGGAGAACATATCCTTGCAGCTACTTGATAGCAGTTGTTTTGTTATGTGTATATGATGTGGGTGCATTAGATAATTCATTTAATTTAAAAATTTCAGGGTGCTAACATATACAGTCTTACAGAGAAATCTTATGGGGTGACCAATTTACAGTTCATTTAAAGAAATGTTCATATATACCTCATGCAATGCTTTGGCTTCTTGCAGGTTGTCCTGGCTGATCTTGAAGCCAAACGAGTTTTGTGGTGTGGGACCATCTATCTGTGAGGTGTGACCTTTCTGGTCCCGAGGAGTAGCAAATTGCTGAAAAAAGAATCCTCACATTTGTTATAAAATTCTGGTAAAGAATATTTCTGGTATTCTGATGAATTATTTCTCTAAATTATTGATTCCCTAAAGAACTTAATTTCTTTTAACCAGTTTTATGTTAGACATGCTTTAGATATGCTTTGTTGGTCCATTTGAAATATAGACAACATACAACAGCTTTAAAACTTCCTTGCAACAAACCAATCTCCTGTTTCAGAATGTATTGATCAGTTGTATATGTGCTTTGCAAATGGAATTTTGTCGCATACACACCATTACTTTTTTCTCCACAGTATGCCCACTTAACTTACCTGCAATTGAGATAACCGAAGAGCCTCTTGCAGTGACTTCTGTGTGTTGGATGACAGTCTTCGGGGTAGTGGCACTCTTTTTGGTGTAGCAAATATACCTGGACTCTTGTTACCTATGCCAACAACTTGCAATTTGTCATCATGACTCGGAGTACTTGTAGCACTAGGTTTTCTTCCCGACATAACTGGTGTGAATGCTGAGTTATATAGATTTGATATTTGTCTGCCATATATAGGTGTCTTTACATCACTTTTCACCCCCGACATATTACTGGGCATCACAGGCGAGCCTACTATAACAGTGGCAGGCGTCACAGGTGAGTGACCAAGTTTGTCTCTTAAAACATCAGACTCTGTATTTGGAGTAACATGTATACTGTGGCTCACCAAAGGTGTATTCTGGGAACTTGTGATCCTGGACCGTGAGAATTTGGAAAACCTTAATTCTGAAGGAGGAGAAGGGCCGATTACTTCATTATCACTATCAGAGCTATCTCCTTCCAAAAACAGTGTCCGTGGAATGTCCAGGAGTTTGCGGTCCTTACTGCTTTCATTAACTGTGCTATCCTCATGTACGTCTCCACTCAATAAACAGCTGTGTTGATCGCTAATGTCCATCACATCTGACCGATTAATTTTGTCATTTTCATACATTAATGTTTTATCTAGTTGATGTCCAGAATTTCCAATATCAGAATCTTCCCTTTTTTCAGAATTGTTTTTTCTATTAATATTTTTGTCTACATCAATTATATGTTGTTTCTTTTTATTCTTCATATCCTTTAAAATTTTCCTTCCATTAGCCCATCTTTTAACAAGCTCTGTACTTGGGGGTGGATTACAAGGGGAGATAATAAAAGATTTATCGCCTAGAAGAGCAAAGCGGAGTTGTGGCTCCTTTTCCATTCTATTCATTAGTGTTTCATTTTCAGACTGACTTAGAATGATCTGATCCACTGACATCATTCTGCTCCTCCAAGTTAGTAGCCCAGCACAGTCTGTATTACTGATAAAATCATCATAATCTTTTACCTGAAAAGAAAACACAATGTTTTTCTGATCTACTGTACTGTAATACTTGTATAGTAAGTATGTATTTACATTACAACTGATCATTTAAAGTCTCCCTTCAAAGAAAATCAAGTCGCATGAATGTTTTACAATAGAATATATAGTGGAAATGAAAACTATTTCAACAAATGATATATCAGAACACTTTAAGCCAAGTAAATAATATCATTTTTCTAACATGCATAGATTTTTAATTTTCTACCACAAATATTGTGATAAAATCTTATCTTATCTTCATGCTTATTTCACAGCACCAACTATGAGGTACAGTGAAACCCACATAATATAATGTTCCACTTCTTATGGGAAATGTGATAATAAGCAGAACGTGAGATTAACAGTTGACACATTTTTCCGGATGTCTAAACCTGGAAGTTAATTTTCTGATGCACCAAACTGATTTGTTTTCAAACAGAAAATGTTTGAAGCCAATATATTTAATTGATTTGTATTTCCCAAACAAATCGTTAGTTCCTTGATTGTTGTTTGTTTATTCTTTTAAATCCAAACTGCTACCATAAATCACTGTGAATGATTATGACCGAATATTCATGTCATATTAACTTTGTAAGATAATCACATCCAATACTCGGTTTCCCAATTTCTGGACATTTAGAATGTATTCATATTGTGCTTTATGAAAATATTTAGACTTTACTTACAGAATGAGACATCTCTCAACAATATTAATCTTGGTACGACAAGCTAGCCACACAAGTCTCATTAGATTATATTTGAAATACATAGGAGGACTTGTTGCCCGCACATGGTTTGTTGAAAAAATGATACATAAATGTACATGTATAAAGGTTATAAAACAAAGAGGCAGTGTTATAACATCACTGATAGGAAGTATTACATTTTGTCTCCTCAGGTTTCTATCTCACCACGTAAAGAGTAAAAAGATTATCAAACAAGTTAGTAAAATAACACAATATAAAATCCAGGATTGAAAATGTTATATACTGAAAAGGTGAATATTATTAGTATAGAGTGGAACAAACCGGAGAGTGGAAAATTACAATAACCAATCAAATAAAACAACAAACTGTAAATGGCTGAGAGGGCCTGTAAAGCTCATTCATTATCTAAAGTTTTATATAATATGGAGCTATAATAGGCAAATTTTCTACTACATTCAGAGATAACGAGATAACAAAGCTGTGGTATACAATTGCTTGATCTAAGGAATTACCTTTGGCTTCATATCATTTAAATGACTATTGATGGAGGGTGGGAAATAAAACAAAGTTTACTACTAAAGTTATCAAGTGGGTACCAAGTGTACCCATCTGCCCTGCCATCCGCATGCTCAAACACACTATTAAAAGTATATTGGAACTGCAAAATGGAAATACTTGAATTGAAGCGATTAATTACATAATCACTATGTTATCAATATTCATATTTCACTTTCTTCATCCAAATCAGGATTTATTGCCTTCTGCATGTCATAATACAACAGTCTGAAATGGATTTTTCCATATCTAATAGATACTCTTTCATTCTAGTATTATTATCATATTATTCAAAAATCAAATGACTTACACTCAATCTGATTAAAATGTATCTATTAATAGGCCTACACTATGAGAATAATAAAGATATGGTTTTAATCAGAGTGAGTTTACACTTACACCTTATCTCTTTTCCACAATGACCTCTCCTTTACCAAAGATAGCACTGGACATGGTATAAAATCTTTTCCCAGCTCAGTTTAACACAAAGGCAAAATGAGAGAAAAAGAAAAAGAAAAAAACAGAAAATGACCCTTTATTTGATCTCCTTTACAAGTTAAACAATCAACATAAGCTCTGTACAGCTATTATTATAATGCTGTTTTGGATGTTGGAGAAAACCCCGAGTAGGGATAACCAACATGCTACAGTGGGGAAACATTTGACCCAACAGACACCATCCTCTGCCACCAGTATGTCTAGAACCTATGTTCAAAGAAAAAGTGGTCCGAAGCTCATGTTTGATTGCACAACTTGTGACAGCTATTCTATCAGCACATAAGCGATTATGGCTACAGTGGCACCCTGATTACTCATGACACTCAGTTTATCTCAGTGTTGAACATTATGTTAAAAGTATGAATGAGTGATGAAAATAAACTCTGTTAATATGGTAAGTTAAAAAATAAACAAACAAAAACAAAACAAAAATCAAAAATCTTCAAGAAGGACCATTTTTTTACCAAAGAGGGCAATTTAAGCACCTCTCTCCTATTTTCAAGCTATTCTCAAAGATTGAAGAAATGACATGTGTGCCCTCTAACAAAAGACATTGTACCATAGTGTAAGCTTAGACCATGCCAGCAAATGAGCTTGACAGAAATCTATTGTGCACAAGCAAAACCATAACTTCATGCTACTATGTACTGCTCTTCAAAATCTTCAGTCCTTCAATTTGAACAGAACATTTAATTACATATTTTTTTTCATTTCATAACATTAAAGGATTCTTGAATTACCAGATAATGCTAATATGTTTCCATTCTATTGCTTTACCTGTATACCAGTATCCTTACTTAGATGTTATACTAGTGACTATTAACTGGTTCTTTTCAGTATCAACCTAATGATAAAGTCAATGTGCCCTAAACATTTAAGAGAAATAACACATTGTGTTTTTTGAATAGTCTATCAAGTCCAACACATCAGATTATTGTCAAATGTCACACAATTTCAGAAAACAATAGAATAAAGACATTTATCTATGCAGAAATCACAAAAAGAGGGAGAATGTTAACTGAAAATTTTGAAGAGATTTTCTGAAAACTCTTTTGGCTCACCCTGGTAGACTGAACTTCTAATACTCGCCCACCCAGTTCCCTACAAAGGACACAAAAAGCATGCATGTCAATCGTGCTGTCTATCATATTTTCTTTCAAGAATGACAAGCTACATTGATTAAGATCAACACTTTAACAAATATTGATGATAAAAGAAAGCTAAATAATGTAACACTGTAATCAATTTTGATATCATACCCACACAAGCTGAGCCATTAAACATTTTCATTAGCCAAAAAACTGTTTGTTTACTATTGTACTAGCATTTACATAAAGAAATGTTCAATAAATTAAAAAGAAATATTTCTCTTTGGACTCAATAGCTCAACATGATGTCATAAAGTTTTGGGTGATGAAATCAAAGGTGACTTGTGTAAATTGTATAAAAAAAGGGATAGAACAACACACAGCAACATAACACACAATAGAAAATTCATTTAATATACCAGAAAATAGATCTCATTTCTATGGAAAATTCAATCTGTATTCTGCTATAAAATCATCAGGGAGATCCAACATCTGACACAACCACTCATCTCATGACCTGTAACCAGTCAGATGCTAAAATGGGAAATTAATGTAAGGGTAGATAACTCACTCTTACCTTGGTCGCTCTGGTAAATCCTCTGGATTACTGCAGTAGGCACCTACAATCTCTGCCGAATTCAATCCATAACTAGTGGCGGTATTCTGCACCATTTTTCGACTGGGTGGTAATATATCTGGAGTTATCACTTTCAGACATCTCCCATCATTAAAATTTCTTCCATACTCTTCAGTAGGATTGGATTCCTTTGAATTGTTGTCCATGTTCCTATTTTCATAACACGTAAAACTAGCTCCTAATGGTTGACTTGAATTGGAATTGTTCAGAGGGCTATCTGAATATTGTGTTGAATTGGTTCTGTTGTCTCCAACACATTTCCTTGCCATACTATCTACAAAGATGCTATTGTCACTTTCAATGCTGATCCTTTCTTTGATGAGGGATGGCATATCCCCATCTGATCCTGATCCAGACAAGGAAGGCACACCTACACTCTTTATTTTGTCTGGAATCCAAGGTGATGAGGTGGCCCGCTCTTCTTCACTATTACTAGTAAGGTGAGTATCAAGTTCATCATCATTTACTTCCAATTGCAAATGCAGATCCTCTTCATCATCACTGATGTCACTAAATCGATCACTGTGGACCACATTGAGCGACCCATTACTGCAGCTACTTACCGGGGATTTATGCTCATACAAACCAAAACCCATGTGACCTTGGGGTGTTCTGATCATCTGAAGTGTGTCCGGTGAGGTAGTCGACATGAGAAGAGGTGGGGATCTGGATTCCTCTGTAATATTACCAGTCTTCGGATATTTAGGTATGTTTGGAGGTCCTAGGTCTGGTGGTGAGTTGGATCCTTCACTTGAAGACACTGAGATTTGTTTCTCATATACTGGAGAACTAACTCTCTCCAGATTTGCAGGAATTTCTTCACTAGACTTCCCACAAAAGTTCTCAATGTCTGCTGATGATAATGGTGTTAATCTGACAACTGCTTCCTTTAATTTTTTTGTCTTTGTATAGCTTTTAACCATGTTTGAATTCTGTGACTCATCTGAATCTTTGCTATCACCCAAGTTGAAATCTACAGGAGATCTGGTCGTTCTTTCCTGACCAAGGCCATATGCAGGAGTTTGTGAGGAAGGACTTCTCAGAAACACCGATGAGAATGGTTTAAAGTCAGCATCACACATGGTAACTTGGTTCATCAGTGGCTGATAAACTGGAGATATATCACTCCCTGAAGAGTTAATCCGCATTGTACTCTGCATTGAAGAGTAGACAGGTGACTGACTGTTATCACTAACAGGCAAGACAGGGCTCTGCGCCTCAGATGTGGACCTTGTCAGGCCTTGATGATCCCGTGCTAGCTCCTCAGGGGTCAATGGAAGAGGAGGTGAGATATTACCCTTTTCTGAATCAGAAGATGAAATAAAAGACATCTTGAACATAGCATCTTCATATCTGACCTTGAAATCTTCAGTGTTTTCATTGTAAGAAAGTCTGGTGTCATTCAGATTTGCTATTGTTGCTTCATGGAGTAATGACAGACTGTTCATCAATTTTCCACTACTGGGTGCTTTTTTGCGGCGAGATTTTTTGCTTAGAAAGGCTATCTGAAGCTTTTGGTTTCTGGTTAGCTTCTTTTTCTTCCTGTTACTTTTAGATAAAGATTTGGGATCATCTGAATCAATGTCAGCTTGCTGTTCTTTACTGTCATTTGACCAATCATCACAGATTTCTGCTCTTAAATGACTTTTTTTTTCAGGAGATGACTGACAAGATGAGTGATTAGACGAATCTTCTGAACTCTCGTTCTTACACTTTCTGCTATCTTGAGATCCCGATGAATCATCATCATCATATAAGCCCTGTTCTCTTCCACAGGATGAAATTGAAAGTCTGTTGTTGTAAGAATACTTCTGACATTTTGGTTGTGTCACCAAAAAGTCTTTCACATTTACACTTTCATCTTGACCAATCTCCAATCTTTCTAGACACACTGCCATTTTACGATGACCTTTGAATCTTCCAATAACAATGTAGTCTATTCCAGCAACCTCTTTTTTTTTCTTTTTACGTTTTGTTCTTTTTAACTCTTTATTTTCCTTCTCAAATGTGTAATCAACATCACTCCCAGAGTTTTCCATTCCCCTAGATTCAAGTCGATAACTTTGTTTTTCACCTCTTGCCAAACTGGAAAGTTTCCTTTTTCGTGGTTTGACCTTTGTTTTAGAAATGTCTGAAGTACTCAATGAACTTTCTGAAGAATCCTTTCTGGAAGTTGTCCTTGATGACAGCTCTGACCATGATGCTGAAATGGGGGATTCCATTCGACTTTGACAGGTGATGTCTTTCTCTGACAGACAGTAATTTTTTACAGACTGATTAGGTTGGTGTTCTAACTCATTTTTTAGTGTTCTCAACTTGGCTTCCAGTTCATTCCGACTACATATGATATCTGAATCAAACAGTTTGTAGTTTTCCATGCCAAACCCATTACAGTTGTGACGAATTGGACTCCTACCAGCTACAGGTGTCTGGCTGGTAATGGGAGTTAGGACTCCATTCGATGCTTCTGTCAAGTTGACATCCTTTAGTATCACATTCTGGATTTCCTCTCTATCAGGGTCTACAACAGGAGGCACATTATGGATGTGTCCATTAGCTGTGATTTTGAATCGCCTCTTTGTGGAGAGATTCCTTCGTCGGATGACCTTGAGACCTTTGTCATTGAACCTTATATCCTGAAGTCCTTCATTAGTGTGTATACCCACAGAGGGTACAGCCGCTGATACTAAACAACCTCCATCAACTCTATCTCTTTGGAACATTTTTTTGTCAAGTTTATCATCGAGCTTGTCCTTCAAGACTGATGTCATAAGAACTTGTTCAATAATGTTACTAAAATTAGCATTATGTATACTTCCATATGAGCATGCTATAGTTGGTGATGCATTCTGTTGATTGTTGTTTTGTGGAAGGACTTTGGAATGTGAAACTTTTGTCACATGATGATTAATATTTATACCTTGTGACTTGTCTCTTTTCTGTTCTGGTCCAAAATCACCTCCAGGCATTTCAATGTTGTCATCCAAAATTTTTGAATTCAAAAGTTTTTCAAATATGTTCCTAGTGTGGGAATATTCACGGACTCCAGTTTTTGGTGTCATGCCAGAATGGTTGGCTCTATTAAAATCTTTCTTTCCAGGCAATGTAGTTTTGTGACCAGAGGGACAGCCCCCCTGGTCACTAAGCCCTAAAAAATTACCGGTGTTTTGATTTTCATTTCTCTTAATCTCAGTTGAATGTACTGAATTTTCAGAGGAACTGTGTACAGACTTTGGTATGTTGTTCAAGGTTCCATCTCTGTGGTCACTATTCAACTCATTCTCTCGAACGCTGTCATCTCCTACTGGTTCACCATCATTTACTCGTAATGGTATGTGATCTCTTGTCTCATGAACCCCAGGCATTCGACTTTTAGGCAAGTATTCCCGTGGTGTTTCAATCCCTGGCACATGACCTTGAGGTATTGTCCTTGGCTCATGACCTCGTACCATAAATCCTGGCAAATGACCTGATGATGTATGACCTCTTGGCATTTGATTCAACATTTTGCCCTGCATACAATCAACTTGCATATGATGTTGAGGTATATGACCACTCTTAGGTCTTTCAGATATATGACCATCTGCCCCATAACTTCCAGACATCTGATTTTCAGATGTATGATTTCTTAATGTGTTTCCTTCAGAACTTTGACCCTGATGTGTGTAACCTTCTGACATCTGTCCATCTGACCCATGAACTCTTTGATTATCATTGCCTGACATGTAATCTGCTGCTATTTCACCAGTCACATGTCTACCATTATTTCCAGGAAATCCATTTTTTGGAGCAGAATCATATTCTTTATCATCTTTATGGTTTGTAGTAGAATGAGAATCAGGAGAATTTCGAAAATCATTCTCACTTGAATTATCCTGTTTCCCATTTTGTTTTTCCTCATCTGATGATTTTTTTTCTCTTGATTTCCCTGTATCAGAATCAAAAGAACTGTAGCCTCTACTCAAAAAATTCTGGAACTGACTGAGAAAACTATTCTGTTGTGTCTGTGATCTGCCTTTCAAACCTTGAATGGGAGGTCTTTCCCCCATTCCATTTTTCACATCACTTTCATGTTTGAATTCCCTCCTTTTTACATTACATATCTGATGGTTTTGAGCAATACAATCCTGTTTTTCAGGGCACATGCATTTACCCTTATCACAATTGCACAATTTTATGTTAGCTCTTTGTGATAAAGAAGAATTTTGTCCCTGAACATCCTCATAATTTGGCAGGCTAGACATGTTTCCCCTTTCCATGTTATGAAGCATAGGTTGCGGGTGACCTTTATATCCATCAGTGAAATTTTGTATGCCTGCACAGCTTCCTGATCTGTTTGAATCCTTCATGGCCATACGTTCATGCAACATCTTCTTCAGGTGCAAATTGCTAATGTTCTCAGATAACTTTGCTTTCAATAACTTTTTTTGTGGACTTACCCCAGATTCAGTCTGGATCTCTCTCACATGATTTTCTTTTTTAATATAATTTTCATGTATTCCTGAGGAAGAATCCATGGATGATATCACATTTGGTTGTTGATATGGCTGACTGGAGCCTGAATCATCAGAAAACCTCGGTTCTGGTACAACTCCAAATAGATCTTGAGCAAGAGTATTGCGTGGATGATGTATGTTTGACATGCCTGTTGGACCATTCTTCTGGTTACAAGAAAATGTCTGCTTACCTGTATCTGAATATGCAGCTTGTTTTCGAACACATGTTGAGGGAGTTTGTGTACGAATACGTTTCACAGCTTTCTCTATATCTATAGTTGATAAATTCTGTGCTTTTACAATTTCACGTCCAATTTTCAACAAACTATATCGTCTTGCATCCATTGGGTGCATTCTGACAAATTTAACCGTGTTAGGATTGTCCAGAGGTCTTTTCTTGTGGAATTTCAAACGTTTAAATACTGGAGTTGGAACTTGAAATGAAAATGTATATGAAGCATTTGAACCCGATGATTTCCCAATAGAAATCTTGTCTGCCACAGAGTTGGACCTACTTCTTGGCTGTGAAGGTGTTGTTGGACTTTGGGGAGTAAGTGGATACTGTTGATTCTGTGCATTGGATGGTGAATCATACTTTCTTGGTCTTCCACGCTTCTTAATGACAGACAAGGACCTCCCAAGTTTTGGAGAAATCCTTCCCGTTGGTACCCCTGTTCCCATACAATGTGCTGATGTTGGATGTCTCATTGGAAACTTCATAGAACCATGAGTTGGTGTGTTATATTCCCTTGTACCATATGTTGAAGTATTACTCACAGGTGGGTAGTTACCTTGGGAAACTGGACTCCTGTCTTGAAGATTCCAGTATGGTTGGAACTGTTGATGACTTGAATTATGGGACTGTTGAGGATATGTGTTCAAGTTAGACTGAGAATCACTCCACATTGGTTTAAACTGAGGAGAAAACTGCTGATATCCCATTTTGCTATGAGGATCAGGATGAGCAGAATGACTTTGATGACTTTGTGTTTGTGGATGGCTTTGATGAATTGGTTGACCTTGGTGCTGACCTAATGCTTGATGACCTTGAGATAGATGACTTTGAGGCTGATGACATTGAGGTGCATGAACTTGTGATTGTGACTTGTGACTTTCTGGCGATTGACCTTGTGGTGGATGAATTTGAGATGGTTGACCTTGACATGGGGATTGGTAATTTCCCAACTGCCTCTCCTGTTGAACATTGACACCATAGTGGGGGTCTTTGTTAACACTGGACACCAGACTTTGAAGACTTTGAAGACAAGAAAATGTGTCAGAATTCTTTCCTTGTTGTTGGTTTCCTGCAGCTACAGCAGATCCCTGAAAATTACTTGAACAGTCAAGTTTTGGACTCTGTGATGTCTGAGAAGATGGTCTGGAAAATGAATGATTAGTGGGCGTGTCCTGAACAGGAGAAGATAACACTGATGACTGTGACTTAGATAATTTATCCATAAATAGGTCTTCCTGACTACCAAGAAGAGATGAATTTGACAACTGACTAGAATCTAAGATGCTGTCCCCCATGGATGACTGTTTTTCTAATACTTGACTAGAAGGCTTCATCTGAGAGAGTAAATCAGATACCTTCTGGGGCTGGCCTTTAACATCATATGGTGATAGAGGTGAGGTGATAGGGCCCATGTTAGGTGAAGGCATGACTGGTGTTGTTGGTCCAACAGAAGTACGTGATGAAGCTGTGGATAAGTTTGAACATCGACTTACACTCCTTTGTACAGGCTCTGTTTGATTTGAGCAGTCTTCATCCTCATCCCCTAGCAAAAGTCTTTCTAGAGTACTCTGAGGTTTAGTAGTTTGTTCATCTTTCGACATTTTAGCTCGACTTTTATTGGTTGAAACACTGACTGGGACATTATTATTTGACTGAAGTGATCCTGGACTGACCTGACTTGAACCAGTCATCGCTTGTGATTTCTTAGTTTTCCTGCATCTCTTTGCTGCACTTTTACCAGCATTGGCCCACTTCCCACTAGCATTCTGTGTGCCCTTTTTCCTACCCTGGGCTTTCCCTTGTATTGGTGCCTGATTTCCAAAGAACTGCTGAGGCCATTGTTGTTGGTTTGGATTCAACTGCATTTGTTGTTGGTTACCCTGGTATTGGTTGTATTGATAGCTACTTTGAGTGAAGTTCTGTTGTGGTATTTGTCCTCTGCCCTGTTGATCTCTGACCTGATTATACTGGTTCATGTATGTGCCCGGGTTGTAGTCACCACCTGACTGGTTGCCATAGTAGTTCTGGTTATAGTTGTTATAGCCTTGACTCTCAGCATTAGAGTAGTCACCCATACACATTTGAGCGGGTTGCATGGGTGTGATTTGAGGACCCCTTTCACTCGTGTCCAACTGGGAGCCGATTGAAGTTGCAGTTGGGGATTGAAGGGGCTGCATTGGCTGCATTGTTGTGAGAGCTTGTGGTGAGGGCATGGAGGAATGAATGGAAGTGGAAGGTGATTGGAGTGTGGGCGACTGTTGTGTGGACAGTGGTGACTGATGGGAAGAATGAGGTGAGTGGAGCACTGGAGAGGTCACCGGCTCTCGAGGCATCTTTACTGTCTGAAGTGTTTCTAGTGGTGATAGAACAGTGTCTGTTGTGGACTGGAGCTCCCCTCTAGGGACATGCTGTACTGGACTAGGCAGGGGCATTGAGTTGTCCCCTCCCCAGCCTTGGTTTCCCTGACCCCATGACATGGACATGTTGTTCTGCTGGGGTGATATTTCCTGTGGTTGTTGAAAGTTTTGACCCCAGCCACTGTTGTCATAGTTATCAGAACCATGATTTCCATAGTTGTTATCAATGCCATCCATACCATAGTTACAATTGTATCCATGCTGTTGTTGGTAGCCCTGATTATACTGCATGGGCGAGTTTCCTTGATTTCCATACATAAATTGAGAGTTGTCTGTATACATCATCTGTTGGGACTGGTTTTGATATTGAACTTGGTTCTGCTGATATGGTTGATGGCCTTGACCCTGTTGTTGTCCCATCGTGTTGAAGGAAGACATGGAAGAACCAGACACTGCCAGACTCTTTTTTGCCTTGGATTTGGCTGAAAAACATTAATCATTTATCAAATACAGATTTTTGACTTTTAAATTAATCGGACAAAACACCTAATGTATAGCTGCTAAATCTATATTTTTATTTTTCAAATTAATTTGTTTAAAAGACTCAATCAAGAGGTTAAACCTAGTTCCCTTCTTTATAAGTTAATACATTTACAGTTTGTAAATTTGGTGAATCACTTCATCACATAAAAGTATCAAAAGTATTCCTTACATGGCCTTTCATCAGCCGCTCCATCAAATTGTGGAATCATTTCTTCAACTTCCTCATCATTCTCATCCTTGTCAGTTTGTTTCAACTGAGAGTCGTTCCAAGTATCATCCATTCCAGTCCAGTTGAAGTTTTCCTCACCAACACCACTGTGGGTGGAAGGACATATTCTACAGCATTATGTTTCAGCTTCATTTCTTTATTTAGCATATACTGTATCTGTTACTAGTTTTATTCTTTTTATGACAAAGTCAATAAATAAATTTCATTGAAAGGTACTAGTAATTTGTATGCATTTTGTACCAATATATTTATTGATATTAAAGGAAAGAACACATTTTCTGGTTAACAGATTCTAATATAGGAAGAAATGATCCTTTATCATATGGTTGTACATGGTCCAATACCTTGGTCCCTGTGCAGGCTCATCCTCTTCACCCCACATTCTCTGTGACATCTCGAGTGTCTCTGCATCCTCAGACATTTCTTCAGCTTCATTGTCAGGTTGCTGAGTTGTGTTATGAAGGACACTGTCTTCTTCCTCTAGAGCCTCTATCTGACTAGCTGCTACCTGTGAACATACTGGGGAACTCTCCTCTGCAAGAGACGCCAACATTTCCGCAAGTACCTGGCTTGACCCTGCATAACATAGAGCAGAGATGATTTTAATTCAGTTTTCATTGGAGGCAGCCCTTGAGATTCCTTTTCAATTCACTTTTAATTTTCACCAGATAAAAATAGACAAAAATATCAAATGAAATTAATGGAAATTAAAGGGCTCAAAACTTACATGAAACATATTAATATTTAATGCCAATCTCAAACATATGTACAACTGTCACAAAGATTCCTATGTGTTGCTCCCCATAAATCAACAGTTAAATTGCTAGTGTACAGAACCATGTGGACTTCATTGATGACTAGAAACTGAAGTGGTTGAAAGCCTATTAATCATAGTATATCAACAACACATAATCTGCATCGAGATGTCTTACTGTTGCCGACGCATTTTTTCATTTCTTTCTGAAATGTTGAGTTATATTTTTTCTTTCCTTGTGGTTGACCTACAGCTTGTGTACTCACTCTGAGGTTGAGATGATGGAATGCTCTCTGCTGGTGACTCACTAAAGCTTTGACTGAAGGACACAACTCTTTTGATGGACTCCAGACTAATCACTGGGGTAACGCTTTCCTCCTCCTCCTCCTCAGATAAATCAACAGTGTCCTGGGAGCTAGACAGGTTCTCTGTTAAAACAGAAAGGAAGGTCATAAAGGTATGCATAACTCCATATTACTTATCTCGAGCAGGAATATCAAGTGAATTTAAACATCACATTAATCATGAAACAAATGTATTTCCTTAAATATTAACTTTTCTCTTACACTATATCAGTATAAGAGTGACTTACATATACCTTTACCATGATAAATGTCATTTCTCAATATCAGAGTGACTACCTTGACCATGATAAGTGTCATTTCTCAGTATCAGAGTGACTTACCTCGACCATGATAAGTGTCATTTCTCAGTATCAGAGTGACTTACCTTGACCATGATAAGTGTCATTCCTCAGTATCAGAATGACTAACCTTGACCATGATAAGTGTCATTTCTCAGTATCAGAGTGACTTACCTTGACCATGATAAGTGTCATTTCTCAGTATCAGAGTGACTTACCTTGACCATGATAAGTGTCATTCCTCAGTATCAGAGTGACTTACCTTGACCATGATAAGTGTCATTCCTCAGTATCTGAGTAACTGAATTATCTTGACCACTATAGGTGCATGTGTCATTTCTCAGCACTGTATGGGGAGTGACTTACCTTGAACATGACAGGCATCATTTCTCAGTGAGGCAGTGACTTACCTTGAACATGACAGGTGTCATTTCTCAATATGAGAGTGACTTACCTTGAACATGACAGGTGTCATTTCTCAGTAATGTAATGACTTACCTTGAACATGACAGGTGTCATTTCTCAGTAAGGCAGTGACTTACCTTGCACATGACAGGTGTCATTTCTCAGTAAGGCAGTGACTTACCTTGCACATGACATTTGTGATTTTTCAAGTATAAGGGGTGACTTACCATCTATCTGTGACATGTGTAGGTCCACTTCAGAAGCAGGAGTAGGGCTAAAATCAGTCTGTGATTGGTCATCAACCTGAGACGCTTCAGATGTTGTATCAGATTGACTGTCCCTATCAACATATACACACATACAACACAAACATTGCAAACATTAGTAGCAAGACCATTGCCTAAGAAACAAGAGGCAAAATGGGCCTGCAGCACTCACTCTTCAGCCAGGTGAGCTAAAACTGTCATTTTCAGAAAAAATAATGAAATCTTAGATTTCTATCTTAATTTTTTTCTCAAAGTTAAAAGACACATCAATCAGAAGTTTCAATCAACATATTGCAATTTTCCTAGTTTTACCAAAAGCTTGAAGGACACAAAATAAATTACCTACTTATTTGAAAGTATTCTGTATAAATTTTATTTTCAAGTCAGTTTTTTTCCATTTCATCCTCAAGAAAACAATGAAACAGGACCCCTTAAAACCTGTGACATTAATTCTTAAACATGATAAAGTACGAGAAAAGACAGATAAGGTTTTTCATCACAACAATTGAAGGCATCAAACAACTGCATAATATAGAATGAATATGCTGTGTAAATATCAATGGTACTGATGTCAGTATCTGCAGCATATTTACGAATGTCACAATGGTGTTATATAAAAATCCTGCTGTGAATTCAGATCCACAACTTACATATAAGGTTGAAGTTCCAATACCATTTCATGGAATCTCTGTCTCTGCTCCATATCACTCACTGTTATTTCAACATTTTGATGCTCTGAAACAATGACACCATATAAGACTGTTCACATCATTTCAATTTGTTAACTAAGGATTTATGTAGACCAAGGACATTTTGTAAGGTTATGTCTTAAATTCTTTTATCTTCATTATCATTTAGCAGTGAGCTGTAGTATTAATTGAAAAGCATAGGTGACACAAATATAAGCTGATGTTTATGAGAAAAGTTTAAAATTCACAAGCAAGTATGATGACAATAGGTTATCATGTGATGAGAGAGAAGCACTTACTGCTTAAGAAACACTTAAACAGACATGAAATTTGAATAGGTGTAAAAATGCAGTCAGTCAAGTTCAAACATTGTCAATATTAAAAAAATAAGTTGAAACAATGGACAATAATGTTATAATGAATTACACTTTCAAAATTGAAAAACAAATCAAACATTATCCTTGGTATCACTTTGGAAAGATTCCTAATCAAAAGTTTTTTATTCAGAAATATACAAATGAAAAAACCTTGAGAGTCAGGGGGAGCCAGTTGTGAGGACTCGCCTCTATCCCTTCTCCTCTGCTTCTCGTCTTCCCACAAAGCTGCAAGTCCAGGGTTGGTGCCAACATTGGCTGATAAAGACAGAAACAAATAAATAAACTAAAAGCAATACTTTATAAAGGAATTACACAGCTTGGTGCTTACTTATACATTTATGTGTAGCATAGGGTAGAATAAAAATTAATGATCATGTGATATATTCATCATCATTATTTATTGTCCTTATTCCTTGAAACTTTCTAAAACATTCTCTTGACCATTTATCCTCTAATTACCTTGCACATTGTATATACATGTCATTATACCACTTACCATCTACCTTCACTGTTAACACAATGCTTTACAAAATGATTAATGTTATTCAGTGTTACGTCATGTTTTTGCATGTGAACCTATATTATATGACCAACTCCGACATCAGGACGAGATTATGAAAAAGTGTCACACACTTGCTAATGGCATTGTGACATTAGAATGGAGACCATTGATATACAGTGACATGTCCTAAGTATTGCCACAAATCCAAATGAAGTTGTAGATAATTTCCTTATGATTGTCGTTTTTTCCTTTGTGGTGGCGTTCTCATAAACTCAGGTCAACTTTTGGCCAGAATAAATTATATTTCAAGGAGTGTTTTGTGACATGAATCTACCAGATGTTTGAGAAGCAGATGATACCTGGTCTAATTTAATGGTGAATTATAGGGGGGGGGGAATATATATTGCAGTGAATTGACAATTACGATTACAAAATGAATAATACCTTAAGGGTCATAGGTCAAAAAAGGTGAAATAGTCAGAGAACTGGATATATCATAGTCTATAATCAACTGAGACAAATTTTGACATGCAGGAAGGGTGGAAAATAAACCTGGAACAGATAGGCCTAGATTGACTAACAGCAGAGGTGATTGGAAGATATTTAGGATATTTAACAAGAATAGCTATCATTACAGGATATTTCTGCGAATTTTAACACTGTTGCACCTCCTTATGTCAGTAAACATACTGTTCAAAGAAAATTATTTGAGGAAGAATACTCAAAACATCAAATTTGGAAGACAATCATGATCAGCAAGGTAAACAGACAGTGCCTTATTTTGTTGTGTAGAATTGAAAGATTTTGGAATTTAAGACCATGGCAGGAAATTATCTTACTTTGGATGAAACACAGGTTGTAATTGGCAGAAAACCCCAAGAGATTTGGTGACCTTATTGTCTAAACCAACATAAGATTCTAGTAAAGGCGAGTTGTATTGTATGGGGGCGTATCGCTCATCGCTGTGAAATACATAGAACTGTTAAATTTGTGGCTAGTTATTGCTTATAACTTTCCAACAATGTCAAGAGTGTGACACAAAAACTAACAAAATGGAAATTATAAGTGTTGTCCAGAGAATATAAAACTGGTCTTTACCAAACTAAGACAGCTGATGTGCCTCCATTCCACCAAAAAATGTGACAGGTTATCATCCAGAAAGTTTCAAAATCTGATCTCTTCAGGTATGTACTTATTTTACTCAATATTACATTTTTTCTTACATGGAAATGATATCATTGATTTAGACATCAGCCATCTTTGTTGCAATACTTATGGTATGTCGCTGTAGAAAAATGACTCAAAGTTTGTCATAAAAAAAAGATTTTCAGCGATATTTGCAAAATGTTTGATCATATGTTAAAAAGAGGATTTTTAAAATTTGATTCCACCTTAATGTTTCTCATAAATTTAATTTAGTTTGCCAGCAGCTAAATAAAATGTAAAATTTAAGACTCATAAATCTGTTATGAAATGGAAAGATATCACTTACCATCAACCTCCAGTCTGTTGAGAATGTCAGCAGCTACAACATCCACCTCAAGTTCACATGTACTCTGTCTCACAATGTCTAAACACAGCTCACTGGAATACATAAAAGCCAATATCACAAAACAGTTTATAGTAGTACAGAAGTTGAAACTATCTCCACATCAAGATAATTGCATGTAAAGGATAGAATTGTTAAAACTACGAAAATGGAAAATAAACATCATATGTAAACGAAAAATTGCAGTCAATATTTAAACTCCAAAGAAAATCCAGAATGGCATTATTACTTGATCTGGAAACTAATGTAAGTGCTAAATGACCTACTTATTACATAATTACTAAGTATCTCAAACTTGACCTTCAATTATATAATGACTGACCTTGAGATAGTAGTGTCATCCCAAATACCAGTGCCCTGGTTGTCATCTTGGTTGAAAGACAAGGATCTAGGGGTTCCAGTGTTACTTCCATCTGATCCCTGATTTTCTATCTCCATAATGTTACCATTATCTAAAAATGTTCAAAAAAAGTATACTGGGTATTAATAAAGTTTTGCAATACATCATTTTCTATTGTGACACTTGTCAAGACAGGCCCATATCACTCACTTGGTCACCTGACTTTGCTCACCTGAAATTGCTTCATAAAAACTAAAGAAAAAGAAATTCTAAATGTGAAAACACAAAACACACATAATTATCCATTTTCCCATAAGGTCCCATCCCTCTGTTCCTAAAGAGTCAGCCAAACCATTCATGCTTCAGACCAAATTGAGACAGAATCCTGGGATTCGACTTTGACCTTTCTAATGTTTCCCTCCTGTGTCTGGGTAGGAAAATGATTCACAAGACAACCATAAATTTTATCGCAATACATCTGTCTACCCTCCTCAGTTTTATCTTCAACCTGTTCAGACGTTCAAAACATTGATTCTGTTATACACTAAACAATGAAAAAATGAAAACTTTTTTTCTCTCTAGCAATTAAGCACTGGAAGCTATCCAAGGTTGGCAATGCAGTGTGACTAGGGTTAATGTATGGAAAAGAATGTCTTGATGTCTGAGTAATACAATACTAGGTAGCTACTTGGTGATTACTTGTCAAATGAAAACCGTTTAAGATTCACATGTAAACAAGAAAGGACAATCATCCTCCTAACCTTCACAGGAACACTTATAATATATAACAATGTTAAAAGTCAAAATCTAACTGCATCATAATACAGATCCCAAATTTCAGTAACAATGATCTATCTTTCAGAACATTTTCTTCAGTTTGGTAATATCAATAGAATAGAAGTTCTTACAACAAAATCAGTGTAATATTAAAGTGTGACATTTAAATGTCTATAAAGTGTCACTGTCAGACAAATGACAAGTCCAAAACATACTAGTACTGACATGTGTAGTGTATGCATTTTTCTGGCAACACTATGATCCCTTTTCTACCACGATACCCCGTGTTATTCAACTCCCAGGGCATTGGATAATCAACATTTTGTTTATACCACACATGGTATAAACTCTAAATGCATATTTTATTTTGCTGACACTGTGAACTTTGACCGTCCAACACTACTTTTATACCACATGATTTAATGCCACATGCAGATTGTTTACGTCGACGTCATCTACAGTGACAGTGATAGTGAATGAACTGATTGGCAGGAAAGCCGCTTCACTTAACTTGACTTATGTCCACAAAGAAAATAGATAAAATTTGTGATAAAGAACATTTTATACATATTCCTATTCATTATGAGCGTTACTAAACATAACATTTTTGTTATTATTGTAATAAATTATAATAGTTGAATACATTTTTTTGACTTGTCATTTTCGCATATTAATTAGCAACACTCACTACTGGTCATATTTTTGCGCATCAAGCGAAAACGTAAGCAAAACGACTGTGAGAAAATATGTCAACTTGATTGCCTCGGCCAATGTTTTGTATTGTTGTAGAAACAGGTCACACATACTCATGGTCATTGTATATTGAATTTATTCAACTCAAGTTAATTATTTTTCAAAAGTTGCAAAAAACACTCGCTAAAGCTTGTGTTTTTTCTAACTTTTGAAAAATTACTAACTCGACTTGAATAAATTCAATATACAATGACCACTCGTTATGTAACCTCTATGTACACTGCAGTAGCAAATAGTGATGGTGATAAAGATTATAGGGAAATAAAAAGTAACAAGATGGTAAAAATATACAGTAGTTGGTTCAGCAATGCTTCGTTCAACACCTGATCATCCCCTTTCATCCCTGTCTTTTCAGAATTGGACTTCTGCGGCTTATTGTTTATGATGTCATAACAACTATCATTGAAAATGATGTCACTATAAACATATATGTGTAGAATAATCCTATGTGCCAACTATTCCATCAAAACTGAACATACTGATAAAGACGAATCAGCTTATCCCGATCTCATTGCAACTGATTGCTATTCTACTGGTTGTGTTGTAAAAACATCTATTCTATTGATGATCTCAGTATACCTATTTAATGAGTGTAAAACTTACCGTCTTCCCTCCGTCTCCTCCTGAACTTAACAGCTGCCACATTGATTAGATTCATACCATACAGGTTATAGTCAATGAACATCTGAAAACAAGAGACTTTGTTGTACATGAAAGATCACAGTTGATTTTTTCTTATCACTGGCACCAACCTCTATATTAGTAAAAAGGCATCTATTATTTATGATAGTTTGAATATTTAATCCTCTTTTTCCTCTCATCCTTTTTATACAACAGAAAAATTATATATAACTGAATAAAAAGAAATAAAAAAAAATAAGCTGCAAATATTATCTCATTTCAATCTTGTCAATATTAAATAAAGAAATATTTTTATGTTGAGCGGTCATTATTGTTGTCACAAGTAATTTTACAGACTCCAAGAACATAGTAAAATCTTCCAGCCATCCACCTCCAGTTTGTGGTATTAAGCACATAGTTACATTACAACAAGCTGTGTACTATACCTGTAATGTGTATGGAATATGTGACTCATGTGGCTGGTACACCTGATTCATGACTGCTCCTCCTAACAGGAGATCAGCAACCCTGAAATCAAACCATAAAACACTTACAATTCCTATTGCAAAGCATGCAAATTATAATTAGTTTTTGATAGACAAATATTATATAATATGCCACATTTATATGTAAACCCAAAACATATAAGCTTTCATAATGTATGATAAATGTTTAACGTATGTAGGGGGATGTGCCTGCTGGAGCTTACCTAGTTTTAAACAAATAATGTAACACATGTAAAGAGACCCTAGTAGATTTATAAGAAATGAATTAGTCCCAGTGTGTTAAAATTCTGAGAAGCTTGTAGGATTAGTTGATTTAGTGGTAACTATCACCCTATCAGTCATCTGTTGATTATATGTTGTATCTACAACTGTCATATTCTGTACAGTTCTGAAAGCTTGAACGGTTTTCTGTGGTTTAAGTTACTGATATCTCTTAGTAAGCAGACAAGTTAAAAATAGGATATTCTAGTTAAAACTGAGCATCTATACCCATGTTAAATGTTTTACAGAGTTCTGAGATCCATGTTCTTAAAAGAATCATTCAAAACTAGATATATGAAGCACTTTCCAATTTTCAAAAGTAAATCTAAGGATGCAGAAATATAGTAAAGGATCCTCAGCTGTATCTGTCAGCTTATTACAATTCTCTGATATGGACAATACAACTTCAGAACTTGTTATTCAATGAAGTCACTGAAGTACCTCTAGCTCAATCATCAGTTAAACATCATCATATTAGCTCAATGAAAGGTAATACATAACAGTTAATCAGAGAATTGAACAAAAGATAAAACAGATCTGTTTCTATATTGCTCTTACCCATAAACTTGTTGAGCAAGTACAGTATAAAAAAAGCTTAAGAGTATCAAAAACACATGGCAGTATGCAGGGGCAGGACATCAGAAAGGCTGTTAAGATTTATCTTTTTGTACGGAAGTCAAAGATGTCACTGTGTAAGAATAACACTATGATTCTATCTAAAATACAAATCTCTTCCTTCACCACTGACACAGGTAAAATGAGTTTTAGGTCATATATTTTTCTTTCAGAGTATGATAATATCAACACGAACTTCTTCTACCATACAATAAAACACAGACATATTTGTGTACATCTAAATAAGCTTGCCTGTAATGACACATTTTCCCTACAGTAGTTTGATTTCAGACACAACAGCTAATCTACAATCTGTTTATTTTTTTTTCTATGCTGTCCTATATTAGTATCAAACAGGACAATTGTTAAGAGAAACCAGCTTAGCGTATCTCGTTCAGAAAGTTCACATAGATTCATCTTACACCCATCGCCTCAATACCTGTGCAGTAACAAAAGGCAGACTTACATTACACAAGTTTACCTGGATATATATAGCTTTTGATGCAGGATATACTGAATAATTACTCCATATTTGTTAAATATATTAAGAGTTTCATAAACTGTATTTCAGCAGGTGCTAAACGCTGTAATACTGACTTTATATTGAGGAAATAGTTATCCTGATTTAGTGTATATTCTTCATTACTTATTTTTACACTATTTCAATGTAATAGTTACCTAAATATGAGAAAACATTTTCCCCAAGAAAGTGTTAAATCTCACTATTTCAATTTTAATGATCCATAATTTCATTTAATGCATTAAAAGCTAAGGCGTTCATATCCTCAAAATGGACATATGTAAATATAACCCTTTAACCTTGACCCCCCCAAGAAATGAAATAAATTTCAGAAGCTGATGTTGCCACACTATGGTGTAAATATAAACAAAATATGTGAAATGGCCCATGAGATTTCACATGCATCAGCTTTTTTTTCAAATTTTTTCAAATTTTTCCAATATCTACTTAAGTGTTCAACAGATATCTCATTATTTACTATACATGGACAGCTAGATACATGGACACATTGTCAGGTCTAATGATTTAAATATCACAATTTTACAGTAAAAATAAATCCTTACAAGGATTTAACCTGACAATACCTAAAATTTCAGCATCCAGATCACTGTTTAGACATTGTCAGGTCTAATGATTTAAATATCACAATTTTACAGTAAAAATAAATCCTTACAATGATTTAACCTGACAATACCTAAAATTTCAACACCCAGATCACTGTTTCTGTACTTACTTTCTAACAATACCTGGATTATACAGGTAAATCTTAAGAAACTGTTGCTCCTTGTCATGGTAACCATACATTGGTCTGAAAACAAAATTCAATGAAATAGTAATGATAAAAACTGAAAATGGTTATGATAAACATGTCCTTGGTATTTTTTTATTTGTGTTTATTCATCTATCTACTTATCTGTTTATCTAAATTTATTTCTAATGATAGAATTAAAATCTCATCGACAAGGATGAATTCTTTTGAACATGACTAATATACTGAATAAGACTTGTTCCATTATCGCAACCCCATACCAAGTCAATAAAATGTATACACCATCAAGTGAGAAAAAGGTAATGATAAAACTAACTCCCATGATCCTTTTAACTCAAGCAGACTTGTAAATATTGTAATGACAAATATTACCAGTTAAGATTCCTTTTACAATTTTTGAAAACATAATATCAATAAAAAAAAAACACTGAATGCATTTCAATATTCTGAAGATGAAATGGAAGTTTATCCATAGAAGAGAAAAACTGAACTTACATTCCAGACACCATGGTTATTTTATACACATGTTGTATGTTTGAAGTTGGATGACCCTGGGCAACATTGACAGCTTTATCCACACTGGAGGCAAATAGTCGCATGTACCTGTCCCAGGGTTGGGTGCCGTCATAAGGCACATAGAGATACGGAAACACACCATGCACATGCATACATGTCTTTTGACCTGCACAAGAAGAAACATCAACAATAAATCAAGGCAGGTGATTTTCATTTCATGTGTAATGTTATGATGACATGTTGATAAAACAATATACATATACCATATACACTGTGCCTATAGCAGTGATCAATTTACAATTTATTTCCATGGGTCCTTTTCAACTTTATTGCTAAAAAGAATGGGGCTTGCAATTTAAATTTTTTCCAGTATTTCCTGAAATTCTGTGAGTCCTATCAAAATTCTACCAATACAGGACTCGGGCCTCACATGTAGATTGATCATTGCTATAGCTACAATATCCTATGGGGTATAGGCATAAGTTTGACTTAGAAGCTGTAGGTCTAACTTGATCTGGTAGCTGAAGATTTGATATAGTAAGTAAAGGCTTAACTTAGTAGGTGTAGTATTTATCTAATTTTTAGGTTTGACTTAGTAGGTGTAGTTTTGATACCATAGGAACAGGTTTGACCTAGTAGGTATAGGTCTGATTTATAAGGAATAGGTCTCGCTTAGGTGCAGGTTTGATATATTAAAAACAGGTCTGGCTTAGGTGCAGGTTTGATATATTAAAAACAGGTCTGGCTTAGGTGCAGGTTTGATATATTAAAAACAGGTCTGGCTTAGGTGCAGGTTTGATATATTAAAAACAGGTCTGGCTTAGGTGCAGGTTTGATATATTAAAAACAGGTCTGCAGTTTGATCTATTAGGAATAGGTTTTGCTTGATGGGTGCTGTTATTATCTATTAAGAATTGGCTTGGCTTTGGTGTAGGTTTGCTCTCATATGAATAGGTTTTTCAGAAAGTATAGTTCCGAGGCGTAGGTTTGATCTATTAGGAATAGATTTGATTTTAAACATGTAGTTTCAAGGTGTAGGTGTGACTTAATAGGTGTAGGTTTGATCTATAAGGAATGGATTGATTTAAAACGTGTAGTTTTGAGGTGTAGGTTTGATCTATAAGGGATGGATTTGATTTAAAACGTGTCCTGGTTTGTAGTTGTGGGTTTGGCTTTTAGTGTCGTAGCAACCTGTGTCTGCAGATATACAAAGCAATCTTTTTCCCCACACTGGTGATGAAACAGACAATTTTATAGTCTCCAATTTAATATCATACACATATTAAATGACTTAAATGACAGAACAACAATATATGTACACCTGAAAAATACTGATGTTCTGTCAAACACGTGAAATATGTATATATTGCAATTTCAGTGGGAAACCTATATGCTTTGATTTTCTGGAATATTCAACTACAATAACTAAATGCTTATTTTGACCAGATTATTTTCTAGTAATATATTTTAGTTGTCAAATATCAAATCAATATGTTCAAAGTCTTATAATGAAATTAAAATAAAAATAATTTTCGACATGAAGACTTGTATTAACACCTCAATCTGAAAAATTGGTGGTTCCAGGGAAATCTCTTGGGAGTAATCCTTTGTACACACAAATATATCTGATACAATATGCCCAAGACAACTTCAGATAATGACAGTCATCCCTCAAACCTAGTTCTAACATAAAAATTTCATAAATTATGTGTGCTTACTGGCAAATACAAAACATTTGTAATCTATCAACTTTACTCAATAATTCAAACCAATCAATAAGCTAAATACATTGGTGGAAGTGAACAAAGCAGGATCTCACAAAGATCATAGGTTTGAACAAGCTTTCATTCCTTTACTTAAAATATTCAAATCAATATTGGCATGGATGTGCAGTTCATCTTTTCAGGCAATATATATATCAGTCTGACCATTTACAGACAAAATAATCATCTAAAAGTGTTACAGAACAAACTGCTTCGTAGTCAATGAGATATGTATGCAAATTTTACACACATTGTAGTGAAGACCAACAGGTATCAGGAAGCATCATATCCTGATAACATGCTTGTTAAAATGTAGACTTAATTCATTAACATTCACTGTGCTACTTAACATATGTAACAGGCTGAAATTTCCATGTTATTATTCATGAAGTAAAGTCGTGATGTAGGTAAATGATATGTAAGACATAGATCATTCCTGTACTCCTCACTAAATTTCCCTTTCAAATCCACTGCAGATAATTTTACATTTTCTTCTTTTGAATTCTTTGAATTAAAGATCTTGAAAAGGATTTTTATGTCACAACCCACAGGGAAATGTGTACAAGACATTATCGTGACTATATTTATCAGACAAATTACCTGTGTAGTGTGCACTTCCAGCTACACTAAAACCTTTGTACACTAATGAAAATATAACATAAAACCAAACATGTGAGATATAATAAAATTGTTTTGAAAACAGTTTGATTTGGTGAGTTTCCATTCATACTTAAAAGGTAGGAATAACTTACATTTTAACACACAAAAGATGATTCTACTACACTTTGTCTGATGCAGGTGACAGTACAGTCATGATCATGTCAAACACAAATTTTCTAACTGGTAGGATTATATGAAAATCTAAAGGTTGTTCTTCACTGAAATATTTGTTAATGAAAATCCTTTTTTGGAGTTAATATATTGTCTGGATCATAAGTAGGAGCACTTATTTTAGGTGTAAATAACATTCTTATGGTATCTGAAAGGGGTATTTATCTAGATGCCTGAATGCTACTTATTTCCGGGTGTACTTGTGGGTTTTCAAATGAGTTTACCAATTTTTGAGGGGTATCATTTATAGAGTACTTGATGTGGATAATATTTATCTGCAGGGTTTTTGAAGGGGCACTGTTTTTTTATGGTACTTATCTGCAGGATTTTTGAAGAGGCACTGTTTTTTTATGGTACTTATCTGGAAGGTTTCTGAAGGGGCACTGTTTTTAGATGGTACTAATCTGCAGATTTCTGAAGGGGCACTGTTTGTAGATGGTACTTATCTGCAGAGTTTCTGAAGGGGCACTCTTGGTAGATGGTACTTATCTGTAGGGTTTCTGAAGGGGCACTGTTTGTAGATAGTACTTACTGTAGGGGTTTTGAAGGGGCACAGTTTGTGGGTGATGTTCATCTTAAATATGCATGAGTAATGCTCATTTGTTATGACATTATTCTGTTTTTTTCAAAAATGTGATGTGCGCTATACACATAAACAAGGTATATGCATCGAAGTTCATGCTTATACTTGGGTCCATATATTCGTCTATCAGTCTATATGTCCCTTCTGAATAAGCATTTAAATAACACTTGAGATCTTTTAGATCTACTGATGAAGCCAGGTAGCTTTGCCCATAATTGATTGATCAAAACAATGCATGTATATTGAGTTGTAAATCATTTGAAATTACACATCATTTATGTTACAGATGTTGAAAAATGTTTCTAGGACATTTTAAACCATGTAGTGACATTGTTATTGAAGAAACACGTCAAATCATCCTCCTTTTCGAGTCAGTTTCGTCAATCCACTTAATATCGTAGAATCAGATAACCAATACAAAATAGCTCTTACTCTTGAACTTTTCCTCCTCTGATATAAGACTATTTAAGACTTATCCAGGATGACTGAGGTACAAAGAGAAGCTTTGATCAGTTTGCAGATTTCAACATTGCTTGTTGAAGATGCAAGATATTTCTCCAAGCATAAATTACAACTTGAGTGTTGTCTTTGTGAATACGTTAATGTATTACATCTAAAAAAAAATCTTATATCAGTAGGTTTTTCTGGTGTCTTTATTCTCTTGATGATTTACGTCTTTCATTGTCATCCCAACAGTCATGACAGAATCGCAGTGAAGGTGTGAAAATTTAATTAGTGTTGACCTTGTAATTATGGTTTTGTTTAGCAAGTAAACTCTGTAAAAACAACTCCGTTTCCTGATCAGCAGACAAGTGATTTGATCAAGCTAAGTGTCTATATTTGGTGGTAAAATTAACGCTACACTAAGATTTTTTTTCTTTCTTTTTCTAAAGATTTCTTCCCAAAACTGAATATTACACATGAGTGTACATAATAAGCAGACATCTACATTATCTGTAGTGGATTTGAATGGGAAATGTTTTCTAAGGTTTCTGGAGGGGAAATTTTTGTGGAAGATACAGTAATCATTATTTCGCTGTGGATGCCATATGATGGGCCTCCTGTATGTTGTTCAGTGAGATAGCCACCAGCTACTACAGGAGACTGCCTCAAAATAACCTGCCTGTTGATTGTGATAAACCCAGCAAACAACCAACAACAAATAAAATCAACAAATGAAAAGATGAAACTGATGGAATAGAATCAAAGATGGACATTTAAACTAACTTTACTAAATACAATGTACTAAATTCTTACCTGCAGGCGTTGCTCCATACACTCGGATGACTGGTACTTTGAACACATCTGAGCCCCTGAAGTCAGAATGTAGCACATCAAGGTCTGGAACAGGGGTAGCCTGATAGTGGTCAGTAGTCACTATCCTCACAGAAAACATGGTGGTCCTTTGACCAATCACTTCCTAGTCTGCAGCTTGTTGCTTTATACCAGTCAAAGCCATTCTACAACAAAAGATATTACAATGACTGTTAATTATAGTAATCAACATCCTTTCAGTTTAAATTCATTTTCCATAAAAAAAATACATACATTCTCTAATAGGGTTAGATAATATTACAATTTCTCAATGAGAAGCAGTAACCCTATATTACAGTTCCACTAAAGACACCTTTAGCTGATTCCTCTTTAGTAAATTAATCAGTAGAGAATTTGTCTGTCCTGTCATTTGATTCCTTACCGTAGAATTGAAAAAAATAAATGTTGACACAGGCCTTAGTGATTTCTAAAATAATTGCTGTTATCCCTGAGAAACTTAATGATGAGGGAGAATACATCTTCTCAGTATTTAAGATACTAACCACTTTCCGTTGACTCAACTATGGCAAATTTCATTAATTCATTAGAACACTAGTCTAGCAAGAGTTTCCCTAATGTGGCATCAATAAATATTTTACATAGTATGAATTCATAGTACAATGTATTAAATACATATAAACATATCTACATATCATGTTTATTCATATATAATGTATACACATATACATGTAAGCTGTAATACAACGATATAGAAAATGTATTATGTAACATATATAAGTATAATTATGTATACACAAACAATATTTACGTTGATTCAGGACAACATTATGTAGATTTTGTTTTACAATGAAACATTACTCCCATATTTTCTCACAGTTGTCATATTTACAAAGGGTTTCTATGAGCAAAAATCCCATTTTCTAGCCCTACAATTGTTTTATAGGACATAAAAACTTTTTTATTTCCTTCAAATCATTTTTTTCTAAGAAGTTGATGTTATTAATTGTGTTTTGGGATATCATAAACCCTTGTAATTGTCAAGACAGTTGAAGATTGCAATACAAAACCTCACTATAATTACAGTAACAAGTAATTCCTAGGGAATGCAATAAGGTCTTCCCTTACCAAAAGGTTAGCAGAGTACCCAGACTAGACATGCTTTTACTGGGAACCATCACAGGAAATTGAATTTCTCCTCTTTTCATCTGTCAGATATAGGAGCCTTTTACATCCAATGGAAAAAAATCAATGTCTCAAAGAAAAAAACACAGCTGATCCTGTGAGCATGCCATACAGCCAACCCTTTAGGCTGGTCAGTTGAGTTTATATATAGGAAGGATAGGACAAATGTCTTGAATTCAGTGATTTATGATCCTGTTTTCCGAACCATGGCATTTTGTAAAGATATCAGCAGACCACATTGATCTTATAAAAGGTACTTGTAAAGATTTACAAAAGACTTTACATACTTTAGTATTATTTTAAAGTGGAATTAATTTCACTGTCCTCTTTAAACAGGAGGATGGATACAAACCTTCATGAATTTCATGAAATAATAGGTAGCAAGGATTCCTACAATAAGCTGAAGACTAGCATCATAATATCAATTAATAAGGTATATGAGCACATAGAATTCATTAGCCTATTTCCATTTTATCAGCTGAAAGGTGGACTTTTATGCTGTCAACTCAAATAAGGAGAAAAATTCTACCACATGACATTGGATACCAACAAGCTACCTGGAAATATATTACACACTTTATTTCTTCAGTTTGTTTGATAAGAAATTATATCTGACTTTGTCTGACACATGATATTGTGATTTCTTTGGAATGAAATGACCATGGCACAATTAATGTCAGGTAGATATTCATTAGTACATGTATAGCCAAAATGAAACGGTTGTGAATTGTTTAGCAAATACAACCAATAACTAATGGAGGAATTAATGTAAAGTTCCTTTTAGTTCCATGTAACTATACACCTGTGACAAAATGATAAAGACTAAAAGATTTCATTAATCAGTCCAAAACATAAACTCATATTTTCATCAACTAATATATATAAATATATGAAAGACATATTTATAATCATCAAAAATATGAAGTAGATTATAGTGCTTTACATGAAGTATTTCTTCCTACAATCACCTTCTGGTTTAAACTGGTTGAAACATGTAGTTGTGAATTATGACTAGAATTCCTATGCTACACAAGTACCACCTTGTGTTTGTCTGTTGCTAATTCTCTAGCTCCATCCCTAATTCCAGAGGAAACAAGAATTCATGCCAAACACATCCACACAACTTGCAATAGACACCATTATTTTAACATGTTGTGTACGAGTGCAACTCCAGGAGTTTGGAAGACACACTTACTAATTATAGCACATCTCTGGCATAGTATTGATCCTAGAAAACCCAGCTGTGAGAGACTGGTGTACAATGTCAGCCTTCTCTGACCATAGCCTAATCAATAGTCTCTCACAGACATGTAAAACCCAACACCACTAGTTCCAGTCACCATCACTAATCTACTCCTCAGATCACATTGGTCACCCCCAATAACCCACCTCCCACCTACACTTAGCAACCATTATCAATACACTATTTTTGCCACCTTCATCCATCAGTCAATTTTATTAGTCCACCTGTCCTAATCACCTTCATCACTCCACCTGTCCTAATTGCCTTTATCAGTCTGTCCTAATCACCTTCATTAATCCATCTCTCCTTACAAAATTCATTAATCTACCTATCCTAATCACCTTTATTAATCCACATGTCCTAATTGCCTTTATCAGTCTGTCCTAATCACCTTCATTAATCCACCTCTCCTTACAAAATTCATTAATCTACCTGTCCTAATCACCTTTATTAATCCACATGTCCTAATTGCCTTTATCAGCCTGTCCTAATCACCTTCATTAATCCACCTCTCTCCTAATAAAATTCATTAATCCACCTGTCCTTATCACCTTCATTAATCAAACTCTTAAAATCACCTTCATAAATCTACCTGTCCTAATCGCCTTCATCAATCCAGCTGTCCTAATTGCCTTTATCAGTCTGTCCTAATCACCTTCATTAATCCACCTCTCCTACTAAAATTCATTAATCCACCTGTCCTTATCACCTTTATTAATCAAACTGTGCAAAACATCTTCATAAATCTACCTGTCCTAATCGCCTTCAATAATCTACCTGTCCTAATCGCCTTCAATAATCTACCTGTCCTAGTCGCCTTCAATAATCTACCTGTCCTAATCGCCTTCAATAATCTACCTGTCCTAATCGCCTTCAATAATCTACCTGTCCTAATCGCCTTCATTAATCCAACTGTCCTAATCGCCTTCAATAATCTACCTGTCCTAATCGCCTTCAATAATCTACTTGTCCTAATCGCCTTCAATAATCTACCTGTCCCAATCGCCTTCAATAATCTACCTGTCCTAATCGCCTTCAATAATCTACCTGTCTTAATCGTCTTCAATAATCTACCTGTCCTAAATTCTCTTTATTCATCTAATTATCCTAATCACCTTCATTAATCTACCTTTCCAAGTCATCTTCATTAATCCACCTATCAACATCACCTAAATTAATCTGTCCCTAGCTTTCAAAATCACCTTCCTTAAATTACCTGTTAAAGTCATATTCAATAACTGTCCAAGTCACCTTTATTTATACAAACAAACTACAAACAACATTGCTTCCTATATTTTAGAAATAAAAATTGTCTTATAATTAAAAAGTAGGCAAAGAAATTATCTAGCTTACAACCCTTTATATAGATACAGTACTACAAAATTTTCTGGCTAACACACCTCCATATAGATACAGAGCTACGAAATTATCTGGTTAACACACCTCTATATAGATAAGTACTATGAAATTTTCTGGCTAACAAACCTCTATATAGATACAGAGCTACGAAATTATCTGGTTAACACTCCTCTATATAGATAAGTACTATGAAATTTTCTGGCTGACACACCTGTATATAGATACAGTATAATGAAATTTTCTGGTTAACACACCTGTATATAGATACAGTACTATGAAATTTTCTGGTTAACACACCTGGTTAACACACCTGTATATAGATACAGTACTATGAAATTTTCTGGTTAACACACCTGGTTAACACACCTGTATATAGATACAGTACTATGAAATTTTCTGCCTAACAAACCTCTATACAGATACAGTACTATGAGAAGATTTTTTTGCTATTCTTTGCAAAAGTTTAGATAGTGAAGCAAATGATGTAAACCTATCAAAACTGAATCTTTTCTACGGTGTCATCAATAACATTCCTATTTACAGTAACCCTTGGACCAGAAAAGCAATCCAAAGTAAGCACTTTTGGTAAAAAAGCACTGTACAAAGAAATGAAATTATTGAGAAAAAAAAACTAGTTTTCTATTTATAGTAACACTGACCTAGACCTTTGGACATGAAAAGCAACCCTAAGAAAACACATTTGGTAAGTAAGCACTCAGTTTGGGCTTGATCAGCCACAGTAAACTCAAGTTATCACAAAAAAACCTTTATGCGGACAATGGCGCCCATGATGACGACACCTCCGACACAGAAATACCTATATGTTGCCTTTGGCAAGCGACACAAAAACAAAGTGAACAAGGGCTCAAATAGATAGCTATACCCCTGTTCTAATCTTGTACACAACCTTCAACTTTGACCCATGACCACCAAAATTCAGATGTACACCTTGATGTAGTAATGCCATAGTGTGAATCGGAACTGAATATTTTGCACTCAAGATTTTTACTTTCTAAATGGTCAAGGGTGACCTTTGACCTTAAACTTTTAATCAATGACCAACAAAATCATATCCAGTGTAAACTTTGTTTGTATGTTGCTATGGTGTGAATATGAACCAAATCTGTTGAGTTGTTCGTGAGATATCGTGTACCTTACATTTTCAATGATGCATACCACCAACATGGTTGCTAGCCCCAACCCCAATCCCCACCCCTCTACCCTTTACCTAACAAGGAGGTCTACAACAGCATCAAAGTCTTCCATATACATCTATTTAATCATAACACTGAGTAGCTACATGTCAACATAGTTTCATCCTAATTTCTCTACCTCTC